GGAAGCAGCACTGGAAACAAATCTAGTGGAGGTGATGGAATTCCAGCTGAACTATTGGAAATCCTAAAAGGTGATGGTTTTAGAGTGCTGCGCTCAATATGCAAGCAAATTTGGAAAACTCAGCCAAGGCCACAAGACTGGAAAAGGTCAGTTTTCATTCCAATCCTAAAGAAGGGCAAAGCCAAAGAATGTTCAAACTACTGCACAATGCTCATTTCTCATGCTAGTAAAGTAATGCTCAAAATTCTCCAAGCTAGGCTTCAACAGTATGTGAACTGAGAACTTCAAGGTGTACAAGCTGGATTTAGAAAAGGCAGAGGAACCAGAGATCAAATTGCCAACATCTGTTGGATCATCAAAAAAGCAAGAGAGTTCCAGAAATCTACTTCTGCTTCATTGACTATGCTAAAGCCTTTGACTATGTGGATCACAAGAAACTGTGGGAAATTATTCAAGAGATGGGAATACCACATCACCTTACCTGCCTCCTGAGAAACCTGTATGCAGGTCAAGAAGTAAGAGTTAGAACTGAACATGGAAAACGGACTGGTTCCAAATTGGGAAAGGTGTATTTCAAGGATGTATTTTGTCACCTTGCTTATTTAACCTATATGCAGAGTAAGTTTATCATGTGAAATGCCAGGCTGCATGAAGCACATGCTGAAATCATGACTGTGGGGAGAAATACCAATAACCTCAGATATGCAGATGACACCACCCTTATGGCAGAAAGCAAAGAGGAACTAAAGAGCCTCTTGATGAAGGTGAAAGAGGAGAGTAAAAAAGCTGGTTTAAAACTCAATAGTAAAAAACTAATATCATGGCATCTGGTCCCATCACTTCATGGCAATAGATGGGGAAACAATAGAAACAGTGATAGACTTTATTTTCTTGGGCTCCAAAATCACTGCAGATGCTGACTGCAGCCATGAAATTAAGAGACACTTGCTCCTTGGAAGAAAAGCTATGACAAACCTAAACAGCGTATTAAAAAGCAGACACATTACTTTGCCAACAAATGTCTATCTAGTCAAAGCTATGGTTTTTTCAGTAGTCATGTATGGATATGAGAGTTGGACCATAAAGAAGGCTCAGCACCGAAGAACTGATGCTCTTGAACTGCGGTGTTGGAGAAGACTCTTGAGAATCCCTTGGAATGCAAAGAGATCAAATTGGTCCATCCTAAAGGAAATCAGTCCTGAATATTCATTGGAAGGACTGATGCTGAAGCTGAAGCTCCAATACTGGCCACCTGATGCAAAAAGCTGACTTATTAGAAAAGACTCTGATGCTGGAAAAGATTGAAGGCAGAAGGAGAAGGGGATGACAGAGAACAAGATGGTTGGATGGCACCACCAATTCAATGGAAATGGTGAGTTGGTAAAGGACAGGGAAGCCTGGCATGCTGCAGTCTATGGGGTCGCAAAGAGTTGGACATGACTGAGTGACTCGATAACAACAACAACAATAGTCATGGTAGTTGTTTGAAGCTTAGGATGAAGATCTTTCTCAGAGAGTATCTCATCTGTTTTAGACTATGGCGCCATCAATCCAGGATGACTTCAAAATCATGGTTTGGGGACCATGCAGATGATGTGAACTTGAGCTGCAAATTACACAAAAGTTCATGACAGAGGATGAGATGGCTGGATGGCACCACCGACTCAATGGACATGGGTTTGGGTAGACTCCGGGAGTTGGTGATGGACAGTGAGGCCTGGCGTGCTGCGATTCATGGGGTTGCAAAGAGTCGGACATGACTGAGCAACTGAACTGAACTGAACAACCTGTAGTTACAACTTCTCAGATACTTCCTTCCAGTCCTCTTAACTTCTCAGTGTCAAGGCAACTTTCCCTTCAGGCCTCTGAGGTTAGAAGTGGCAGATCTGTCATTTTGTTGTCCCAGTTGGATATGGTAGTCTTCTATGGATTTCCCACCCCCCCCTCCAATTCTGGTATTTTTGAAGTTTTCTTTAAGATGTTATTCTGTGCCCTAGGTCACAATGGTTTTCTCCAACATATTTTTTTTTTAATTTTCTAGTCTACCTTTCACATTTTAGTTTTTAATACATTAAGAGTACATCTCTATATGCAGTATTAGAAAGTGATCCAATTTTATTTTTCTCTTTATATTGAGACAATTTTCTCATCACTATCTGCTAAAGAATCTTTTCCCCATTCATTTGTAGAATTCCTTTTTTTCATATTAAGTAGCCATATATATAGGAGTCCCTTTTGAGTTCTCTATTCTGTTCTATTGGCTTACTTGTTCTTGTTTCTATTACCATAGATTGTAGTGTGTCTTAGCTTTTGGTATAGCAAGTCCTTTATTTGCTCTTCTTTTTAAGGTTGATTTAGCTGTAAACAGACCTTTATTTGGCCATACAAATTATAGATATTTTTTACAAGTCCTTGAAATAGTCCAACTGAAATTTGAATTGGGAATGTATTAAATATAATTTAATTGGGGGAGTACTGACATCTTTATAATCTTAAATTATTCCAGCCAGAGCCTAGAATGTCTCTTCATTTATTCAGATTGTGCTCTATGTCCTTTAATAGAGCTCTAATAGTCTTTTACATGATGCTGTTCTGTCTTTTTAGTTAATATCTTGGTATTGGTCATTTTATTGCTATTGTGAAAAATATCTCTCATTATTTAAAATTACATTTGTCTAGATTTTTTGCTACAGTAGAGAAATGCATTTATAAGACATTTATAAGCTGTGCTTGTATTCAGAAACCTTGGTGAGCTTTCATTAGCTCTGATGGAGAATGTCTTTGATTATCATTTCAATTGCTTTCATGCTTACTGTTCTACTCGATCTATTTTTTCCCCAATTTTGATGTTATATTTTTTCTAAGAAGTTAACCATTTCACTATGTATTTCACATTTATTATTACAGTTATTCAAATTATTTTTCTTTTCTCTCTTTTTCTACTTCAGTTTTCAAGGAGCTTTATATTTACTTTTGCCTTTTGCCCAGGACCACTTTTATTTTCAGTTTGAGGGCTCCTGACTACACAGGGTGTATAAATTAGAATTTCAAATCAGTATGAGGGTAGATTTTTGGTTAAAAATTTTAAAGAAGGCTTTTTCCCCACCCAGAGTTCAAGCTTCCTTGTCTGGCAATATTTTTTTTTTTTTAATTTTGTTTTTTTGTCTGTACTGTGTTTCTGTTGCTGCTTGGGTTTTCTCTACTTGCAGTGAGTGGGGGCTACTCTCTAATTGTGGTGCAATGGCTTCTCAATGTGGTGCCTTCTCTTGTTGGGGGAGATGGAGTTCTAAGCATACGGGCTTCAGCAGTCGTGGCTCTTGGGCCTAGTTTCCCTGAGGCATGTGGCATCTTCCCTTACCAAGGACTGAACTGCATTTTTTGAGGAAGGACTTCCCTGAATTGCAAGGCAGATCCTTAACCACTGGACCACCAGGGAAGTGGTATTTTTTTCTAGCTACCTTTTTACCAAGTGTGTAGTAATTTGTGAATCCTGGCTTTTTTCCCCTGGGGTCTCATTTAAATACCACTTCACACAGGTCTTGTCTTTGTCCCCACCTTGCTGTTCCTTCAGTGGCTGACACTGCAAATGACCAAGAGCATTTAAGTATTAACAAGTTTCCATTCTTGTTTCTCAGTTTTCTCCTGATTTTTGGCCTGGAGGTTTCCCTTACTTTCTTGTAAGGAGCTACATTCTGCATTTAAAAAGATGTTTGTTGTATTTTATTCAGCATTACCAAGTGTTTTATAATGGGAGATTATTTTAGGTCTATAATACATAGAGATCATTTTGAGATAAAAATAGAGAAAGGTTATATGTAAATATATCAACTTGTATTTCAACATTAATTTTCCTTTTGCTTATGTTTTTAATCAAAAGTCCATTATGGATGTAAATAATGTATCATGAAGTATAAAATCAATTTTAAACTGTCTAAAAGTCAAAACTATCACTGCATCTAGGACTATTCTACTGAGTAATAAACTGAGTTTCTTCATTATCAGCATATTTATGAATTCCCAACTAATTGTCATAGGCTCTTTTAATACACTTTCAGAGACTGATAACCTAATTTAAAGAGAAGAAAAAAAAATGTTTAGTTGAAATTGTAACAATGTCACTTCTGCCTTCAAAAGCACCTGGAACACCCTTGCAGAAACACTAGGAGTTTATTACCTACTGGATGGGAAATTCTGACCTGCAGGATGAAATGAAAATCCCATATAAACTGGCTTCCCACTTACTTTTTCAGCTTCATCTTTCACTACTTAGCAAAGATGCATCGGAAAGGGACTTCCCTGGTGGTCCAGGAATTAAGAATCTGCCTGCCAATGCAGGGAACACAGGTCCGATCTCTGGTCAGGGAAGATACGATATGCCGTGGGGCAACTAAGCACATGTGCCACAGCTACTGAGCTCCTGCTCTAGAGCCAACGAGCCACAACTAGAGAGAGAGGGTAGACCCCACTCTTCACAACTAGAGAAGGCCTGAGCACAGCAACAAACACCCACCACAGCTGAAAATTAATTTATTAAAAAAAAGTACCTGACAATTGTGATGCTCAGTGATAGTCCTGCTTGCCTGGAAGGCTCTTTCTTCACCTAAAAACCTTCTGTTGATTCTTCAAACTCCAGTACAAATGGTAACATCTTTGAGTAATTCTTCCTTTCTCTCCCAGGCAGTTAATCACTATCCCTTTTATGCCCTCACATTTCTATTTGTGTTACAGCATTTACCACATGGTATTGTAACTTACCTGTTTAGACTTCTCTTTTCCCTACTAGCATAAGTTCCTAGAACACAGGAATCATATTTATCTCTACAGTTCCAGCACCCCACACATCACATTGAACATAGTACTCAATAAATGATTCAGTCTTAAATGAATGAAGTAACTGTTGCTGTCTTTATGAATGCCAACTGTTTATATTTATGTCTATCAATAAAGTCTCTAACCTAGAGCATTACTTGATTTTATTTGTTCTTTTTGTGCCTTTCTAGACTTCAAAGCAGCATATATTGAAAAAGATCCAGAAATTCACAGGTCAGAAAGACCTTTTATTTTTCGGTTCAAGACTAATGACAAATCAACTGCAGGGTCTGCTTTAAGACTTTAACCTGTAATAGCAGGTAGAAGGAGGAAGGTTGAAAAGATTGTGTTATTGGAAGAAATATGCCTACTCTTTCTAGCAACTACACTTCTGAAGAAATGTAAATGGCTTCATAATTCTTTTCATGAATGAAAAGAATCATGAATTCTTTCATTTCTATCCTCATACTTCCTTTCCTAATCTCCTTTTGTGCAAAGCTTATTTAAAATATCAGGAAAGAAACTCTGTGAGAGGGGGTAACTGTGAAGAGTTTGGTGTAGGAAGTTTTGATACCTTTTTTCTCTACCATAGACACTGGATAATACATATCTTTTCCTCCAAAGATATGTATTTCTCTGTTTTCCTCACTTCTCCCTACCATGATTATTCCTGCTGCTTCCAATGGCTTACATTGACTACATGGTGAAGACAGCACACTGTAGCTTAAAAGAGAAACAAACAAAATGAGACACTGGTTAAATCTGAGCTCTTCCACTAATTAGCCTTTTGATCTTAGGCATGGTTTTGTCTTTGTTTCCTTATTTGCAAAATGAGGGGATTGAACTAAGGTAAGGCCAAGAGTCATAATTCTAATAGATTCTTCACCTCTACTCCCAGATCCACAGTTGGAAAAAAATCTCAGGATGAGTTGCATTGAAGCTAACCTGAAACAGTGAGTAAAATCAATCTTCTCTGTGTCTATTTTTTCTCTCTTCAGCTTACCCTACTGATAAATCCTGTGAAAGTCAGGAGTAAGATACCTGGGATTTTGTTTCACTTCCCTCACTATGATAGCTGTCTCCTTTCTAAGTCTCTTTTTTCATTGTTCTCTTACCAGTACATTAATATCACTTCAATTACACTAACACACTCTGCTGCACCCAGTTTTTCAGAACTCCCTGTGGGATGGACCCAGGAATATGTACTCTGGTCAATGGACAGGAGTCTTCAACAGATCTTCCAACACCTGGAAAGTACAAGGTCAGGTGGTTTCTGAGTGGAGGTTGAAAGTGGTAGAGCTTTTAAGAGGGAGGAAGGAAGGCAGTGAAGGAAGGAGGGAGGGAGAGAGGGAAGGAGGAAAAGAGAGGGGGAGGGAGAAAAAAGATGGTTAGTTAGTTTTCGTAGTGGGGCAAAGTTTAAGAAGTCTGTGAATCATTTCTGATTGGAATGGAGACAAATGCCTCCCTTTTTCCTGGTGGAGGAATTCTTTCCATAAATAAGCAATTAATGTTGGGGAAAGCAACCTCTTTTGTTTTCCCTCAGTCCAAAATATTTTGCATTCAAAATGGCCATTCTCTTTCCATTTTCCTACTTTTTCCTGTTTCAAAACAAATGGGAACTTTTCTCTTTATTTCTTAGATCAAGTCTTATGGAATTGGGTTTGCCTGAACCACAGGATATGATTTCTTCTTCCACCTCCTCTGTGGCTCAGGAGCCTGTTCTACCCTGTTGTGACTGTAAGAATGCAGAACATTCTACTGACAGTAGTATCTCCTCTGGATCATCCTACAGCTCGAGCCTGTCTCACCTTCCTGTCTTTTCTGAAGAAACAACTTGGCAATTCCGGAGCCGCAGTTTACCTATTTTACCCCAAAATCAACCTCCTGTGTTCAGGAACCAAGGCAGATCTCTGCCTTCTTTTAGGCTTTCAGAGCTTGGGAAATCAGAATTTTTTCAGAATTTGGAAACTCTTTCATCCTTAAGCCATCAAAGCACTTTTATCAACTCTCTTTCTGAATCCCCAGATCTCCACAGACAAGGAGAAAAAACAAAGGATAAGAGAAGGAGCAAGAGTGATTTGACATCAGATCATAAGCCAAATATTATCTTCAAAGAGAGACCACTATTGTCAGGGTCAACTCCAATCCAGCTCTCTCCTTTGGCTAGGTGGGAGTTAGAGGGACATATGGCTTGGAAGGTTTGTACTCTGCGGGAACAAACAGTGCCTCTGCCTGTGAGGGAATCATGGGCAATGCTGAATTATTTAATTGAGGTGCAAGGAGGAGTCCCTGAACCAGAGAAACCCCAAATCCAGCTATCTATGCCCATTCATCAAAGCACTGAGCAAAATATCAACAATGAATCCCCTGACCTTCCATCTCCTCAGTTCCAGGGGAACACTGAAGTGGAATCTGGATTAAATAGAACAGAAACAAGAATTTCTCAGACTCTTATCCCAGGTAAGCAGTCACAACCTGGATATGGACCACAAATCCTTGCATCCAGGCCATTAATGACATCAATAGATATTCTACCTCCCAAAAGCTTAGGAGCTGACATCACTCAAGAGGAAATGACTTTACTGAAGAAGGACCCAAAACATGTGCTAGAGCTTAATATAAAGCAGAGGGTCTTAGGTCTTCCAGAAAAAAGGATACAGCAGCAACAGAGCCAGGTGCCTAATATGGAGCTGACCCCACAGCTACCATGCCAAGTCACAGATAGTGTAAAAGTTACTCCACTGGCATTACTTCAAGTCATGGATTCAATGGGGATGATTCCAGATTCACATTCAGAAGTGATAGAATCTGTGGGTTTGTTCCAATGGCCATCAAATGAAGTTGTAAAACCAATGGAAGCCATGGAAACAGTGCATATAAGCCAAAAACCATCATATCAAGTCATTAAATCAGTGGAGGTAACCCCAAGACTTCAGCAGCAGGTTATGGAATCAAGAAAGATAACTTCAAGACGGCTGAATCAAGTCATAGATAATGTGAAGGTAACTCCGATAGCATTGCTTCAAGTCATGGATTCTATGGGGATGATTAAAAAATCACATCCACCTATCATACAGTCAATGGGAATGACCCCAACAATGCAATATCAAGTTGTGGGGTCAGTAAAAAGGAGTACATTGTTGGACCATCAAGTCATACAACCAGGAAAGATGAGTCCAGGACTACGACATTCAGTCATAGAAACTGTGGAAATAACCCCAGGGCCACATAAAGTTATGCAATCAGTTGATGTAACATCAAGGCCACAAAGTCAAGTCACAGAATCACTGAAGACTACCCCAGGGCCAGTATGTCAAAATATGCAATCACTTGAAATGATCCCCAGGCCACTGCATCAAGTGATGGATTACATAAAAGTGACTCCAGTAGCACTATTACAAGCTATGGACTTTATGGGGATAATTCCACCAACAAAGTCACATGTTATAGAATCTAGGGTTTTGATCCCAGATACACAGTCTCAAATTGCAAATTTAACCCCAAGGGCAATTCAATCAGATGGTTTGACTTCGAGCTCTCTTACTACTATTGGTACACTTGGAGTGGTAGAATCTGTGGGCTTACCTCCAAAGCCACCACATAAAGTCACGGTATCAGGAGGAGTGATCCCAATATCTCAAGCCAACTCCAGGAGTCTGGAATTGACTCCTGGGTCATGTATTCAAATGCCAGACTTTGAGGGAATGACTCCAGAACTGTATTATGAAGGCACAGAATCTATGGCATTAATACCAGGGCCATCTCATCAAGTCACGGAGTCTTCGAGGTTGACCCCATGGCATCAAATTCTGCAGTATTCTGAGATGAGTCCAAGGCAAAGTCATCATGTCATAGAAACTATGGAGTTGACCTCTGACTCCTGGCTAAAAATGGAGAAATCAGCAGAGCTGACACATTCACATCATCAAATGATGGAATCTTTAGGGACAATCCCAAGGTCACTGGGTAGAGGTACAAAATCTATGGGAATGAGCCAAAAGCCACTGCTTCAAGTCACAGAATCTGCAGAAATGTCCACTACATCAGTTCAAGATGTGAACTATAGAGAGATGAAATCAATCCCACAACTTAAGGCTATGGGTTCTATGACATTATCCCCAAGATTGCAAAATTTGAAGTCTGGGAAACTGGTTTTAGCACCAGAGTCACAAAATATAAAATCTGTAGACATAACTACAGGTTCATTCCCAGAACTGGGAAATTACAGACAGCCAGTCTCAACTGTGAACTCTATAGAATTGGCCACAGAACCACAACAGCAGAGTGTAAAACCTGAGGAGTTGGCCAAAACACCACAGGGGCAAAATGAGAAATCTGTGCAGTCAGCCCCAGGGGCTCAGCTTCATGGTGCGAAATCTATCCAACTGATGCTGGGACCCCAACAACAAAGTAAAAAATCTACTGGGTTAGTTCCAGCACCACAGTTGCAAAGTAGGAAATCTATAGATTTGGTCCCCAGTTCACAGTCGCGATGTATAGAATATGGTCATTTGGCTCTACCATCAGAGTTTCCAGGTATAAAAACTGTGGAATTGTCTCCAAGAATAGTACAAAAAGATATGAAACCTATGGAGTTGGCCCCAAAGTCATGGTCACAAGATATAAGATCTGAGGAGACAGCCCCAATACCATTGCTTGAAGATGTAAAAACTCCTCAAATGGTAGAAAGTACAAGACTGACTCCTAAGACACAGGTAGAAAGTATGAAATATGAGGAACTGATCCCAAGAGCACACATTCAAGCAGTAAACTCTGTAGAGGTAGACTCCAGACCAAATCATCAAGTCACAGAACCTGAAGGACTGATCTCATGGTATCAAGCTTCAGAATCTTTAGGGATGATCTCAGAACCAGGATATTCAGAAACAGAAGCAAAGCTAACCTCTGACACTGGTCACCATGCGAAAGAGTCTATGGGGTTGATACAATCATCTTTAGGAAGTACCCCCAGGTCATTGAGCCAAGCATCTATGCAGATGAACTCCATATCATTCAGGGGCACTCTTGAGCCAATGTTCCAAAGTGTGAGAGCCATGGATGAAACTCCAGTGTCAGAGCACACTACACAAGAATATCTGGAGTTGGTACCAGGATCAGAGATGCAAGGTATGAAATCAAAGATGTTGACCCCAGAGCCTCAAGATACGAAGTTTGTTCATCTGAATCTAGAACCATATTCAGAGGTTATGAACTATGAGGAGCTGATCTCAGAACCACGATTTCAAAATGTGAAATCTGTGTCATTGACCTCAGAACCACAGTCCACAAGTATAAAACCCGAGGAGTTGACTCTAGGGCCATTAAGGCATGATGATGATTTTGTGGATTTACATATACCACTTGAAGAATCTAGTAGGTTAATTCCTGAGTCACAGTTAAAACATGTTGAATCAAGGAAAGTGACTGCGGAACTGCATTTACAAGAACTGAAATCTGTGGGTCTAACTTCCAGACCAAGGCATCAAGACATAGCACTTACAGAGCTAGCTGCTGAGATCTGGCCACAAGAGGAGGAATCTGTAGTCTTGAAACCTGGTGGTGTGATGCCCAGGCCGCATTTTCAGAAATCTTCAGAGTTGACTCCAGGTCAAGATCGTGAAGACACAGAAACTGTAAGACTGATTTCTGAGGCTTTGCCCCAAGTTAATTTGCCCCAATTAATGCAAAAACCAACAGATCAAGTTATAGAATCTGCAAGAATGACTCCTCTAAGGCCACATCTTCAAGATACAGAATCATCACAGATATCCCTAAGGTCAGAATATGCAAACACAGAAAATGTGGGGTTAGCAACATTTCCAGTTGAAAACATCCAGGAGGTAATACCAGTACAACCACATTCAGAAAAAGAATCTCTGGAGTTGATTTTAGAACCAAGGATGCAATATGAGATAGCAGAGCCACTGCTGCAAAATTTGAAATATGTGAAGTTAACCTCTGAGTCATCCCCATTAGTGGTGGAATCTAAACAGTTTGTTACAGGACCAAAACCACAAGTTACCGAGTTGACTCCAGAGCCACAGTTCCAGGAAGTAACGTTCAGGCAGTTGGAGTCAGAGCCAAAACTACAAGACATGAAATATGTTAATTTAATTCAACAGTCAACTACTACCAAAATGGTAGAATCAGAGAAGCCAATACAAGAGCCAGTGCTACAAAGTATGATACCAGAGGAACTGACTCAGGAGGTACAGCTCCAACGTGTGTCCCTGGGACCAGAGTTGCATAGTGTAAGATTTTCAGAGTTATCTCCCGAGCCACCACTTCAAGGAGAAAGACTTTTAGATTTAATCTCAGGGTCTCCACATCACAGTGTGACATCTGATGAATTGACCCCAGGTTCCCCAATGCAAGAAATAAAATTGTCAGATTGTATCCCAGGACCAAAGCATCAAAGTGTTGTATCTATACAGTTGATGGCAAAACCACAAACTCAAAGTACAAAATTCACGGAACTAAGCTCAGGACCATGCTTACAAGGTGTCAGATTTTCTGATTTGACTCCAGACCCACAGCATCAAGGTTTTGAACACGTGCAGTTAATGCCAGGAACACAGCTTCAAGATACAAAGCCTGTAGGATTTGTAACAGAGTCATCTTTGCAGTTAAGTCAAGGGCTCCCGGTTGAAAATATGAAATCTATTCTGTCTATTGATGGGTCACAGTTTCACAGCATGAAATCAGTGAAACTGACCTCAGAACTACAATTTCAAGATATGAAATCTGAGGAACTGAACCTAGGGTCAAGGCAGCAAGATGTCAAATTTTCTGAATTGACCTTAGGACCAAAGCTTCAAGGTGTCAAATTTGGGAAGCAAATCCTGGAATCACCGTTTCATAGTGTGACTTCCATGGAGACAACTCTAGAGTTAGGGCTTCAAGATTCTAAATCAGCAAAGATGTCTCCAGGACTTCAAGGTGTGAAACAGGTGGGGCCATGGCTACAAGATGTCAAATTTTGTGATCTAAAATCAGGAGTTCAGTCTCAAGGTGTGAAATCCTCTGAGTTAAACTCAGGGCCACAACTACAATATGTGAAGATTTTTGAGTTAACTCCAGAACCAAAGGTGCAAGGAGAAAGATCTATGAAGTTGGCCTCAGGACCTGAACAGCAAGGGGTTAAGCCTGAGATGTTAGGACCAAAGCCACTGTTTCAAGGCATAAAATGTGAAGCAGCAGACCAAATGTCAAGCTTTGAAGGTGACATTTCTTATAAATTAGTTTCAGAGCCACAGAGACCAGATGTAAAATCTATGGAGGTGTCTCCTAGACTCCAGTTGCCAAGTGTAAACTATTCTGAGTTGACCAGAAGACCACCATTACAAGTTATGAAATCTTCTGGATTAACCCAAAGACCACAGATGCAAGATGTAAAACCTGCAGTGAGGACCCCAATCTCAAAGGTTGAAGGTTTACAATCTGAGGTACTAATGCCAGAGCCACAGCTGGAAGATACAAAATCTGTGAAGTTAACCCCAGGACCACATTTAGGAAGTATGAAATCTATTCAGTTAACATCAAAGCCACAACTGGGAAATGTTAAATCTATGGTGTTAACCCCTGGGTCAGAGGGGGAAGATGTGAAACCGGTAGAGGTGACCCCAGGCTCAAAACTTCACGGTTTAATATCTGAGTTGCTGTCCTCAGAGTTGGAGTTGAAAGATGTGAACTCTGCAGTCTTAACTCCAGGACAACATCCAAGAGGTATGAAATCTACATTGCTAACCCCAAGTCCACAGCTGGAAGGTAAAAAATCTGTGGAGATAACCTCAGGACCACTGAGAGAAGATGTCAAATCTGTGAAACTCACCTCAGATTCCAAGCTTCAAGGTGTGAAATCTGATGTGTTGGCACTGTCCTTAAGAAATCAAGGATTAAAAACTGTGACATTCATCCCAAGAAAGCAACTGCAAGATGTGAAAGCTGTGGAATTGAAACTTGGGCCAAGGATGCAAGATGAGAATTCTGTGTTTTTGGCACCATGGTCAATGCTCCAAGGGCCTCAACTGCAAGGTATGAAACCTCGGGAATTGACTGCAAAGCCCCAAATGCAAGATGTGAAAATTTTGCAGCTAACTCCATGTCCCAAGCTTCAAAGTTTAAAACCTGTAGAGGAGACTCCAGATCAAGAGCTGCAATTTGCAAAACCTATGAAGTTGACCCCAAGGCTAAAGAAGCAGGTAGTAAAATCTGTGAACGCGAGCAGAAGACAAAAGTTTCAAGGAGTAAAATCTGTGGATTTAGCCCCAAAGCAACAGTTTCAAGAGACGACACTTGTGAACTTAACTCCCGGGCCAAAACAGGTTAGTGAGATATCTGTAATCTCACCAGAGCAGCAATGTGTGAATTCAGAGTCACTGAAGCAAGGGTCTAAGTCAGAAGATGGGATGTCTTGGGAGTTAATTCCAGAGCTAAAATTAAAAGATGGAAAATTAGTAGATCTCAACTTTGAATTACAGTTGAAAGGTAGGGAATCATCCGAATTGACTCCAGAATCAAATATTCAAGGTGTAAAATCTAAAAAGTTAAAACTTGAACCACAGTTGCAAAGTATGAAGTCTTCCAAGCTGACCCCAGGACCACAGTTACACCAAGTAAAATCCTCAAAGTCAACTTCAGGGCCACAGCTTCAAGATGTGAAAACTGCTAAGTTTAAACAAGAGCCACAACCTGAGAGTATGAAACATATTCAGTGGATACCAGGATGTGAGTTCCAAGATGTGAAATCTGCAGGGTCAAGTCTTAAGTCACAACCTCAAGGAGGCAAATTTGTAGAGTTGAAATCTTCAACACAGTTAAGAGATGCAAAGTCATCTGAATTGCATCTGGGGCCAAAAATTCAAGGTACAGCATATATGAAGTTCGACCTTGGGCCACAGTTGAGGAGGGTGAAAACTCCTGAGTTGTGCCCAGGACCACAGTTGCAAGAAGGAAAAGTTTTGGCATCAACCTCAGAGCCACAGTTTCAAGGTATGAAAATTGTGGAGTTAAACCAAAAGCCACAGTTTGGAAGTACGAAAACTGTTCAATGGATGCCTGCACCAGTGTTTCAAGGTGTGAAATCTCTGCTAAATCTTGAGTTGCAACCTCAGTGTGTCAAACCAACAGAATTGATACAGTTGAGAGATATGAAGTCATCTGTATTGACCCCAAGGCCAAAGCTTCAAGATGTACAATCTTTGACATCACTCCAAGAGTCTCAGGCTCAAGGTCTCAATGTGAAAGCCTGTCTACAGTTTAGCAGTATGAAATCATGTGACCTGACTCCCAAGTCAAAGCTCTGTGATATAAAATCTATGATGTTCAAATCTAGGCTTAACTTGCAAGATGGCAAATCTCCTTTGTTGACCCCAGGACTATGCCTTCAAGAAGTGAAACCATTACAGTCAGCCCCAGGAACACAGCTTCAAGGTGTGAAGTCTCCACTGCTTACACAAGAGCCACAGTTTCCTGAGGTGAAATCTGAGGTATTAAGCCAAGGGTCACAATTACAAAGTGATAAAACTATAGAGTTGAACTCCCCACTACACTTGAAAAGTATGAAGTCATCTGAGTTGACTCTTCAGCCAAAGCTTCAGGGTGTGAAATCTGAGGATTTCAACATTGTGCCACAATGGCAAGGTCTAAAATCTTCTAAGCCACCGTTTGAGACAAAGTCCCAAGATAAGAAAGTTACTGAACTAATCCCTGGCTTACAGTTGCAAGATACAATGTTTTCTAAATTGACTGTGGGGACAAAGACTCAAGGTGTCAAATATACAGATTTTGACCCTGGGTCACTGTTAAAAGGTATAAACTCTTCTGGGTGGACCTCAAAGGCCGAACTTCAAGATGTAAAACATAAAGAATTTAGCCCCTGTCCCCAGTTGCAAGTTCTGAAATCTTCTGAACTGATCCTGGCATCAAAGCTTCAAAATGTGAAATTGGTGGTCAACTCTGAGTCACAATTTCAAGGAGAGAAATCTTCTCAATTAATCTCAGACTCAAAGTTACAAGATGTGGAATCTGCAAAGTCCAAATCTGGGCCACCATTGCAAGGTGTGAAATCTGAGTTGACACTGGGGTCAAAGCTTCAAAAAGTGAAATCAGTGGAATTCAAGTCAGGTCCACAGTTGCAAGATGTAAAATCTTCCAAGTTGATCACGGGCGTAAAGCTTCAAGGTGTAAAATCTATGAATTTCAGGTCTGGATCAAACTTGCAAGGTGTGAAATTGTCTGAAGATATCCCAAGGGAGAAGCTTCAAGGTGTGAAGTCTGTAGACCTGAAACCTAGTCCAAAGTTACAAGGTGCAAAATCTGATTTGACAAGGAAGATTCCAGTTGTGAGATCAGTAGAGTCAGACTCAGGCCAACACTTACAAGATATGAAATGTTCTGAACTGATCATGGGTATAAAGCTTCAACATGTAAAATCTAAAGGGTTAAGTTCTAGACCACACTTTCAAGGTATGAAATCTTCTGAAGCGGTCTTAGGGACAATGCTTCAGGAAGCGAAATCGATGTTCAACTCTGAACCACAGATACAAAGTAAAAAATGTTCTGAACTGACTCAAGGGACAAAGCTTCAAGATGAAAAATCCTTAGAGTTCAATCATGGACTGGAGTTACAATGTGGGAAGTCTGATTTAACCCAGAAGAGGGAACTTCAAGGTGTGAAATCAGTGGAGTTCAACCCTCAACCACAGAGACAGGGTGAGAAATCTGATTTGAGGCTAGGGTGGAGGCTTCAAGATTTGAAATCTGTTGTTCCACCTCTGCAAGGTGTGACATCCTCAGAGTTAACATCAAAGACAAAGCCTCAAAGTGGAGAATCTATGGAATTCATCACCAGGCCAATGAGGCAAGATATGAAACCTTTTGAATTGACTCTTGGTACAAAGGTACAAGATGTGAAATCTTTGGGGTTCAACTCAGCTCCACAGTTACAAGATAGAAAGTTATCTATGCTGACATCAAAGGCATACCTTCAAGGTGTGAAATCTATGGAATTCAACCCTGTGGCAGAGTTGCAAAGTGTAAAATCTTCTGGGCCTATAAAGCTTCAATTGATGGACTCTACAGAAGTCAATCCTGGCCTAGAATTTCAGGTTGCAAAATCTTGTATGTTGGCCTTGGAATCAAAGATTCACAGTGGGATATCGTCTAAGAGCAATGCTAGAAAGCAAAAGCAAGATGAGAAATCGTGTAAGTTGAATCCATGGCAAGAGCTTCAAAGTGTAAAAGTCATGGTGTTCAGTCCTAGGACACATTCACAACATATGAAATCTTCAGAATCATGCAAAGGGACAAAGTTTCAAAATGTGAAGTCTTTGGAATTCAATCCTGACCAACAACTGCAAGATATGAAATCTTCTGATTTGAGTCTGGGAACAAGTCACCAAGGTATTCAATCTTTAGAGTTCAATCCTGGACCACAGCTGCAAGTGGTAACATCTGAGTTGAGCACAGAAATGAAGCTTCCAGATGAGAAATTGCTGGAATTTAACCATGAGCCTAAATTACAAGTTGGGAAATGCTCTGAACTGAAGCCAGGGCCACAACTTCAATGTGTGAATTATACACCATTCAACACTGGGTCACAAGTGCAAGATACAAAATCTTCAGAGTTGAATCCCAGTACGGCGCTTCAAGGTAGAAAATCTAAGGTGCTCTGTGTTGGGCCAGATTTGCAAGGTGTGAATTCTTCTGCATTCATTTCAGAACCAAAACTTAAGTGTGTAAATCCACCTGGATGCCAGCCTGGGTCACACTTGCAAGGTACAAGCTCTTCTGAATTAACTTCAGTTTCAAAATTTCAAGGTATGGAGTCTTCTAAGTTAAATTCAGGGACAGAGCTTCAAAGTGAGGCATCTATGGTGTTCAACCCTGGACCACATTGCCAAGGTCTGAAAGGAGCAAAATCATCTAAGTTGACTTCAGGGAAAAAATGTCAACATATGGGATCCGAGGTGAGACTAAGCACAGAGAATCAGTGTGAGACATCTATGGTGTTCAACCCTGGACCACACTGCCAAGGTTTGAAATCTGAATTGAGGCCAGAATCAAAGTTTCTAAGTGTAACACCCACAGAATGCAACCTTGGGCTACAGATGCAGTGTGCAAAGTCTTCTAAGTTGAATTCAGAGCCAAAATCACAATGTTTAAATTCTATGGGTTGCAAATGTGGGCCACCCTTGCAAGATATAAAATCCCTTGAGTTGACTTCAGGGGAAAAATGTCAATATATGGGAACTGAAGTGAATCCAGGCACAGAGAATCAATGTGAGACATCTATGGGGTTCAATCCCGGACTACACTGCCAAGGTCTGAAATCTGAATTGAGTCCAGAGTCAAAGTTTCTCAGTGTAGCACCCACAGAATGCAACCCTGGGCCATGGATGCAGTGTGCAAAGTCTTTTGAATTGAATCCAGAACCAAAATTACAATGTTTAAATTCTATGGGTTGCAAATGTGGGCCACTCTTGCAAGGTATAAAATCCCTTGAGTCGACTTCAGGGGAAAACCGTCAAAATATCGGGTCTGAAGTGAAACCATGTACAGGGGATCAATGTGAGACATCTATGGTGTTCAATCCTGGACCACACTGCCAAGGTTTGAAATCTAAATTGAGTCCAGAGTCAAAGTTTCTAAGTGTAACACCCACAGAATGCAACACTGAGCCACAGATGCAGTGTGTAAAGTCTTCTAAGTTGAATCCAGAGCCAAAATCACAATGTTTAAATTCTATGGGTTGCAAAAGTGGGGCATCTTTGCAAGGTATAGAATCCCTTGAGTCAGCTTCATGGAAAAAATGTCAAAATATGGGATCTGAAGTGAAGCCATGTATAGGGAATCAATGTGAGACATCTACGGTGTTCAACCCTGGGCCACACTGCCAAGGTCTGAAACCTGAACTGATTTCAGGGTCAAAGTTTCTAAGTGTAACACCCACAGAATGCAACCCTGGCCCACAGACACAGTGTGAAAATTCTTCTGAGCTGAATCCAGAGCCAAAATTACAATGTGTAGATTCTATGAAGTGCAAATGTGAGCCACATTTGCAAGGTATAAAATCTCCTGAGTTAACTTCAGGGACAAAATGTAAAGGTAGGAAATCTTCTGATTTTAATCCGGGGCCAGAACTTCAAGGTACAAAATCTGTTATGTTCAACCCTGTGCACAATTTACAAGACATAAAATTTGAATTTACTCCAGGGACAAAGTCTCAAGGTAGAACCTCAACAAAGTTCAACTCTGACCCACAGCAGCAAGGTGTGCATTCTCCTGGGTTGAATTCAGGGTTAGAACTTCAATACTTAAGTTCTGTAAAGTCTAGTCCAGGGCCACAGATGCATGGTATGAAACCCTCTGAAATGATCCCTGGGCCAGAATCTCATGGTACAAAATCTATGTTGTTCAACCTGGAATCACACTTGCAAGAAGCAAAATCTCCTGAGTTAACTTCAGGGACAAAGTTTCCAGAAGTCCAATTTTTGGTTAACCATGCTGGGTCAGAGCAACAAGTTGTGCAGTCTGTGTTCACTTTGGGCCCTCAGTTAAATGTTATGAAACCTATGTTATTTTTACCAGAGCAACTGTTTGAAGACATAAAATCTATGAAGATGAACAAAGAGCCACTACTTTGTGGTACCAATTCTACAAAACTGATTTCAGACTCTGAGCTACAGAATTTGAAATGGAACGTGTTTGCTCTAGAGCCATGCTTTCAAAAAGTGAAATCTATGGAGTTAAACTCAGGGCCACATCCTCAAGGTATGAATTGTGAGGAGTTGCCCTCACACCTCAGGCAGCATAGTATAAGATCTGTGGTGTTTGCACCAGAGCCATGTTTTCAAGATAGGAAGCCTCTGGAGTTGAAACCAGAGATACAACCTCAAGATGTGAATTCTAATAAATTGATTTCTTGCTTCAGGCAGAAGTCTGTAGTATCTGTATCAGTGCCATGTTCTCAAGATGTGAAATCTATGAAGTCAAACCTACTGCCCCAATCTCAAAGTATGAACTTTTTAGGATCATCATCATGTCTCAGGTCACAATGTGTTAAATCTGAGATCTCTGCACCAGAACCATGTCTTCAAAATATGAAATCTGTAGAGTTGACACCAGGGTCTCAAGAACAAGGCATGAATTGCCAGGAGCTGACTTCAGGATTGCAAGGTGTCAAATCAGGAATCTCGGCACCAGAGTCAACTAAGAACTTCATACCAGGACCAATGTTGACTAGTATCAAATTTTCAAATTTGTCTCCAGAATCACAGCAACAAGGTGTGAAACATTTGGAGTTTACTCCAGAACCAAAGTTGCAAAGCACGAGGCATGCAAAATCATCTTCAATGTCTCTGCAACAAGCTATACAATCTGTGGAGTTAGCATCAGAGTCACTGTTTCAAAGACCAAAATCTGAGGATCTAACTCCAAGAACAAGCTCTCAAATGACAGGCTCCTCTGAAATCATCCCTAGGCCAGGGCATCAGTTTGTAGAACATGCAGAGATGATTCCAAAGCCAATGCATCGAGTCCCTAAATCTGTTAGTTTGACTTCAATACCAATTTATCAAGCTACAGATTCTTCAAAAATGGCACAAAGTTTGGCACATCAAGACACAGAAACTGTAGAGAAATCTGTGAAGTTGACCCAAAAACCAAAAGGAAAAGCCATGAAATCTTCAGGAATGCCTCTGAAACGAAATCTTCAAGTACCAGAATTTGCTGATCTGACTCCAGTGCTAAGGAATCAAGGTTTAAAATCCTTAGAATTAACACCAAAGAAAAGCCACCAAATCCTGGAAACTCTGGAGTTGCTCTCTCAGTCAGGGTCCCAAGTTAAGGAGTTACATACAGGGCAGCTGCAGCAAGTTGTGGAATCTGAAGGGATGACTTCAGGACCCAAGAATCACATTACAGAAACTATGGGGTTGACCTTCAAGACAAAGCTGCAAGGGGAGGAATTTCTTGGAAGGAGTCCAAAACCAATAAGTAAAACCACTGATGCAGAGAGATATTCAAGGCCCTACCCTCAACCCCAGGAATCTGTGGAGGTGATCTCCGAGCAAAAACTGCCAAGGGGAGAGTCTATAGCATTGATTACAAAGGCATTTCAAGATGTCCCAGAATCTTCAGAGATGACAGAAGGGATACGATATCAAGTTCCTGGGTCTATGGGTTTGACCTGTAAGCGATTCCTAAAGGCAAAGCAAATAGGTCAAGTTGCAGGACACACAGAATCTGCAGAGGTCACCACTGAGACATGGCAACAAGGGGAGGGAAAAATGAAGCTAACCCAGTCACAGAATCAAAGTATGAAATACTCAGAAACAGCCCCAGGACTACTGGGTCAAATTACAGAATTCATGAGGATTAGTCCAAAGCCATTAGAACAAGTCACAAACTCTACAAAGACACAGCTTCAAGTTGCTCAAGCAATAGGGGTAAAGCCAGTAGCTCCCATCAGAGTTGCTACACCTGTGAAAGTGACTCCTGGGCCACCATATCAAGTTGTGAAGTCTGTAACGTTAACATCATGGCCAAACTCTCAAACGGTAGACTGTGTTGAGTTGACTTCAAAACCACAAGATGTGAGACCTTCAACCTCAAGCCTAAGGTTGCAAAATGCAAAATTTAAGAAATTAAGCACAGAACCAAAGTACCAAACTTTGAAAAGAATGGATTCGACAGGGTTTCAAATTGTAAAGACTGTGGGACCACCACTTCAAATTGTAAAATCTGAGGAATTAGCACCAGGGCCAATTCCCCAGATTGCAGAACCAATAGGAGTGGGGCTTAAGGCAACAAATTACTTGGATTTATTCCCAAGGCTACATCTTCAAGAACCAGTAGAATCTGTAGAATTAACTCCAAGGCCAAATACTGAAGTGAAATCTGCAGAATTAACCACACAGCCAACATATACACTCGAGGCACCTACAGTGTTAAATCATAAACAAGGGTTTCAGGCTGTGAAATCTACAGGGGTAAAAACAGGACCGCCTCAAGTCATGGAATCTGAGGATTTGAATCTAAATGAGGTGTGTCAGAATAAGGACTTTGAGGAGGGATCATCAGAAGAAGAGTTACAAACAGGGAATTATTTCTCTAGGTTTCTACACAACTCTTCAGACTCACTCATCTCAAGTTCTGTCAGAACATCTGAATTAGATCTTTGGGATTCTAAGATGCTGCAAGTATCAAGTGTATTGGATATAAAAAACCTTGTGACAGATATTTTGCAACCTGAGGAGTCTTTTATAGACCTTGATATGATACAATCTTCAACTTTTTCCTTATCCCTTCATAACCAATCCCCTGATGAGACAGTTATTTCTGTAAAAAACTCAAACTCTGAGATGCCAGGAGTGGATGTCATACCTAATGAAAAGACTAAGAGGAAACATGTGGAGGAGTCAGAGACCTCACTCCAGAGACCCTCACAACATTCACCACAAGACTGGATGTCACCACCTAGGTTTTCCCAGGCAGAGTCAAGGGCTCAAAGAGCCCTTTCCTGGCCTGTCCTGGGCAGGCAACGGAATGTCTGGGAGAGTCGCTCCTCGAGGCCACGACTACCTAGAAAATATCTCTCCAATATGCTAATGCTGGGGAATGTCTTGGGGACCACTATGGAAAGGAAGCTTTCTTCTCCAACATCTTTAACAGAAAGAGCCACTGAAGATACCTGTCAATCTATTCAGAATTTATTTGGGGTTCCAGCTGAATTGATGACATCTTCTGAGAGATTATTTGAAAAGGGTCAAGGTACTATTTCTCAGCCTTCAGTGGTCAAAAACTACATTCAGAGACACACTTCATGCCATGGTCATGAAAAAAAAACACACTTAAGGATGTGGACACGTACTTCCATGCCCTCCATAATACAGCACTACTCTGGGAGTAGAACGAGAATAAAGAAAACAAACTCAAAACCCTGCAATATATCCCGGGAAGTCATTCAGTACATGCCTGTTTCATGCACAGGGAGTCAGCCTCCTGCCCAAGCAAAGTCAGAGTCTCCCCTCAACATATTTTTTGCCAGGAGAGATTCTGTTCCAATGGAAGAGACTGAGAACTCACAGAGTGATTCACAGACAAGGATTTTTGAGTCCCAACATTCCCTCAAGCCAAGTTATCTTTCCCAGGCCAAGACTGACTTCTCAGAACAGTTCCAGCTGTTAGAAGATTTACAGCTAAAAATAGCAGCAAAACTGTTGAATAGTCAAATACCCCCCAATGTACCTCCACCTTTAGCTTCAGGTCTGGTCCTAAAATATCCTATCTGCCTACAGTGTGGCCGATGTTCAGGATTTAATTGCTGTCATAAATTACAGGCTGCTTTTGGGCCTCACCTTCTTATCTATCCACAGCTTCACCTTGTAAGCACTCCTGAAGGCCATGGAGAGATTAGGTTACATCTTGGCTTTAGGTTGCGAACTGGTAAAAGACCCCAGCTCCCAAAGTATCACAGAAGAGACAGACCAGTCACGCCAAGGAGCCTCAGATCAACATCATTAAGGAAAGCAAAAGGTTACACATGTGCTTCCAAGAGTCCTACTTCTACAATAGATTTCCGGTCTGGGTCTTCCCAGTCTCCTTCTCCTATAGAAGTCCACATTAGGCGAAGGCAATATGACAGCTCTAGCCTAATAGAAAAGACAGAAATTAGAGAGCCTGGACACTATGAGTTCACTCAAGTTCACTCTCTATCAGAGACTGACTCTGAAAGCAATCAGGATGAAAAATGGGCTAAAGCGAGAACCAAAAAGACCCATGATTCAAAATATCCAATGAAAAGAACCCCCAAAGGAGTTAGATCACAAAATACAAAGTTCTACACAAATGGTAGAGCTATAATACAGAGTTCCTCTAGGGAATTACCAAACCAGTTAAGAAGGAAGAGGAGTGGAGCATCTCAGACAACGACCACCTCTTTGAAAAGACAACCTAAGAAATCCTCCCAACCAAAATTTATTCAACTGCTTTTTCAGGGCCTAAAGCAGGCAATTCAAACAGCACACAGAATTATGGCTTTGGCTAGGCAGAAGCCTGAGGACACAGCAAGGTCAGACTATTTCTGGTCAAGCAAAACCTACCTTCCAAAACAAAAAGCCAGAGACTATTGCTTGACAAGAGACAGCAAAAGACACAGGATGCCAACTCTCAAGCTAAGGCAATCAGAGTCAGTCACCAAGCAGGAGAGCACACGTTGGGAAGAAACAGACCAATTCAGACCAGCTCAACAACCAAAAAGGGATAGCTCTTTCCAACTCAGACCTAAGCAATTACCCAAGCCCACAGTTTCCCAAAGAAGTACCACTCTCAAAAACACCTCAGCTAGCCAGTGTTTGGGTCCTGTTCAAAATGACAGTAGTAGCAGAGCTAAGAAAAACTTTAACAGAAATGAAATCTCTAACCAAGAGTCCAAGAACTTCAAACCAGGAATCAGAGTTCATGCTGGAGGGAGACTCTTAAAACCTGGTTCTCTTATGAAGAGGACCTCACACAATCACCTTAAAGGGAAACCCACACACAAGGAACGAAACCACCAGAGCTTCGGCTTCAGTAGGGAAAGAATCCCATGTTATTCTTCTGGAAGGAGCCAATACAGTTCCTCTGAGAGGGGCCAGCACAGTACCTCTGAGAGGAGCCATCGAAGTGCCTCTGAGAGAAGCCACCGCAGTGCCTCTGAAAGGAGCCACCGAAGTGCCTCTGGGAGAAGCCATCGAAGTGCCTCTGAGAGGAGCCATCAAAGTCCTTCTCAGAGGAGCCATCACAGTGCCTCTGAGAGAAGCCATCACAGTGCCTCTGAGAGAAGCCATCACAGTGCCTCTGAGAGAAGCCATCGAAGCGCCTCAGAGAGGAGCCATCGCAGAGCCTCAGAGAGGAGCCATCGCAGTGCCTCTGAGAGGAGCCATCGCAGCGCCTCTGAGAGGAGCCATCGCAGCGCCTCTGAGAGGAGCCATCCAAGCCCTTCTCAGAGGAGCCATCACAGTCTCTCTGAGAGGAGCTATCGAGGTCCCCCTGAGAGGAGATGTCGCAGTCCCTCTGAGAGGAGATGTCGCAGTCCCTCTGAGAGGAGATGTCGCAGTCCCTCTGAGAGAAGGTGTCGCAGTCCCTCTGAGAGAAGCAATCGCAGTCTCTTTGAGAAAATTCGTCGCAGCTCCTCTGAGAGGAGAGAACACAGTGCTTCTGAGAGAAGACAGCACAAGCCCACTGAGGGGAGAGGACAAAGTCCCTCTGAGAGGAGCCACAACAATCCCCTCAAGGAGAGACTCAAACACAGCTCCCCTAGGGAGAGGCCCAGACATGGTTTGAGTAAAGATTTCAAGAGTAATTCTAACACGTCTCCTAGAGACCACACCAAAAATCCCCAAAGGAGGGCAAGTTTGGAGGCCTGACGCTAGTAGATGGAAGAGACCCGCCCCCGTTATTCATTTCGTAGCTCAAGTCTCCCCTGAGCGGCCCTGGCTTCTTTCCTACTCGGCCAAGGCCTCCACTTCCTAAGCCCTCAGCAATGAAAGAGCTTCTACGTCTCTCTACCTGGGGGGAGGGAGAGCGGGAATGGGTCTGTCACTTCCCTAAGATAAATAAAGGGGCAATAATTGACCTTCCTGTGCATCAAGAAAGACCACTCTTCTCGCGGGGTGGAGCCTGGGGGCGCCGGAAGGGCAGGAGAGGTTGTGCAAACCGAGGGAACGAAAGGGAGGGGCTCTCAGGCCAAAGTTGACGCTCCAAACCCCACCCCCAGTTTCCCGGGTCCCACCGCGCACTGCCGGGGCGGGGTCTCAGAGGAAAGGGGGGCTAGTCACGTGACTCGCCCCTGCCGCAGCCCCCTCGGAAGCTGCTAGGCGGAAGTAGACGTTCGCCACCGGGCTCGCGGACCCGACTCTACATCCGGGAGCGGAGAGGAGAGCGGAAGTGGCGTTGGTCTGGCCGGAGCCCTTGGGTGAATTTGTTAGGCGTGGAGAGGGAGTGATGTCTTCCAGACTCGGTGCAGTGCCCGCTGTGAGTTTCTCGGTTTGACCGTTACGCTTTAGGGGTAGCGCTGTCGAGCGCGCCACACGCGGTGCCTCGCTTTTGTCCCCTGCTCAGAGTCGGTTTTCTCAGAGCTCAGCGTAGGCCCCACCCTTCTAGGTCAGATCTATGAGCCCCCGTATTTACCCCCACTTTCTGCTGCCCGTTCCCCACCCCCTTGGACTAAATTCCTCATCAGATTACCGTTAGTCTCTATTCCTTTTACATCCCTGATGTCTCCCATATCCTTTGTCCTGTCTTTCCGTCTCCCGTTTAGAGTCTTTCTTGGATCAGGGCTTTGAGAATGGAAGAGATGAAGGCTCTGGTGGTGTCACCTGCCTTGACCCCGTAGGTAGGGTGGCGCACTTTCCCTAAAAAGTCTTGCCTTGTTCAGTGTGCAGTAGTAGCCCTGGGAGAGCTTCAGTTCTTGGCGCAGGGGGATTCATCTTTTTGTGGTCAAGTTTCAGAGGTCCCTAGCATACACTCACTCATGTGCTTACCATTTGCTAGACCCCGGGACCCACACCCTTTAAGCAGCAGAGGAGCACGAGGATCGTGGGAGCTAAGAAGTAAGTGAGGTTTTCTGCAGTCCATTTATAATTATGTCACCAGTGTTGTCCAGTAGAACGTCCTGTGATGATAAAAATATTCTACATCCACACTGTCAAGTGTGTTAGCCACTAGCCACGTATCATTTTTGAGCGCTGGAAATGTGGATAGTAGCAGTGAGGAACTGAATTTTAAATGGTATGTTGATTAACTTAAATTTAAATAGCCACCTGTGGCTAGTGGCCATCTGATTAGACGGTGCAGGTCTAATCTTGGTGTGGGGGAGGAAAACACCCCTTGCAAAAAAAAAGTACGGATTATAATAAAAATGGAATGTGTGACTGTGTAGCCCTGCATTTCTTTAGACATTATATATGTACTCATGAATACATTGATGAACTTGGGAAGTACTGATGAAAATGACTAAGAAGTACTTATATTTTCAAACTACTTGGCTTCAAGGCTGGCTTATTATATTGTATACTGAATGCGCTAAGGTTTTCCATATTCGTTAATACAAAAAAATTCTTGTTCAGGAGATACTCAGAAAGGATTAATTCCTTCATATAACATTTACTAAATATCTGCTTTATGTCAGTTGCGTGTTAGGTTAGATATACAGACATGAAAAACACAAGGAGATCAACACAATACTGTGTAATGAAATATTTTTATTTCAAGAATTATATATAGTCTTTGGGAAGGTGAGTGATGTTTGGAAGGGAAGGGTTGCTGGTGCAAATCACTCCTAAACAGACTTGAAAGTCAAGGAATAATGCATTTAACCATAAGGAAAAGGATTTTTTTGTTTGTTTTTCAGAAGAAATAACAATGTGAATTTGTAAAAGGTTTTAATGGAATAGCAAATGGGTAATTGTTAGGAAATGTAAAGGCTTATGGGCTCTCATCCATTGATAATCAGAATCATTGAGCATCAGAATCCCTATTTTTGACTAGCCTAGGATATTGTGGAGTTTGAGAATCACTGATGAGAATTGAGACTAGAAGAGTAAAGGATGAAAACGTGGAAAAGATCAGTGTTTAAGGTTTGGGTAGAATAAAGGCTGCAGATGATACTGAGATGAACTTAAAATATTTTTCTAATAAAATATAACTATTTTCACCTAGAGAATGAACTAGGGGCTCTTAAAAGTTCTTGGTAGATCAGAAAGGAGTTGAAAATAGGTTAAACTTTTCATCTTCATGATAAGAAGCCAAGACTAAACAACAAATTATTTTAAAGTCACTACCGTTATGATAGTCATTGTTGGAGCCAAAAGCTATTTCTTGTCATATTTATGGAAAGAAAGAGAGTGAGTGAGTGAGTGAGTGAGTGAAAGTCGCTCAGTTGTGTCCGACTCTTTGAGACCCCATGGACAGTAGCCTACCAGACTCCTCTGTCCATGGAATTCTTCATGCAAGAACACTGGACTGGCCTGGATTGCCATTTCCTTCTCCAGGGGATCTTCCTGACCCAGGATCAAACCCGGGTCTCCTGCATTGTAGACAAATTGTTTACTGACTGAGCCACCACAGAAGCCCCAGTATAAAGAAGTTTGATATTAATCTGGTTTTTAATAAATAATAAAAAAATAAATAAACCCTGAGTTGATAGGTACTGTAAAATACTTGAGAATTGTTTTTGTTGAGTGCTTTAAAAATGAGAAACCTGGAGAGAGAATTCCCTGTCCACAGTGACTTAATCCTCAAGTTAATCATGCTGACATATAAACTAGTTGATTTTTCACTATACACATGCTTATTCATGAGCAGGGAGCTGGGTATGTCTGAGTCCAACATTGACTGTATAGAAATTCCTATGAGGATGTTTCCTAAGAGGAGTCATATGGGACTTGACTCTTTATAGCCTGTTGATACTATCAGGTTTTTCTGGTAGAGATTATTCCCATTGTTTGGTATGGTGGGTTTTGGCCCGAGAGGACTACCTATTCCCATTAAATTATTTTTATACCTTCACTGAGGTATAATTGAAGTGCAGTTGGCTTCATATGTTGAAAGTATAGGGTACCTTCAGCTTTGACATAATGTAAGTACCCATGAAACTGTCACCACAATCAAGATAAGTTTCCTTGTCTCCCATAAGTTTTCTCATGTCCCTTTGCAATTCATTCCTCCCTTCACGCCTGTTGCCAGACACCCACTGACCTGTTTTCTGTCACTGTACAGTGGTTTGCATGTTCTAGGATTTTATATAAATGAAATCAGACACTATGTCCTCTTTCTGCATTCTTTCTTTCACTCAGAATAATGATTTTGAGTGAAAAATAGTTTTTATTGCTAAAAAGAATTCCATTATGGATATACCATAGTTTGTTTAGCCATCTACCTGAGAGATGTTTGCATTATTTTCAGTATGAGGGTGTTAGAATAAAACTGCCATGAACATTATGTGCAAGTATCTGTGTGGAAAAATATTTTTGTTCTCTTGATAAATACTTAACACAATATATATTTATAAGATGGTACTTACCATCTTAGATTGATGAGCTCATATGTCAGGAGTATGTTTAAGTTTTTAAGAAATTATTTTGCAAGTTGGTGATATGATTTTACATTCCTACCAGCAGTGTATGAAAGTAAGTCTCAATTTTAGCAGCTTTAATGGTGTGTAGTGGTGTTTCATTTTGGTTTTAATTAGCATTTTCCTGATGAATAATGATGTAAAACATCTGTTTATGTGTTTTATTGGTCATTCATATATCTTCTTTTGTCAAATGTGTGTTCATGTCTTTTTGTGTGTGTGTGTGTGTTCATGTCATTTGCCACCAAAAAAAAAAAGTTCTGTCTCACTATTAAATTGTACTATTTAATTAAAAATTTTTTTGAATACATTTCCTTTGTTACATATATCTTGACTATTTCCTCAAGTCAGTGGTTTGCATTTCATTTTCCTAATGGTATCTTTTGAAGAGCAAAAGTTTTAAATTTATCATTAAAAATAAAAAGAATTTTATCATTTTTTTCCTTTTATGTTTTGTGTTTTTTTGTGTTTTATTTAAGGAAACTTTGCCATCTCTGATTGCAAAGATTTTTTTCCTGCATTTTCTTCCAGATGTTTTATAGGTTTTGCATTCAGGTCTGTGGCTCATTTAGAGTTAATTTTTATGCATGGTGTGTTATAAAGATCAGTATTAATTCCTTATATATCTAGTTGTTGAAAAGACTTTCCTTTCCCTATTCAATTGCCTTTGCACCTTTGTCCAAAATCAGTTAAATGTACGTAGGTGTGGGTTTCCTTGGTGGCTCAGTGGTAAAGAATCCACCTGCCAATGCAGGAGACATGAATTCGATCCCTAAGTCAGGAAGATCCCCTGGAGAAGGAAATATCAACCCATTACAGTATTCTTGGCTGTAAAACACCATGGGCAGAGTTTCCTCATGGGCTGCAGTCCATGGGGTCACAAAAAGAGCCGGACATGACTTAGTGACTAAACAACACATATAGGTGTGGGTCTGTTTCTGAACTCCTGTTATCCTATTCTATTGATGTATATGTTTGTCTTTTTGGTAATACTGAACTATCTTGACACTGTAGCATTACAGTAAGTCTTGAAATCAGTTGTCGTGTACTTTGTTTTTTCAAGATTGTTTCAGCTGTTATGTTTTCTTTGTTTTTTAATATAAATTCTGCAGTTTGTCATCTCTATAAAAAGAAGCTAAAATAAAAATAAAAAGGAAGCATACTGGAGTATTGATTGGTACATATATTGAATCTGTAGGTAGATTTAGGGAGAATTGCCATTTTTAACATTTTCTGATTTATAAGCATATTTTCCATTTGTTTTGGTCTTCATTTTTTCTTGCCATTGTGTTGTAGTTCATTGTAAAAGTCTTGGATGGCTTTTTTTAAAATTTTAATTCGAGGCTAATTATAATATTGTGGTGGTCTTGGATGGCTTTTGTTAGATTTGTTTTTAGGTTCCTAGATTTGTTCCTAGATTCCTGTGTTTTTTGTTATTGTCAGTGCTATTATTTTTATAAGTCTGTTTTCTAGTTGCTTGTTGCTAGTAGCTACAAATACAATTGAACTTTTGTAATTTAACCTTGAATCCTGCCACTTGCTAAATTCATTTTTAATTCTAGTAATTATTTCATGTATTTCCTTAGATTGTCTTTATAAACAAACTGCGAAAAATCTGTTAAAAAAACCCTGCAAATCAGTTCAGTTGCTCAGTCATGTCAAGACTCTTTGTGACCTCATGGAATGTAGCGCACCAGGCCTCCCTGTCCATCACCAACTCCTGGAGTTTATTCAAACTCATGTCCATTGAGTTGGTGATGCCATCCAACCATCTCATCCTCTGTTGTCCCCTTCTCCTGCCTTCAGTCTTTCCCAGTGTCAGGGTCTTTTCAAATGAGTCAGTTCCTCATCAGTTGGCTAAGATGTGTAGAATTGTCTGCTTTTCTTTTTCTGTCAGTTTTATTTTGTATACTCTGAGCCTCTGTTGTTAGACATGTGCAATGAGTAATTATGTCTTCCTGATGATGTTATTTTTATTATGAAGTGTTTCTTTTTATATCTGGTAATACTCTATGTCTTGAAGTCTATTTTATCTGATAGTAAAATAGCTACTCCATCCTTATTATGTTTGCTGATGGCATAGTATGATTGTTTTATACCTTTACTTCCAATCCACATATGTCGTTTATGTTTAAAGTGTGCCTCTTGTGGACAGCCTATATTAAAATACTTTTTTTATTTACTCTCTCAATGTCTGACTTTCACCTGGAGTAATTAGGCCATAAATGTTTAAATTAATTATTGACATGATTGGATTTAAGTTTGCCATTTAATTATTCATTCTCTCTACCTTGTTTTTTTATTCCTATATACCTTCTTTTGGATTACTTAAATGTTTAGTGTTCCATTTTATTTTATTTAATTTTTACTGTCCCTCCCCCCTGCCTTTTTTTTTGGTGGGGGAGAGATTTGGTAATGGTTGCTTTCAGAATTACAATATACATACCTATCGTTTCATCATCTACTTAAAGTTAATATCCAGCCACTTTGCTTAAATGTAGAAGCCTTAACCATATAAATTGCTTTAACTGCCTATTGCTGACTATTAAATTATAGCTGTTGTATATGTTATATGTACATTTACCTTACTAGATAATGTTAAAATTTTGCTTTAAACAGTTTTTAATATTTGTCAACCTATTTACCATTTCTCTTACTCTTTCTTCATTATTAAAAATCCAGATTTCCCTCTAGTGTCATTTTTTCCTTCAGTTGAAATTATTTCCCTTTGCATTTTTCACAGAGCAGTTCTTCTGGTGACAAATTTTCTTAGTTTTTGTTCATCTTAAGGGTATTTTTTCACTGAATGTGGAATTTCAGGTTGATAAATCTTTTCTCTCAGGATCTTAAAGATGATGTTGTGCTGTCTTCTGTCCTTGGTTTCTGTTGAGAAAATCATCATTTGAATCATTGTTCTCTGTATGTAATATGTCATTTTTTTTCTAGCTGCTTTCTGGATTTTTTAAATCTTCAGTTTTAAACAGTTTCATTAAGATATATCTAGGTGTAAGATATATCTAGGTGTGTTTTTCTTTGAATTTATCCTATTGAGTGTTTAATTTACAGCTCCGTGAATCTGTGAATTTTAAGTCTTTCATTAAACTTGGGGGATTTTTCCACCGTTACCTTTTTAAAAATATTTTTTCTTAGTCTCTGCCTCTCTTTCCTCTTCTGTGATTACAACTATATCTAGGTTAGATCTTTTGATATTGATCCACAGATTGTTGAGGCTCTGTGGACTGTTCTTCAGTCTTTTTCCCTCTTTGTTCTTCAGATTGGTTAATTTCTCCTGATCTGTCTTAAGTTCATAGATTCTTTCCTCTGTCATCTCCCTTTTGTTACTAGTCCATCCAGTGAGTTTTTTATTTTATTTGTTATTTTTCAGTTCTTAAATTTCATTTGGTTCTTTATGATTTTTATTTTTTTGCTGATGATTCCTGCATTTTCCTTTATTTCAAGTGTGTTTTCCTTTCATGAAGTGTAGTTATAATAGCTGCTTTAAAGACTTTGATAGTTCCATCATCTGCATCATCATGGAATTGACATCTGTTTATTTGTCCTTTAAGAATTGCTTGCATTTTACTGGTTCTTTGTATACTGCATAATTTTGGATTTTTATTCTCAAGATTGTGAATGTTATTTGTGTAGATTGTGGGTCTTTTTAGAATCTTCTGGGGATCGTTGCTGCTTTTATTTCTGTTTAGGTTCAGACCATAAATTCTGTTCTGCTTTCTGAAGGTATTGGTTCAGTCTTAGTTCCTTTCTTTGAGTCTTATTTATGATGGTTTAGAGCTTAGGGGTTAGTTTTAGACGTTTTCAGGTTTTTCAAATCCTGTTTTCAGTTTTCCAATCTTCTAATACATTGGTTTGGATCTGTTTCATACTGATAACTTAGGGGTTAGTCTGAGACTTGTGTGCTTTGTTCAAATCTTATTACATTTTTCAAAGCCTTTGCTAAGCTGGTTTGACTATGTTCCATACATGCATAACTCAGGTTAAGCAGTGATTTGTGTGGATTTGTACACAGAATTAGGAGATTACCTTCTTTGCCTGCCTCTGCTCTGTGATTCACTCATGTTCTCTAGTATATAGACACCCCTTTTCATGGATTCTAAGGCCAAAAAGTTTCTACTGGAATTTAAGGTGTCCTTGCTGGTCTGCAGGTGGAGCCCATCATGTTGCAAAGCCACTTGTGAGAGGGGGAAAGAAACTAGAAAGCATACCCTGTGTAACTCAGTTCTACCAGTTTTAACTCTTCTGCACAATCCACCTGCTTTTGTTTACTTTTTGAGGTCCAGAGTTTTTCGTTGTAATCAGCAGGAAGAATGGGCTATAGTGGGCGTATGCCACTATGCAAAAGCGGGACATTTCTGTATTAAAGCTGTAATATTGAACCTCATGTACAGAGAGCTGAGAATCATTTTTCCCTTTTTGTAGCATACTGACATTGTAAGCCTCTGTTATTTTTCTGTTTTTCCAATCCCCATGTCTGTCCCCTTCCTCCCAGAGACAGCCATACTAACAAGTTTGGTATTTGTCCTTAAATAGTTGAGTCCTTGTAAAATAGCTAGTGTTATTTGTGTATTTGTTAATTTACTGAGTTGACATTGTACTATAGATCTGTTCTGTTTCTTGTTTTTATTCCACAATATGCTTTTTAGTTATGTTCATAGATGTGTAGAGATGGTTTATTGCTTCTAACAACTACATAGTATTCTGTAGTAAGCATGTATCACATTTTACTTTTTTCCCCCTAAGAATGGTCACCAGTGTTACTTCTAACTCCCTGCTACCACAAACCTCTATGTGTAATTCTTACCAACTCTGCCTCTAAAGTATTGTCTTGAGTTTTTTGTTTTGTCATCTCTACTGCGAAACTTTAGTTCAAGCTTAAGCTTTTGTCATCTCTTACCCATACTGTTGCAACAAACTGCTAACTCTTCTCTTTTCATTCACTCATCCTCTGTGGGTCATTTTTTGTACAGCATCCAGAGTGGCCTTTCTAAATCACACATCTAAGGTAGGTCTCACACAGTTGGTTGGAAAGGGGATGTCTCAGAGATCCTGGACTAAGCAGTTTGAGAACTGCTACTCTACCACACTTTGAGACACCTAGAAGATACTATGTTGCTACTCAGTAATGTTTGTTAATTGCATAAGTGACTGGTCTTAGATATGGAAATTTGGATGTAGCTGTATACCAGATTTCTGGCCAGTGTAACTCAGATAAGATAGCACCCTTCCTTTAGCTATGAAATCTAAGTATCATGTTGCTTAAGTAAGACAGGGTGTCCTGACATCAAGGTTTAGGGCTGAGGCTAAGGGAAAAGGAAGATGGATCAGACTAGAGTTTACAAACTGTTCTTTTCCTTCTTTATTCTTAGGGGTACTATTTGGTTACTGTCCCTCTGCCAGAGAAATAGAGAAGCCTGGATATACCTCTTAAAGATCAGGAGATCTTCTGAAGGGTCATCAAACACCCTGTTACTTTTACTACTTTCTTTTCTTTGATGAATTTAGGAAAGAATACCTATTTTGGCTATAAAGTGATGATTTATGGAGAGTGCTTATTTTTTCTGATTATAGCAGAGTGTAATAACAATTTTATGTATTGTATCGGGTCAACTATTTTAATTGTTAGAAAACTACAGTCTAAATTGTTTTTATTATCAGGCTTCTTAGTTTTTTTGTACAGGTAACCAACTTGGTTATCTTCTTAGGATGTAATATAGTTAATCGGAACTTTATCCCAGACCCTTCTTTGTGGTGTTTCTCTTTGTGTCATATTAGTAGCAGGACCCAATGCTCCATAAAGGATAATAGTTTCCAGTACACTATCCCTCACGATGACTCCTTAAGCGGCTCATCATCTGCTTCTTCATGTGAGCCAGTGAGTGATTTTCCAGCGTCTTTCCGAAAATCTACCTACTGGATGAAAATGAGAAGGATCAAGTCAGCTGCTGCTTCCCATGTAGAAGGTATCAGTATTATTATTTTATTCTATCTTATTCCAAAGACAGAGAACTCTCTACTTAATATTTTGAGGTGGTGGTTTAGTCGCTAAGTCATGTCTGACTCTTTGTGACCCTATGGATTGTAGACCAGACTCCTCTGTCCATGGGATTTCCCAGGCAAGAATACTGGAGTGGATTGCCATTTCTTTCTCCAGTATTTTGAGGTAGCTATTGTAAATGACTTTTAAAGTATTAAGTACCACTTACGTATTTCTTATTAGTGATTGAATTTTTTTTTTTTTTTTTTGGCTGTGCTGTGCAGCTTGTGGAATCTTAGTTCCCCAGCATGGGATTAAACCTGGGACTCAGCAGTGAAAGCAGAGTCCTAACCACTGGACAGCCAGGGAACTCCCTTGAAATTTTTTAAGGTGTTAGGCTGTCACACACTATTAGTTTCATGAACTGTTCCTCTATTTTACTGAGTGAAAGTCTGCAGATCTTATTTCTCTAGGCTATACTGGTATCACCTTTCCTTTTCACATGAATTGAACTTTTATTTCCATTGTTCTAGTTTGATCCTCTGTTGAAGGTTTAGGGACTGGCGGTAAAAGGGCTGTTCTAAGTAGAATTTTCTTAGTGGTTATAGCCTGAGGGGTTCTTGGGAGCCCTTTATCTTGGACAGTTAGCCTCAAATCAGGATCAAACAAATCACACTGCCTAAAGGACCTTAATAGTCACAGGGAACAGTTAATCATTTGGAATGGAGAACAATACAGAAGGAAAAGGGGAGGTTGAGTCAATTAATAGAAGGTTATATCAACTTCCCTAAAAAACTTATGAACACTTCATGAGGCCTCGCTTGCTGATGATCTTTTTTTCCTTTCATGATCTTGTGATAGATAATTTAGAGGCAGGCCTAGATGTTCATATATAAACCATACTAAGATTTTGTTTTGTTTTCTTGTGTTATTTCAGGGTCAGGTGGAGTATCAACCAAAGGAAAAAGGAAACCAAGGCAGGAAGAAGATGAAGACTATCGAGAATTTCCTCAGAAGAAGCATAAGCTTTATGGTAAGGGAGTAACTTCGCTAATTCTTTTTCCCTGGGTGCCTAGGTTTTGTTTTTTGAAGGTGAAAGGAACCTTAGGTTTTGGCCTTAAGCATTTTTGAGCCCTTTGAATTTTTTGGCAAGGAATGGCCTCCAACCTGCCTTATTTTTTACCCTTTTCTTCTCTCTTGACTTAAGGGAGTCAGTCGGTTGAGGGAGTGGGGCACAGCGTGTTGAGGAGGGAACAGATTTTGGTGGTAGCGCAGGATCAGCAGAGGTGATATGTCAGGCTTCAAGTTTCTGTTTTGCGTCAGGGAGGAAGCAGCGGCCTAAAGCTCAGCCTAATCCCAAAGCCCAGACTCGCCGTATTCGGAAGGAACCACCAGCTTATGCAGCAGGTATGCTTTCAGAAGCTTTGTGAGATCTAGTTCTCTCATTCTGTCTTTGTTGTTGCTGTTGGTAAAGGAATGATGTACCAAAGCATTTCTTTAGGAGGCACTTGTTAGGGACATAGGTTTGAAGATAAGTCATGTTTGTTCAAGTTTTGGCTCTTTGTTAATTCTTTGACCTGCCTCTTAATTTCTGCAAACTTCAGTTTCCTAGTCTCTAACTAGGAATAATAAAGCTGTCAGAATTGTTGTGAAAATTAAATGGGATAAAAGCATTCACCAATCTCTGGCACATACGAACACTTAGCAAACTGGTTGTTACATATCTCAGTTACATATCGCATTCTTACATGCTGCTATGAAAAATGTTACTCATTGTCACTTATAGGTCAGTAAAACTGGGGAAAAAGTTATTGTCCATTTCTATGAGCCACTGGGCTTGGGAGTAGTTCTTCGATGGTTTTTGTCATGGGAATTGAGGAGGAGTTTCTGAAACTCTTCACTGTCTGAAAAAATTTATTTCTAGAAGTTATATACAGCAAGAGTTTTTCCCCCAGGAAGAGAAAAAGCCACTTTATGATACTTTTCCTAAAGTCTGAGATTGTGCTTTTTGTATCTGGAGAATACCGCAAATTGTAAGTGTTCCTTTCTCTCCTTTGTAGGCAGTTTAGAGGAGCAGTGGTACTTAGAAATTGTGGATAAAGGCAGTGTCTCCTGTCCTACCTGCCAGGCAGTGGGGAGAAAGACCATAGAGGGCTTAAAGAAACACATGGAAAACTGCAAACAGGTTAGATAATTTGTGGCATTTCATAACTCATGAATTTTTACCCAAACTTGAAACCTCCGGCGCTGCGTTGGATATGCTGATTATTGTGGAGAAGAGGCAGCATTGTGTCATAGAGAGTCTGACAGACTTGGGTTTGAATTGTTATTCAGCCACTTACTTGTTGGGTCATTTAGTTTTTCATTTGTGGACCTCAATTTTCACATTTATAAAGTAGCAATTATTACTTCCTGTGTAACCCATGAGGATAAAAAAGTGCCTGTCCCATTTCTTGACAAATACTGGCACTCAGTAAATGGTAGTTCTTATTATTTTAAAAATGCGTAGCCTTTACCTCTTTGCCCTTGAGGACATGACAGTGAATTTGGGGGATTTTGAGATTCATTATTATTGTATAATTTGGGAAATGAAGATACAGATGAGAGCATTTGCATAGGACTTTGTGACATCCTGTTTCTTTGTTGAACAGTTTGGCACTGAGCAGCATTTTTCCCTTGTAGGAAATGTTTACTTGTCATCATTGTGGGAAACAGCTTCGTTCATTAGCAGGGATGAAGTATCACGTCATGGCAAATCATAATAGCTTGGTAAGAGCATCTTCTGTCCCTCATGAGCGTGTGATATTTGCATGTCTTTACTTGGATGAGTGTAGAAACCTCAGTGGAGATGGCTAAAGCTCTGGGACTTCATAGGGATGTAAGGAAGAAGAGATCATTTTGATAGAAGAGTTACACACAATAAAATGTGGATACGGAAGTATTTGAGGTATTTGTGGGTTTAGGTTAGCCCAAAGGTTCATATCCTGAGAGGTAGAGACTTTGAACTCTTAGTTCCTTTACATTCACTTTACTGTTCAGGAGAAGATAAAGAAAGCCAGGAGTCAGATAACTTAGATTTCGTGATCATTAGCTTAGGTTCTAGTCCAGTCCTTGATTCTCATGGAATTTTTTTCTGTGAATCATCTGCCTGTTTGTTTCTCTTGTTTTCAAGCCCATTTTAAAGGCTGGAGATGAAATAGATGAACCAAGTGAGAGGGAACGTCTCCGAACAGTTCTGAAGAGACTGGGAAAGCTGAGATGCATGCGTGAGGTAAGAGCCCAAAGACAGAAACTCCATTTGCCTGGAGCCTCAGGTCAGTGTCTTTCTGTTACTTGCTCCCATCTCTCCTTCTCCCTTACAGAACTGGTTTTGTGTCATCTTCCAGCATCAGAGTAACTTCTGATTTTCAAGGTCTCCTGAACTCATTAACAGTTCTTTATTTTCTTTCTCATCTCCAGAAATGTGTGCTTCTCCCTTTTCCCTTTGTTTGAAGGAGTTTCTTTGTCATCCTTTCTTTTGTGTGATAAAGAGGATCATAGTACCCTCATATTGAGGAACTTTGGTATTGCTGGGTATTTGGTGTTGGAATGGAGCTGGTTCATAGATCAAGGAGGAAGCTCTGACACAGAGGAGGTATACAGTTCTAGGTTGTTGAATGCTGACTAAACTGGTTGAATTTCATGCTTGGTGGTAGAAAGGATAGTACTTGGGCCAGGGAAAAGGAAGGGTTGTGCCAATGGGAAATGTTGAAGAGGGTCTAGTAATATCAGAGCGTCTAGTTGTGTGATATGGCTCTTTAGAAATTGAAGGTCATATCAAAATATGTAAGATTAAAATATAGGCCTTTCTCCTGTGTTCAGAGTTGCTCTAGTAGCTTCACCAGCATTATGGGATATCTGTACCATGTGAGAAAATGTGGCAAAGGGGCTGCTGAGCTGGAGAAGATGACCCTGAAATGTCACCACTGTGGAAAGCCGTATAGATCGAAGGCTGGACTTGCGTATCACCTGAGGTCAGAGCATGGTCCTGTGAGTACTGATTACTTTCCAGACCCTGTTTGGGGGTCTATTCTGTGGTGACTGCTTTGCGGCTACATCTTCTGTACATCCTTGGTTCCTCATTTGTAGTTCCTTTTATTCTGAATGTTTTTGTTCTCTTTTTCCTTGTTTCTGTGCTCTTTCTGCTGTTTGATCACTATTAGGTTAGAGAAATCAAAGTTTATTGTGTAGTCTGGGTCGAAGTAAACTCAATACTGTATTTTTAAAGCATAAGGCATTCTCCCTTAGCTAGAAATTTTATGGGACTCTATCCAGCTGGTTCAGTCCCTCTATTCCAGTTTTCTTGTCCTGACTTTTTCTTTTCCTCATTACATTTCTAGGCTCTCCTACCTCATGTTTCTTTTTAGCACTAAGTTTCAAGGTATAGTTTAGATATGGTCATTAATATTCACCCTTTTTAGTGCACATTATAAGAGTTTGAGAAAAACATATATAACTACTACCACAATCAAGATATAGGACAATTTAATCAGTTCCCCCAAATTCTTTTGTGTCACTTTGTAGTCAGTTATTCTTCCCACTCCCAGCTGGCTCACCACTGATATATTTCATGTCCTTATAGTTTTGCCTTTTTTGGAATGTTATATAAATGAAGTTGTACAGTAAATACCTTTTTGAGTCTGACTTCTTCCACTAAGCATAATACATTTGAAACTTGTCCATGTCTTACATGTATCATTAGTTTATTCCTTTTTGTTTCTGTCTAGGATTCCATTCTGTCTAGGATGTTTCACAAGTTGTTTATCCATTCACCAGTTGAAGAGCATTTGAGTTGTTTCTAGTTTTTGGCAATCAGGAATAAGCTGCTGTAAATGTTTACATAAAGGTTTTTGCATGAAAATAAGTTTTAATTTCTCTTGGGTAAATAAATACTTAGGAATGGGATTGCTAGGTCATGTGATAAATGTATGGTTTACCTTTTTAAGAAACAGCCAAACTTTTCCAAAGCAGCTGAGCCATTTTCTCACCAGCAGAGTATGAGAATTTTAGTTGCTTTGCATGTTTATCAACTCTTGGCTATTGTCAGGTTCATTTTTGAAATCCATTCTAATAAATATATAGCAGTATTTTACTGCTGTTTTAAATTTGCACTTCCCTAATGACTAGTGATGTTGACTGTCTTTTCATGTGCTTATTGGGAATGTCAGTCTTTAGTGAAATTTCTTCTTTAGTGAAGAGTCTATTGAAATCCTTTGTTCATTTTATTGTTGGAGTATTTGTTGTTTTACTAATAAGTTTTAGGGCTTCCCTGGTGGCTCAGAAGGTAAAGAGTGCACCTACAATGTGGGAGTCCTGTGTTTGATCCCTGTGTTGGGAAGATCCCCTAGAGGAGGGCATGGCAACCCACTCCAGTGTTCTTGCATGGCTTCCCTGATAGCTCAATTGGTAAAGAATGCACCTGCAATGCAGGAGACCCCAGTTTGATTCCTGGGTCAGGAAGATCTGCTGGAGAAGGGATAGGCTACCCACTCCAGTATTCTTGGGCTTCCCTTGTGGCTCAGCTGGTAAAGAATCCACCTGCAGTGGGGGAGACCTGACCTGGGTTCAATCCCTGGGTTGGGAAGAGCCCCTGGAGAAGAGAACAGCTTCCCACTCCAGTATTCTGCCCTGGAGAATTACATGGACTGTATAGTCCATGGGGTCACAAAGAGTCAAACAAAATTGAGTCACTTTCATTAAGTTTTAAATAATATTTTGAATTTTTTAAAATATATTCTGGACACAAGTCTTTAAGCAGATACATGTTTTACAAATATTTTCTTCTGGTCTTAGTTTGTCTTTGCATTTTTTATAGTGTTTTTCAAAGGGAAGAATTCTTAATTTTCATAAAGTTCAGTTTGTCTTTTTTCTCCCTTCATGGATAATGCTTTTGTTTTTATAGCTAAGATATTTTTGTTCAGTATGATGTATAATTTTCTTTTGCTGCATTAAAACAATCATCATAAAATTAATGGCTTAAACAACATAAATGTATTATCTCACAGTTTATTAGGCCAGAAGTTCAGGCTCAGCTGGTTCTCCTGCGTAGAACCTCATCAGACTGGGCTCAAAGTGTTAGTAGGACTGTTCCTTTATGGAGGTTTGAGGGGCGGATCTGTTTGCAGGATCATTAAGCTCAATCAAGAATTCAGTTCCATGCAGGTATAAGACCTTATTTCTTTGCTTGCTGGGAGATGTGCTCAGCTTCTGAAGGCCACCTGCAACCTTTGGCTCATGGACGCATTCGTGTTTGAGTCAGCAAGAGTATTGAGTCTCTCTCACCTTGGGAATCTTTCCTGTCTCTTTTTTTCTGTCACACCTGTCTTACTTAAAGTCAGCTGACTGTGGACACAAATTAGATTTACCTTAAAATTAAACCTAGGTTAATGTTTGATTGACTAACTGATGACAGTAGCCTAACAAAGTGGACACATCAGAACCCATCATGCCCGGGATCATAAGAATGTTCTCCCTAGGTTTCTCCTAGAATTTTTATACTTTTTATGGTTTATATCTAGGGCTATGATGCATGTTTATTTCTTTTTATATGGGTATGTCTTGACTTTTAACCACTTGTTACAATACAACAGATTTTATCCTGCTAAGAAGCTTTTTTACCAGTAAAATATGCAGTAATATGGTGGAGCTTGATACTAGTGGTTAGCAAGCTAGTAAAGAGCTATTTTGATTTTTAGGGCAGGAAGGACAGCCTTTAATCACTGGCTCTAATGGAAACCATTTCTCAGGCCTGTGTTTTACTATGTCTTATTCTTGCAGATATCCTTCTTTCCAGAGTCAGGACAGCCAGAGTGCTTGAAGGACATGAGCTTGGAGTCGAAGAGTGGAGGCCGAGTTCAAAGACGTTCTGCCAAGATAGCTGTATACCACCTGCAGGAACTGGCCTCTGCTGAACTGGCTAAGGAATGGCCTAAGAGAAAGGTGCTTCAGGATCTGGTACCCGATGATCGGAAGGTGAGGCAGAAACTTGTATTAATTTTGAACCGTTAGGTCTGATATTGTGCTTACTACATGCAGAAAGGTAAACACATTTGAGTAATTACATGACAAATAGTATATTTCTCCTTTATCTTCGGAGATGGAGTACATATGATCCAGCTTCAGTGTTTGAATTCATGTAGGTCCTAGAGTGACAGTCTTTTTCAGAAGTTCTTTAAGGAGCTCTCTTAATTTTAGACTACTTCCAGGGGAACCTGAATTCCCAGAATTTTGTTTGGTCTTTGCCCAGTGTGTTTTTACTTTGTTAGTTCATATGTAGTAGTTTAATATTTAGTTTAGGTAAGAACTCCTCTTATTTATATCAATTAGTTTTTATAGCAGTAGACTTCCTCTTCCCACCTTCTTTCTTTTCCCAAATAAAAGCTTATGCAAAACACCATTTTACATACTAAAAAGGGAGTTGCACTGACTGGGGGTAGTGAGCCCAAAACTGAAAGAAAAAAAATCTTAAAAGCAGCAAAGCAACTGGATATGTACAAGAGAACTCCCACAGGACTATCAGTTGACTTTTCAGCAGAAACTTTGCAGGCCAGAAGGGGGTGACATAATATATTTAAAACCATGAAAAAACCTACAGCCAAGTACCCTACCCAGCAAGGCTGTCATTCAGCTTTGAAGGATAGAGAAAAGATTTTATAAGACGAGTAAAAGCTACAGGAGTTCAGCACCCCTAAATCAGCTTTATAAGAAATGTTAAAGGGACTTAATGGATATATAAAACAAAAAGATATAGAATATGTCTAAAACATTTGATGGGGGTAGAATAAAAATGCAGGGTTGTTAGAAAGCCTTCATACTTAGGAGAACAGCAAGTATATATGTATAATATGTGGCTTGCTGTTGGGTTTTCTCTGGTGGCTCAGATGGTAAAGAATCTGCCTTGAGTGCAGGAGACCTGGGCTTGATCCCTGGGTTGGGAATAGCCCCTGGAGAACAGAATGGCTACACACTCCAGTATTCTTTCCTGGAGAATTCCATGAACAGAGGATCCTGGCATGCTATAGTCGATGGGGTCCCAAGAGTCAGACACGACTGAGCAACTCACACTTTCACTTCCAAGGGTTGCTGTATGTAAACCTCTTGGTAACCACAAACCAAAAATCTGCAATAGATAAACATGAAAAAAAGAGAAATGAATCCAAAACTGTCACTAAAGATAGTCATCAAATCACAAGGGAAGAGAGGAAAAGAGGAAGAAGGAACAAAGAATAGATAACCTGAGAACAGTTAGCTAAACACAGTAAGCACATATCTGTCAATAATTACTTTAGATATAAATGGACTAAATATTCCAATCAAAAGACAAGGTGACTGAATGGATATGAAAATAAGATCTGTATATATGCTGTCTAAAAGAGACTCATTTCACATCTGACTGGCTGAAAGTGAGGGGATGAAAAAAGGTATTCCATGCAAATGGAAACAGAAAGTTGTTCAATACTTAAATCAGACAAAATAGAACTTAAAGACTATAACAAGAAACAAAGTACATGACATAATGATAAAAGAATCAATCCAACAAGAAGACATAACAATCTCAAATATATATTCACTCAGGGTGCTCATGTTTGGTTGTATCCGACTCTTTGCAACCCTTTGGACTATAGCCCACCATGCTCCTCTGTCCATGGGATTTTCCAGGCAGGAATACTGTAGTGGATTGCCGTTCCTCCTCCAGGGGATCTTCCTGACCCAGGGATCAAACCTGCGTCTCCTGCATTGCAGGCAGATCCTTTATCCACTGACCCAGCGGGGAAACCTATTAAACACACGAAATGTAAAAATAATGTGTCTTATGTTGCTTTTGGATGGAATATATATATTTAATATATAAAGTCCATGTGGTATAATGTGTCATTTAAGGCGAGTTTTCCTTATTGATTTTCTGTCTGGATGATCTGTCTGTTGATGTAAATGGGGTGTTAAAGTCCCGTGCTGATACTGTGTTACTGTTCTCCATTTTTGTTTGTTAAATACATAAAGCAAATATTAACAACCAGTTCTGTACTCTGATTTATCAAAGGTTCTTTAGTTTACCTTCCTTACTTCCCCCATTACCTCTCCAGACTTGGTTCTGTCTTTCTATCTCAGAGAATTAGCTTCCTTTCAGATACTTTCATTTTTCAAGTAGGAGGATTCTTTACTCACCAGAAATAACTGTTACCAATGGTGAACTTTGTAAGAACTATCTCTGCAGATGTTAAAACTTTTTTCTGGAAACTAGTTAACAGGACTTCTCTGGTGGTCCATGGGTTAAAACTGTGTTCCCAATACAGGGGGTTTGAGTTCGATCCCTAGTTGGGGAAATAAGATTCCGCATGGCCCAAAGCATGGCCAAAAAAAAAAGTCACTGGAAACTAATTACAGTTGTAAGAAGAGACCAACTGGTGTCAAAATGTGGGAAAGAAAGTTCTGGGACTAATTCTAATTTTGTAGTATAAGGAAATAATAGGCGTTCTGTTCTCTGAGTCTTCTCACATTCTTTCAGATTGAACCTTAATTTTTTGGTGTTAGAATTTTTTGAATATCAAAAATTAACATGATTTCATTGAAGAAAAATGATAAATGCAGATAAGCAGGAATAAAATGAAAACCACTCAAAATTCCAGCACCCAGAGAATACTGCTGTTAACATTTTGATTTCTATCTTTTGACCTATATACATATATTTCTATTAAATATATATTTATATATTATATTTATATATATTGATATATATGTATAAATATATAATATTTATATATAATATTTCTTGAGTATAAAGTGTACATATATAGAGAGAGGACATATCTGTATTGCTTTCTCTCTCTTTTGTAACAAATATTTTTACTGTGTAATGCTCTGTCACTAGCTTTTTTATTTTCAACTTTAGCTGAAATGTTATATCTGAAAGTCTCCTGTCGTCTGTTAAAAGTCAAACTGTTTTAAGACAAAACAGTAGGCATTGTTTTGAAACAAGCATAATATGTTTCAGGAACTTAAAAGGATCTTACATGTTTTTTGTGTATGAAAATATACTTCTGTAAATCCAGAATTACATGACCTGAAGAGTTCACATAATTCTCTTACTTATGGGATATTTTGGTTGAAAGGTAAGTTCCTCCAATAAAATGTTTTCTGTCTTATAGTTAAAATATACTCGTCCTGGGCTCCCGACCTTCAGCCAAGAAGTACTACACAAATGGAAGTCAGATATCAAGAAGTATCATCGCATCCAGTGTCCTAACCAGGTGGTTCTTTCTCATTCATCTAGTCATTAAATGTTGATCAAGTATCTACTGTTGTTTCAGTTATTTATTCCTTTGTGACAAAGCACGTGAATCTTAAAGAGTTAAAACACTGATTACTTTATTAAGAGTTCTGTAAATCACCAACTCTATCCACACTCAAAGGGCAGTTGTATTAATACATGGCATCGGCTGGAATCATTTATGGGTTGCTTTCAGCTGGAAGTCCTGAGTGTTGAATGGCTTCTAAGCAGCCACTTCAGTTGGGATATTGGCTGCCCATATGCACTCTCTATCTTGCATTGTAGTTGGATTACCAGCAGGATACATGGTGACTGAATTCTCAAGAATATTCTAAGAACATAAAGCAAAAACTCAGATCTCTTAGGCCTAGCTTCAGAATTTGTTCAGCATCATTTTCATAGCATGCTGTTTGTCAAAGGAATCACAGGACTTACCCAGTTTCAAAGGGAGAGTGTATGACTCATTTCCTGATTGGAAAAGTGGCATAGACTTTCCCACCATCATCAATCAACTGCAATTGTATATGCATTGCTTTGGGGAGGAGTAGATATACAAGAGACATTTATACTAGAGAAAGTTGATTTTTGCAAAACCTGAGCATACAATTTTTTGTGTTTTTCTAAGTATCAGAAAAGCACAGGAAAGAGAATGTTTTAAGCTTTATTAAGCAGCTTGCTTATCTCTTTTTCTTTTACCTCTTGTTCTCTGGCTTGCATATGTTTCTGTGTGGTTGTGGTGCAGTTTATTTGACCTCTTTCCCTGGGGGCAGAGTGGGTTAATGTGAATGGCCAGATTGCTAAGAAAACGATGCTATTTGGTATCATCTTCATATGCTTTCTTCTCTTTTACAGGGTTGTGAGGCTGTCTACAGTAGTGTATCTGGTCTTAAAGCTCACCTGGGCTCTTGTACATTGGTTTGTAACATTCTGAACTATTTATCTGAACATGACCTCTAAAGTAGTCTGACATGGAAGAGAATTCAGATTCGGTGAACAGCTACTTATCCTGTTGTCTGTTACCTTCAAAGACTTGTTTAGTTTTTTTGTGTGTCCCCAAAATTCTTGGTCTGTTACTAGGTGGGATACCAAGGCATGCCAAAGATGCAGAATAGCCCAAAATAGCCATAAGTCATATCAATGAAAAAATTTGGAGAAAAATACATAGTTCTCAGTGCCTATCAGGGATTTAACTTTTTCCACCTGAGCCTATGCTACACTGGGCCTGTCCTGCTTTACTGGACCTTCAGCTTCCTAGAGTCAACATAACATGTGTTTATCTAGATTGGTGATGATCTCCAGAGCCATCTGAACTATACTGTCTTCCAGGCATGGGAGATGGGATTCCTGGATGTCAGGTTCACAGCCATTCACCTCACTGAATCTTTTCCATGTTGACCCAGGGGCCCTATAGCCCACCAGCCCTGGGATTGCTGCCACTTTCCATTCCTGTTCAGTATCTGCTCGCACAAAATGAGCACCATGGAAACCTGAAGCTTCAGGAGGGGAGAGAAGTCTTAATTCAAGGCAACAAGGGAGTGGTAGGCTCCCAAACCAGACCTGTGCAGGAATGCTTAGGGGTTTGTCATCTTGATCCTAGTTTGAGTCATTCAGCTAGGTCTTACTGAGGGTGATCTTCTAATTCTGAATTCCCAAGGCATTCTTTACAGCAGTGGATGATTCTAGTGAGAAGAATTACATGTTGGTTCCTCATTGAACTTAAGGAGTTTGATCATTTGGGGGGGAAGCCTGGAAGGAAGTGGAAGACATAGGGAAGATAGAACAATGTGACATGTTACATAATAAAATTGGGGAACTTCAGATTGTGTTGGGGGCTTAGTGGGGGCAGTGTTTGGTGTAGAATTACATTAGAATAGATGTATTATGGTGCTAATATACCCAAATGAGTTTTCCTAAGTATATTGCTGTGCTTCACTTTGCTGAAGTCATATTTCCTCTTTTCATCTCTAATAGTCCCTAACCATTGCCCAGGTAGCACATGTGGCGTGTTGGAAGGGTAGCATTAACTATTTAACATGTAATGGTGCACTTTAATTTTTACCTGGCATGTTGTCTTCTCCGTACTTTGAGGAAGGGAGGGTCTCTGCTGGCACTAACTTACTTATCTGCTGAATTAGCAGTTTACTTGTGCTGTAACCATTATTTGTGGGTGTAACTTAGGATAGGCTTAAAGTGCTGGGTGGTGATTTGCGTTCAAACAATAAATTGTATTTTTTCAGTATTGTAAATATATGTATGTATATATGGGTGTGTATACACACACTCACAAGCATAGATAACATAGATACATACATTACTGTTTGAGATTTTCCTAAATTTGCTCCTAAATTGACCAGTCATGCTTTTTTTCTTTCTTGAAAATAGGGAACGTTTGTGGCTGGAAAATACAAGTGTCTTCTCTGTCAGAAAGAATTTGTGTCAGAGAGTGGTGTCAAGTATCACATCAACTCTGTCCATGCTGAGGTGAGGTTCCTTCTTTCCCACAACTTCATAATCTTGTGGACCCCGTGACTGTGCCACAAGGGCACATGGGTTTTGTGCTTCTTACTATGGGCTGGGACTGTCAAGAAAAACTAAAGGGTCTACTGGACTCATTAGAGTTAAAAGACTTCCTTAAATCAGATGTAGACTAGTATTTTTCTGTGAAAGCATTTGAGCTTCCTTGGTAGCTCAGCTGGTAAAGAATCTGCCTGCAATGCAGGAGACCCTGGTTCAATTCCTGGGTCAGGAAGATCTGGACAAGGGAGTGGCAACCCGTTCCAGTATTTTTGGGCTTCCCTGGTGGCTCAGACAGTAAAGTATCTGTTTGCAATGTGGGAGGCCTGGGTTTGATCCCTGGGTTGGAAAGATCCCTTGGAGAAGGGAATGGCTACTGACTCCAGTATTCTAGCCTGGAGAATTTCATGGACAGAGGAGCCTGGCACGTTATACTCCATGTGGTCACCAAGAGTTGGACACGACTGAGTGACTTTTACCCACTCATTCATGAAAGCATTTGAAATAACTGTGGCTATGAGCATCCCTGATTCTTCTAATTAACTTGTATGCACGGGCTCAGTCATGTCTGACTCTGTTGTGAGCTCATGGAGTGAGGCCTACCAGGCTCCTCTGACCATGGGATTTCCCAGGCAAGAATACTGGAGTGGGTTGCCATTTCCTTCTCCAGGGGATCTATCCAACACAGGGATTGAACCCACGTCTCCTGTGTCTCCTGTTTTACCACTGAGCCACCTGGGAAGCCCTCTGATTTCCTGAAGTCTAGTTAAACTAGGCATTTGACAACCAGGCTGCATTTACACCTTTGGAATTCTTGTTTCACAGCAATGTCTATACTCCTGTTTTCTGGTATTCCAACATCTTTGAGCAACCTGTTTTGAATATTGTTGAAATACTGCATAGAAACAATGTAAAAGATGTTATTGAGAGAAATGAGGTAATTTGAACACTAACTGTACTACATAGTGATAGTAATAAGTCAATGTTAATATTCCAAAATGTGATAACTGTATTGTAGTTATGCAGGGAATGCCCTTGTTCTTAGGCAGATACATGACGTTTTTAGGAATAAAGTATCATGTCGGTAACTAAACTGAAGATGGTTCAAAGGAAGGAACAAAGGGAAAGTTGGAGGGAGGGAAGGAAGGGAAGAGAGATTAACAGAGGTCAGTCTCAGTGTTCATTGAACTATTGTAACTTTTGTGGAAAGTCTGTAAATTTTCAAAATTAAAATATTAAAAGTTGAAAATGCTTTAAGTTCAGAAGATCAAGAGTTTTCTCTTGGGGAAGGTTTTTAGGAGTCCAGATGAACAGAGAATTTGTCTGCTGTAGAATTAAATCCCTTATTGCAAAAGCTCAGGGAGTAGAGTGTGTGTTCTCTTGGCATATTTTACTGCAGAAGGTATTGTTGCCTGCTGGGGAAAAATAGCAAGCCCCTGCAGTAGTTCTCTGCCCTCAGATGTAATAGTTCTTAGCCATGTGAGCTTCAGTTCAGTTCAGTTCAGTCTCTCAGTCGTGTCCGACTCTTTGTGTGACCCCACGAACCGCAGCATGCCAGGCCTCCTTGTCCATCACCAACTGCCAGAGTCCACCCAAACCCATGTCCATTGAGTCGGGGATGCCATCCAACCATCTCATCCTCTGTGGTCCCCTTCTCTTTCTGCCCTCAATCTTTCCCGGCATCAGGGTCTTTTCAAATGAGTCAGCTCTTCCCATCAGGTGTCCAAAATATTGGAGTTTCAGCTTCAAAATCAGTCCTTCCAATGAACACCCAGGGCTGATCTCCTGTAGGATGGACTGATTGGATCTCATCGCAGTCCAAGGGACTCTCAAGAGTCTTCTCCAACAGCACAGTTCAAAAGCATCAAGTCTTCTGCACTCAGCTTTCTTTATAGTCCGACTCTCATATCCATACATGACCACTGGAAAAACCATAGCCTTGACTAGACAGACCTTTGTTGGCAAAGTAATGTCTCTGCTTTTTAATATGCTGTCTAGGTTGGTCATAACTTTCCTTCCAAGGAGTAAGTGTCTTTTAGTTTCATGGCTGCAGTTATCATCTGCAGTGATTTTGGAGCCCAGAAAAATAAAGTCAGCTACTGTTTTCACTGTTTCCCCATCTATTTGCCATGAAGTGATGGAACCGGATGCCATGATCTTAGTTTCCTGAATGTGGAGCTTCAAGCCAACTTTACACTCTCCTCTTTCACTTTCATCAAGAGGTTCTTTAGTTCTTCACTTTCTGCCATAAGGGTGGTGTATTCTGCATATCTGAGGTTATTGATGTTTCTCCCAGCAGTCTTGATTCCAACTTGTGCTTCCTCCAGCCCAGCATTTCTCATGATGTACTATTGCATATAAGTTAAATAAGCAGGGTGACAATATACAGCCTTGACGTACTCCTTTTCCTATTTGGAACCAGTCTGTTGTTCCATGTCCAGTTCTAACTGTTGTTTCCTGACCTGCATACAGGTTTCTCAGGAGGCAGGTCAGGTGGTCTGGTATTCCCATCTGTTTCAGAATTTTCTTCAGTTTATTGTGATCCACACAGTCAAAGGCTTTGGCCTAGTCAATAAAGCAGAAATAGATGTTTTTCTGGGCTTCTGTTAGTGTTATCTGTTGTGGTTCCTGTTGCTTTACCGGTTGAAGCTTTGGGAATCCCTTTCCTCATCTGAGATTTCTTCAGGAAGGCCAGTCCTTATTTTCTTTTTTAATAATACTATAACTTTTTATGCTACAGGAAGTGTTTGAAAGATAATTATCTCTTAACAAAATATGGTTTTGTGTAGTTCACTTGTTTCTCCAGTTTATTCCTCAAAAGTTGGAACCAACAGATTTCACTTAGTCTTGGACTTGCTCCCAAGCATTTGTTCAATGATTTATGATGGTATTTATGAACTCTGTACTGTGGTAAACGTGTTTACCTTGTTCCTACCATTTTGCCTCACTTTCTTAGGCTACCTTTTTTTAAACATGTTCAGAAACAGTGTAAGTGGACAGAGTAGTGTAATGAACAGCTTTCACAGTCCTCTCTGTGGCCCATCTTGTGTCACTGATAATTGCATCCACTTTCCTTGTCCTTTTAAGGCTTATTTTAAAGCAAATTCCACATTACATATTAGCTATCAATACTTCTTTCAACCTGTGTCTAGAAATATGAGGACTTTTAAAAATATATAACTGCAACCATCATCACACATTAAAACTTAACAAATGTTCCTTAATATCATCATACATGTACTCAATATTTATACTTCCCTGTCTCATCATTTTATTTCAGATTTGGTTTATTACAATCAACATCTAAAACCGGACTTCCCTGGTGGTCCAGTGGTTAAGACTCTGTGCTTCCACTGCAGGAGGAAGAAAAAGGAAGTAAATGAATGAATGAATTAAAATAAAACAGACAAATGCAGTGTATGGACCTTTGTTTTAGATTTTGTTTTTTTGCCTCACCACATGGCATGGGGAATCTCAGTTCTCCTAACAGGGAACCAGTGCCCCTTGCATTTTGAGTGCCGAGTCTTAACCACTGTACTGCTAGGGAAATCCTTCTGTTTGTCTGTTTTAATCTAGAGTAGTGCTATCTAATAGAAATATAATGTGAGCCACATGTGTAACCCCAAGTTTTCTACTAACTGCATTTTTAAAAAGTATAAAGAAAACTAGTGAAATTGACTTTAATACTGTATTTTATTTAAACACAATATATCTAAAATACTGTCTTTTTAACATGGTAGTCAATACGGAATTATTAATGAGATACTTTACATTTTTTTTCTTTTTCTTTTTTTTTACATTTTTTTTCACAGAAAGTCTTTGAAATTTACTGTGTGTTTTACATAGAAGCATATCTCAATTTGGATTAAGCACATTTTAAGAGCTTACTAATGACACATGGCTGGTGACAATCTCATCAGGCAATGCAGATGTTTCTTTTCCCCTATTATTTAAGAAACCAGGCCCTTGTCACTTATGTTTACTCACATTCTGGACTTGGCTCTTTGCATTCCTATAGCAGTGATTCTCTATTCTGCTATTTCCTATAAATTGGTAGTTAGAGCTAGAAGACTGAGCAGATTTCTTGATTTAGGTTGACATTTTTTTATTGAATGTATTTCTGTGTTTTGTTTTGGTTTTTTCTTTTGCAGGAATACTTCTTCATTGGGTTCCAGTTCCTCCAGCCCTTAATTTTTTAAACTGAGACTCAGAGAGGTTAAGTAGTTTTCTGATGGTCACATGGTTCGAAACAGAGCTGAGATTTATACTTCGGTGGCCTGACTGCAAAATTAAAAATTGAAATAAAAATCTCCCATGGCCAAATGCTTTATGTTTCATGAGGAGATCTTCAAAAGGAGAGGAATGGGTGGGATAATGCTAAGTAATCAGACTTTGTAGATCCCTTACAGTAGTACCTGAAGTCATGTCTTAAACAAGAAATGCTTGTAATGACTGCTTTGTATTGAATTTCTCCAGTTTATAAGACACAGTTCTAAGCTCTGGTTTCATATCTGTTTCCTCCTTACTGTGTTCTGCCCTAATCCTACCTTAAAAAAAAAAGTCTTCCATACTGCTTCCTCGGGCACTGTATTTTGACTGGATGGTGTTTCTGTTTTGCCTCTGTAGGACTGGTTTGTTGTCAATCCGACAACAACCAAAAGCTTTGAGAAGCTGATGAAGATAAAGCAGCGACAGCAAGAAGAAGAGAAGCGGAGGCAGCAGCATAGGAGCCGACGGTCTCTAAGGCGGCGGCAGCAGCCTGGCATTGAGCTTCCTGAGACAGAGCCAAGTCTTAGAGTAGGGAAGGATCAGAGGAGGAATCATGAGGAACTGCTAGTGGCGACATCCCGTAAAGAATCAGAGCAGGAGCCAGTGCCATCACAGTTTCAGAAAGTCAAGTCCCCAAAGACAAATCATAAACGAGGAAAGAAATAGGCAGGCAGTGTGAAAGCACTCATGGGAGAGTGGATGGGAGGCTGTGGTCACAGGGACCTGTGTGGAGAGGCCTGAGTCACAGGGGCTGAGTGAAGAGAAATTTACTCTTTCAGCTGTTTGTGTAATGCTGTGACACTCTCAGCTCCTTCCTCCTGTGTAAATTTCACTGTTTTCCCTACTGATTCTTGTGAACCCTCCACCACCCCCACCCCATCTCCTTTTTGGTAGATTTTCCTGCTCTTCTCATTGGAGTCCCCCTGTTCTTCTCTCATCGTGCCCAAAGAGCTCCCCCTTAAGGTCCACTGTAGGCCCTCTTGCCCTGTACAAGACTAAGAAACCTGTTTGATTATTCTTTCCATACTGGGGTATAGAATGTTCTTGGAAGCGCCATTGATTTCGTAGTTACTCCATCATCTATCTTATAAAATGATTCCAAACTAACTTTTTAAAACCATACTGATTGATGATTTTGTATTTGTGATATAACAAGCCTAGAATCTAGAACTGTTGTCACTCCTTTAATAAGGGTCCCCTGTCTGCTTGGGTGACAGAATATATGGAGGCTGTTTGTTGTCTCATTATGGTTTTAGGATTGAAAGTGAGAAAATACTTAGAATAATAAAACTAGACCCTCTGGATGCAGGTTTTCCTGGGAAATACTTTGTCCCAGGTGGCAGTAAGTAACCAGATGCACAGGCATGATATGCAACCTTAGGAGGAATATGTCTCACATAAAATGACTGGAAAGAAGAAGGCAGCAGAAATAAATACCACCTCAAATCAACTTTCCTGCAGTTTATTTTGTTCCTGCAGTTTTGAGGATTGAGAAGTAATACCCTTTTGCCTCTGATATTTGACACAGAACCCTAATATTGCTGGTACTGCCATGAAGATTGGTAGCCAGGGTGCACATTCCTTCTCCCCTGGACTTGACCTGATGGTTAGTCTGCACTGTTAAGTCCTCGTATCTCCCTTTAGCCAAAGTCTGTCTCTGAATTTTCTGAGAATGTTGTTCTCTACCCTTTTTTAGATGTTGTGTTCTGTCCTCTTTATAACCTGAGACTTTGACACCAGGTGTAGATACTTATCTGGAGTTGGAAAGAAAAGTTCTTTTTCTGATACTCATGCCTAGCCGATAGTATCTGTTAGGCTGTTTCTCCTTGAGGCTGGCTTTCCCTGGAGCATTGATTAGAGCAGCTCTGTTATTGTATTTCTGAATTCTCTTCCCCTTTTCCATAAATATTGGTCTTCTATATTCTTGCCAGTTTTTGTGGCTTATGCCACATAAAAAGCCAGAGACCCTTAACCCTGATGTGGACCAATACTGCCTTTTCAAAATCCAAAGGCTGTTACCACTATTAACTGTTCTCTGTGCTCCTCCATATAGCCTTAAAATGTGGGCTTTTGTGAAGACCACTTTGACACATAGGAGCATTGAAACCTGGTTGGGATACTGCCAGAACAGGTAGTTTTGAAACGAAGGACATTGTCTATTCACTCGACATTGTCATTGGCAGTTGCTCTCTTAAAGCCCTTTCCATTCATGAGGATTGTCAGGGAGGAAAATGGAGAAGCTCTGTTAATTTCTGGTGAGTAAGATTTGGGGAATGTTTGGCAATGGCAAGAAAAATAAATGACTGTGTTAGAATGATGTTTTCCATTGTTCATTGACTCCAATGTGCTACCTGTCTCTTTGCTGACACTGTGTGTGTGAAGGGAGGGAAATGATGACTAGAGATGGGAATGAGTTTTGAAGAAGTAACATACAGTTGTCTCAGTAGTTGCTTAGGTCCAAAATTATGCTGGTTCAAATGAATCTACTCAGACCTTGCTTTATTGCTCTTCCCTTTAGAGATACTGATTTTGATTGAAGTATGAGTTGTTGCTTTAGACACAGTGATATTGCACACTTTAAATCAACTACAATGTAGTGTAGTCTACATTGTATACCTTTTATATGCACTGTTCAGTTCAGTTGCTCAGTAGTGTCCGACTCTTTGCGACCCTATGAACCGCAACACGGCAGGCCTCCCTGTCCATCACTGATTCTGAGTCCACCCAAACCCATGTCCATTGAGTCGGGGATGCCATCCAACCATCTCATCCTCTGTCGTCCCCTTCTCCTCCTGCCCTCAATCTTTCCCAGCATCAGGGTGTTTTCCAGTGAGTCAGCTCTTCCCATCAGGTGTCCAAAGTATTGGAGTTTCAGCTTCAAAATCAGTCCTTCCAATGAACACCTAGGGCTGATCTCCTGTAGGATGGACTGATTGGATCTCGTCGCAGTCCAAGGGACTCTCAAGAGTCTTCTCCAACAGCACAGTTCAAAAGCATCAATTCTTCTGCATTCAGCCTTCTTTATAGTCCAACTCTCACATCTGTACATGACCACTGGAAAAACCATAGTCTTGACTAGACAGACCTTTGTTGGCAAAGTAATGTCTCTGCTTTTTAATATGCTGTCTAGGTTGGTCATAACTTTCCTTCCAAGGAGTAAGCATCTTTTAATTTCATGGCTGCAATCATCTGTGGTGATTTTGGAGCCCAGAAAAATAAAGTCAGCCACTGTTTCCACTGTTTCCCCTTCTATTTGCCATGAAGTGGTGGGACCAGATGCCATGATCTTAGTTTTCTGAATGTGGAGCTTTAAGCCAACTTTTTCACTCTCTTTCACATTCATCAAGAGGCTCTTTGGTTCTTCTTCACTTTCTGCCATAAGGGTGGTGTCATCTGCACATCTGAGGTTATTGATATTTCTCCCTGCAATCTTGATTCCAACTTGTGCTTCCTCCAGCCCAGCATTTCTCATGATGTACTCTGTATATGAGTTAAATAAATAGGGTGACAATGTACAGCCTTGACATACTCCTTTTCCTATTTGGAACCAGTCTGTTTTTCCATGTCCAGCTCTTAAGTGTTGCTTCCTGACCTGCATACAGGTTTCTCAGGAGGCAGGTCAGGTGGTCTGGTATTCCCATCTGTTTCAGAATTTTCCACAGTTTATTGTGATCCACACAGTCAAAGGCTTTGGCCTAGTCAATAAAGCAGAAATAGATGTTTTTCTGGAACTCTCTTGCTTTTTCGATAGGCACTGGGAAACTGGAAGATTCATGTGACTTGCTTTATTGTGAATTTCACATTGCAGTAGTGTGCACCCAAGCCCCCAATAATAGATGTGTGCCTGTAACTGGTTTGAGATTAAACTTGTCCAGTCTCATCCAAGGCCCTCACAGGGGATCCTTTTATTTTTGCTGTCTGAGCCAGGGATCAACAGGACACATTAGAGAGGATTCTAATCATATTACTGAGTGTTTTAAGTTTTTAAACCAAATTCATTAGAATACATTTCCTGAAGTTGGACCGTATCAGGCCCAGCTAGATTTTGGAGCAGTGTGAACTCCCTGTACTTGGGAACAGGCATTGGTACAATTAATTTATAAACAAATTGGCAAGATCTCTTAAACTTGAAGATCTGCCCTGCAACTCAGCACACCCTAGGGCTATATAGATTCCTCCTGCTCAGGGGTTCCAGTAGACATCTACAAGAATGATATTTCAGTCTAAAAATAATGATACTGCAATCTGATTCCCAATTTATATTGGAAGCATCCTTGTGCCAGACTACTAACTGTCCAGCAAAATTGGACAGGGTTGCAGAATTACAGAGTTATAGGACAAGGACTACACTTCCCAGGTCTCCACCCAATCCCCCTATAGTGATGGAGTAACCAGCTAACTTCTCTCCAGTGGAATGTGAGTAGAAATGTGTCAATTCTGTGCCAGAACTTTTAAGAGGGTGAGTGTGTTTCCATGCTTACTTTCCCCTTCTGGTAGTTGCGTATGATAAGGCATCTCTAGGGCCTGCTAGAGCACAACATGAAAGATGTTTGATTCCCTGAATCACCTCAAGAAAGACTATTTGCCTTTCAGGATGATCTCAGATGGGTAAAAAAATAAATGTTCTTTGAGACATGATGCAGTCTTTGGTCTGTTAGTGGGCCTAGTCTCCTGTATAACCTATCTGTCCCCTCCCACTAAGAGTCAGTTCTCCCCTATGCCTCTGTTCACTCCCATGTTTGCCTTTCCATTCTGAACAGTCCTCACCTCTTGCCTTTTCAAGAGCTTCCTTACCGGATTCCTTCTTTTCACTGCCTTGGTATACTCCACATACAACTGTGCTGAGTTTTTTATACTATAAATCAGACTTCATTCACTTGCCCAAAGCCTAATGATTTCCCAGCGCACTTAGAATAAAATTCATCCCCCTTTGTCCTACAAGGCCTCCTTGCTCTCACTGTTAACCTTTTTAACCTCCTTGGTCTCTGCTCCACCCTTTTTTTGTCCTGTCCCCAACTAAGCCACATTGACTTTCGTTCCTTAATGCTCCCAAACTCCTTCCCATCTTGGGACCTTTGCATTCTCTGTTCCCACTGTCTAGAATGTTTTTTTCCCTAATTATTGTACTGCAGGCTTCATTTTATCACTTAAGTCTTAACCTAAATATCACCTCTAAGGTCTTTTCTGTCTTAACACACTTTTTGTAACATCATCCTCTTTTCTTTCCAGCATAGGGAAGCAGACAAAAAGTAGACTGAAATCCTAGTTGGCCAACCTACTGCTGGCTTGCTGCTAAGAATTTCCAAGGGCTTTTATCAGATGACCCACCCCTTGAAAGTCTTCAAGTCCTCAGAGGCCTTACTCCCAACAGAGAAAGCCAGAAGTACTACACCAGACCAGATCTCGTTATCTGGGATAAGAGAAATTCAAAATAAACTGAGACAGGATGGAAATTATTCACTCCTGAATTAGATCATCAGGATAGCACTGGCAGGAGGGGGAATTAACAGAATAATAAGATTCTCCATCCCTCCTGCATTCCAACTCATTATCCTTAGTTATATATTTTTCTCTTGTTTTTGCATCCATAGAGAATAAAGGTTTCAAATGTGTTTTGGATACCACATTTTAAAACAAGCTCTATTTTCAGCTCCACTGACAAACTCTTTAGGTTTCTGTGTGCTACACAATTTGTACACTAAAACTGCATTTTTATATACACTAGTATGAGGAAGACATTCAGAGTTGGTAAGAAGTGAGAAAAGATATGAAGTAGAAGGTATATTACATTGGAACAATAATGAAATCACTGGGTATTATAATCTTTAATTTTTTATTTTCAATAAAAAGTTAGGAACCAAGACATTACACATTTAACAGTAAGTTGTTAAAGCTAGAAGTAAAGGCACATGGAGGTGAATCTTAAGTACAAGAATTCATTTTATATATGAATGAAACAAAACTGGGAAAATCATTTGAAGTGTTTCATCACTCAGTTTCTTAAAAACATAAAGCTGATTCTATTTTTTCATCAGGGAGTGATATTAAAATATGAAGCTATATTTCTGTACCAGGATTCAGCATTCAAAGAAATCCCTGATTTGATCATTAATTAGGATGTCCTAAGTGCCAAAAATGTAACTATCCTAAAAGTCTAGACTAATTTAAAATACTATTCCTAGTTCAATTGAAGGGGCGTAGATGTAGGATACACATGACCTAAAGCTAAAGTGCTCTTTCTATTGAAACTTCAGTCATCTTTGTAATATTAGAATTTGAGGATGTTGCTAGGGAACAAGATGGCAAAAGATCTTCAAAAAGTTCTCCAAATATATGATCACTTTCTTTTGATACATTTTTCTAAAACAGGCAGAAGCATTCAGTCATCTCACTCAGGTTAGTGGTATTTCTCCACAGAAAACTGACTAGCTATACTGTGCCTTCTACCCTTCCTTCACAGAGTTTGAAAGTGTAAGTGAAAGTGTTAGTCGCTTAGTCGTGTCTGACTCATTGTGACTCCATGGATTGTAGCCTGCCAGGCTCCTCTGTCCATGGAATACTCCAGGCAAGAAAACTGGAGTGGGTTGCTATGCCCTTCTCCAGGGGATCTTCCCAACCCAGAAATTGAACCCGGGTCTCCCGCATTGCAGGCAGATTCTTTACCATCTGAACCACCTTTGTAAAGAATCTGCTTGCAATGGAGGAGACCCAGGTTCGATCCCTGGGTCAGGAAGATACCCTGGAGAAGGGAATGGCTACCCAATCCTTGCCTGGAGAATTTCATGGACAGAGGAGCCTGGTGGGCTACAGTCCATGGGGTCACAAAGTGTCAGCCACGACTGAGCAACTAACATCACACAGTTTACTCAAAATTGTATGGGCTGAGCATCAGACAGCAGGTCATCCTGTTTACACTTGCTGTTACTAATCTTTCAATCATGAGAAAACTACAGAAGCAGCTACTTGATCACCAGCACAGACTTTATAAAGAAGTTTGAAAACACTGCATGTGTGTGCTAAGGTGGCCAAAGAAGATACATGGACATTGGTTGTTTACAGAGCACAAAGCAGAATCTAACAATCTGAAATGCTATTCCTCAGGGGTTTCTTTTTCTGTAAAGAAACCTAACTTAGCTAGGTGGAACACACCACACAACTGTTTTTTTGTCACTTTCTCAAGGTGTTTTCTTGAGGTGGTTTCACAGGTGAATTTTTGGCAAATGGTACTGGGTTATCTGGAGGTATGAGAACAGCCCAGTTATTACCAGGAGCTAATTAAAAAAAAAAAAAAACACCTAACTTAATGGGAAGCCAGTGCTACCAATAATCTAGCAGTACTGGTTGAGAAAAACACCTAATCCTTCACATTAACACATTATAATGGGTATTTTATCATAGCAATCTGAGATCTCAAAGCCTTCCTAACCAGGGTTATGTTATATAGCACCTAAGAACCCTTGCTCCAGTCTTGACTTAGTGTTATTTTAGAAATTACTTTGGGCGCACCTTTGATTTGGTGCCTAGGGCAGGGTTCCTTGTGGTCTTCGGAGAACCCTGTCCATTTGGGCACCGATTACGCCTTTCTTGCAGCTGTTGCCTCCCTCGCCTTAAGCACTCCACATACCAGTGCTCCTGTTGCAGCAGCTGCTTCTTCTTTTTTAATTGGCTGTGAATATCCTCCAACTGATGGCATTTCTGAACTAACTCTGGCAGTTCCTTCTGTAACTGTTGGTGCTGTCTGTTGATGTTACTGTGGAACTCGGAAACGTGCTGCTTTGCTGCCTTCTCCAAGGCCTGGTTCTTGCTTTTCAGCTCCTTTGTTAACTTCTTTCCCGACTCCCTTGCCTCTAGCTCACTCAGCTGTGCCTCCAGTAATGCTTTGTCCTGGAAGAACTGGACAAGCATCGCCTGTTTCTTTGCAGCTGTCTCAACGTGGGTCTTCTTTATCTCCTGCTGAAGTTTCTCAATTTCTCTGTCCTGTTTTTCCTTTATCACTGAAATGTCCCTCATTGCCTCCAACTGCTTATTCAAATTGGATAGGGTGTTTTCCTTCTCCAAGAGCTCTCTTTTAAGCGCTGAATTTTTGTTCGCAAATTTGGAGGTTAATTCTTGTTTTCTTTGTTCAATCTTCATGCTTTGTTGTAGATAGTAGTTCCACAGCTTCTCGGTTCTCTGTCTAGACTCCTCCGTTTGCTTGGTCAGGTATTCCTGAAAGAACTGGTTTTCCTTCTCTATGTGATCTTTTTCCTCCAGTAGCTGCCGGGTTTCCACCACTAAGGGCTCTAGCCGAATTTGAGTTTCTTTGATTTCCTTGTCCAGCTTCATCATTTCCATTACTGCTCTTCCCTTAAACCTTTTCTCGACCTTTGTTAGTTTCTCTGGCTTGAGAAAAGTATGTATGAAATTAACATCTGGTTGAAGGGAATTACTGGTGTCCTCAGCCAACCTGAAAGAACAAGTGAGACATTTGCTCATGTTTTTCATGAGAAATTAGAAAATTTTAAAAATGCACACTTCTACTGTAATTTATATATCAAGTATGGGAGGACAAATCAATGTCCCTCACACAAGGTAAGGGGATAGGAGTGGTGGGGGGAGAGTGGTAGAACTAGGGGTAAAGACAAGGGAGTCTAATTTACAACTGACATGTCTTCGCTGCAACCCTGAGAGGTAGTATCTCGAGCTTAAGGAGGAGAAAACAGGTTCAGAGAATTGAAGTGACTTCACCACAATGTACACCCCCAGAAATTCCTAGTTTCTCCAAACTAGGCTCTATGTATGTCGGGGCGGCCCAGCAACTCTGGGGCTTGGATCCTTCCAGGGTCCGGTGTCCTGCAGTCTAAGCCGCTTAACGTCCTCAGCTGATGGCCAACCCTCAGTTCAGTTCAGTTCAATTCAGTCGCTCAGTCGTGTCGGACTCTTTGCGACCCCATGGACTGCAGCACACCAGGCCTCCCTGTCCATCACCAACTCCGGGAGTTTACTGAAACTCAGGTCGATTGGGTCGGTGATGCCATCCAACCTCTCTCTTCCCCTTCTCCTCCTGACTTAAGTTAACTCCAGGAATGTACAATGTACAACAGAGCCTGGGTGTAAAACCCACATCTCACAGCTTACTGAACACTAGAGCCACTCCAAAGGGCCATTGGAGCCAACCGGGTGATTGGGAGGAGCACATGCCTCAGCTCTTAGCTTCAGCTTTCCGGGTGCCAAGGGCGCTAAGGTGGAGGGAGGTGCCCCTTCAGTACCTACTTGACAAACTCGTCAGCCAACTGTTTTTCCCCGATGTCACGGTTCTGCCCCTTTCGGGAGACCACCAGGAATCGAGAGCTACTTTTGGGGGCCGGCAACACGCGGAAATAGCGTGTCATTACGGGGGTTATCCCCAGTTTCTCCGAACTAGGCTCTGCGGATCTCGGCGTGGCCCAGCAACTCTGGGGCTCGCATCTTGTCAGGGTTCCCTGTCGTGCAGTCCTAAGCCGCGTAACATCCTCGGCTGACGGAACAGCTCTGACGGCCGGTTCTCCAGAGGCTCGGTTCCCCGCTCCCCGGGGGCTGACAGGAAAACGCACTCTCTTCACTAACGTAGCGCGGGAATCCCTGGTCGTCCCTGGGGTTCCTGGGGTCCCCGCTGTCCCTGGTGGACCCTGGGGTCGCTGATCGTCCTGCCCGCTCGGGATCCAGAGCTTTGACCTTCCCAGGCCCTGCCCGACGACCGTGAGCAGCTCTTTGGTTGGCCTTTTCCAGCCGTCCTCCCAGTGCCTCCACTTCCCCGACGGGGTCCCTAGTTGGGGCCCCATCCGGATCATGACGGACAAAAAAAGGGGCACGCCTCCCCCCTTGGCCCTGCCCTTTCTGGCCGGTTGGGTTGGATTCGATTTGGTTTTGTTTGGTTCTAGTCTCATTCAGAATCCGGAACGTCGCGGGTGTCTCTCTGGCAAGTAGCATCTCTATGGTCTAGTGGGCGGAGCCAGGAGCAAGATGGCCGCGCCCGCAGCTGCCACGGAATCTCAAGCTTCAGGGGGTCCCCAGCCCCCAGCGTGTCTGTTGGTGTTGGGAATGGCGGGGTCTGGGAAAACCACCTTTGTACAGGTGACCTACATGGCGCGGGCGTAGTCGGGGCGCGCGACAAGTTGTCTGTGGTGGGAGTAAGGCCAGGGGAAAAAGTGAGGAGGTCTCTCTGGGGGAGTTGGAGGGAACGGGCGCCTGTTTCAGGGACATACCGGAAACTCCGGTTCCTTTCTCCGCGAAGCCTTCTCAGATCCTAACCTGGGTTCCTTTAGACTCTTCTACGCACCATCAGTGCCGGTTTGGTACGACCGTAGTTGGTATAGAAATTGTCATGTTGCCAACTCCACAAGGCAGAGGCTTAAAGGAATTCTGGAGGTTAATTGAGTGCTAGGTTTCTGAAGTGTAGATTTCTAAAGAATTCTTTCTGGGATGCCTGCCATGTTTCAGGCACTGGGGATACAGGAGAAATGACAAAGTTCCCGGTTAGGTGGAGCTAATATTTTGGCGGGGAGATAGAAACCCCGCCCCCGCGCCAAGTTAAGTGATGGAGAGTAGAGGAGACTCTTGGATGTGCGACGAAGAAAGGTAGCATTTCAGCTGAGAGTGAATGTTGTAGGTGGAGATCAGAGACGAATAAGGTAGAGGGAAATGGAAGTACAATTCTTCTGGTAAGTTGGATAAAGGGGAGGAAGTTCACTCTTGTCCCTGTGTCCTGCTCTTGGTCTCAGTCCATCCCTCTCTCCATGTCACTGCAGAGGCTTACAGGATACCTGCATAGTCAAGGGTGTCCACCTTATGTGATCAACTTGGACCCAGCTGTGCATGAAGTTCCCTTTCCTGCCAATATTGGTGAGTAAACTCTGCCAGAACTTGTGTAAAGTTTCTTAGAGAATGGGAAGCTGTCAACCTATCCTACCCGTCTTTAATACTTTCATTTTTAATGTTTTCTAAACTGCCTGATTTCATTTCCCTTAGATTTGCTAGTATCCTGAAACAGCCTTCTTCCTATTTCCCATTTTTTTCTTTGTTTACTCCCTCCCCTTCCTTGTTATTGTTGTTCAGTCCTTCAGTTGCTCAGTCATGTCCAACTCTTTTAGACTCCATAGACTGCAGCACGCCAGGCTTTCCTGTCTTTCACCGTCTACTGGAGTTTGCTCAGATTCATTTCCGTTGAATCAGTGATGCCATCCAACCATCTCACCCTCTGTTGTCCCCTTCTCCTCCTGCCTTCAATCTTTCCCAGCATCAGGGTCTTCTGAAATGAGTTGGCTCTTCCCATCAGGTGGCCAAAGTATTGGAGTTTGAGCTTCAGCATCAGTCCTTCCAGTGAATATTCAGGGTTGATTTCCCTCTAGGGTGGACTGGTTTGATCTCCTTTCTGTCCAAGGGACTCTCAAGAATCTTCTCCAGCACCAGGTTTGAAAGCATCAATTCTTTGGTGCTTAGCCTTCTCTGTGGTCCAACTTTCACATCCGTACATGACTACTGGAAAAATCATAGCTTTGACTATATGGACCTTTGTCTGCAAAGTAATGCCTCTGCTTTTTAATATGTTGTCTAGGTTTATCATGGCTTTTCTTCCAGGGAGCAAGTGTCTTTTAATTTCATGACTGCAGTCATCATCTGCAGTGATTTTGGAGCCCAAGAAAATAAAGTTTGTCACTGTTTCCATTGTTTCCCCATGTATTTGCTGTGAAGTGATGGGACCAGATGCCATTAGCTTTTGAATGTTGAGTTTTAAGCCAGCCTTTTCATTGTCCTCTTTCACCTTCATCAAGAGACTCTTTAGTTCCTCTTTGCTTTCTGCCATTAGAGTGGTGTCATCTGCATATCTGAGGTTATTAATATTTCTTCCAGCAATCTTGATTCCAGCTTCAGCTTCATCCAGCCCAGCATTTCTCATGATGTACTCTGCATATAAGTTAATAAGCAGAGTGACAATATACAGCCTTGATGTACTCCTTTCCCAATTTGGAACCAGTCTGTTGTCCCATGTTCAGTGCTAACTGTTGCTTCTTGACCTGCATACAGGTTTCTCAGGAGGCAGGTAAAGTGGTTTGGTATACCCATCTCTTTAAGAATTTTCCAGTTGGTTGTGATCCACACAGTCAAAGGTTTTAGCATAGTCAATGAAGCAGAAGTAGGTGTTTTTCTGGAGTTCCCTTACTTTTGCTATGATCCAGTGGATGTTGGCAATTTGATTCTGGTTCCTCTGCCTTTTCTAAATCTAGCTTGTACATCTTGAAGTTCTTTGTTCACATACTGTTGAAGCCTAGCTTGAAGCCTTGCTCGCATGTGAAATCAGTGCAATTGTGTGGTAGTTTGAACATTCTTTGGCATTGCCCTTCTATTTGGGATTAGAATGAAAACTGACCTTTTCCAGTCCTGTGGCCACTGCTGAATTTTCCAAATTTGCTGGCATATTGAGTGCAGCACTTTAACAGCAACATCTTTTAGGGTTTTCAGTAGCTCAGCTGGAATTCCATCACCTCCACCAGCTTTGTTTGTAGTAATACTTCCTAAGACCCACTTGACTTCACACTCCAGGATATCTGCCTCTAGGTGAGTGATTACACCATTGTGGTTATCCAGGTCAAGACTTTTTTGTACAGTTCTTCTGTGTATTCTTGCCACCTCTTCTTAATATCTTCTGCTTCTGTTAGGACCATGCCGTTTCTGTCCTTTATTGTGCCCATCTTTGCCTGAAATGTTCCTTTGGTATCTCTGATTTTCTTGAAGAGATCTCCAGTCTTTCCCATTCTATTGTTTTCTTCTATTTCTTTGCATTGTTCACTTAGGAAGGTTTTCTTATCTCTCCTTGTTATTATTTGGAACTTGCCCATTCAGATGGGCATATCTTTCCTTTTCTCCTTTGCCTTTTGTGTCTCTTCTTTTCTCAGCTATTTATAAGGCCTCCTCAGACAACCATTTTGAGTTTTTATATTTCTTGGGGATGGTTTTGATCACTGCCTCCTGTACAATGTCACAAACCTCTGTCCATAGTTCTTCTGGCACTCTATCAGATCTAATCCCTTGAATCTATTTGTCACTTCCACTGTATGAGTGTAAGGGATTTGATTTAGGTCATACCTGAATGGCCTAGTGCTTTTCCCTACTTTCTCTAAGTCTGAATTTTGCAATAAGGAGTTCAGGATCTGAGCCACAGTTGGCTCCTGGTCTTGTTTTTATTGACTGTACAGAATTTCTCCATCTTTGCCATTATGTTTGTGAAGAACATAATCAATCTGATTTTGGTATTGACCATCTGGTGATGTCCGTGTTTACAGTTGTCTCTTTTGTTGTTGGAAGAGTGTGTTTGCTATGACCAGTGCGTTCTCTTGGCAAAACTCTGTTAGCCTTTGCCCTGCTTCATTTTGTACTCCAAGGTCAAATTTGCTTGATACTCCAGGTATCTCTTGACTTCCTGCTTTTGCATTCCAGTCCCCTATAATGAAAAGGACATTTGTGTGTGTGTGTGTGTGTGTTAGTTCTGGAAAGTCTTGTGTGTCTTCATAGAACCGTTCAACTTCGACTTCTTCAACATTAGTGGTTGGGGCATAGACTTAGATTACTGTGATATTGAATGGTTTGCCTTGGAAATGAACAGAGATCATTCTGTCATTTTTGAGAATATATCCAAGTACTGCATTTTGTACTCTTTGGTTGACTATGAGGGCTACTCCACTTCTTTAAGGGATTCTTGCCCACAGTAGTAGATATAATGGTCATCTGAATTAAATTCGCCCATTCCGGTCCATTTTAGTTAACTGATTCCTAAAATATTGATGTTCATTTTTGCCATCTTATGTTTGACCACTTACTATTTACCTTGATTCATGGATCTAACATTCCAGGTTCCTGTGCAATATTGTTCTTTACAGCATCGGACTTTACTTTCACCACCAGACATATCCATAGCTGGGTTTCGTTTCCTCTTTGACTCAGCCTCTTCATTCCTTCTAGAGCTGTTTCTCGACTCTTTTCCAGTAGCATATTGGAAGTTCATCTGACCTGGGAAGTTCATCTTTCAGTATCATATCTTTTTGCCTTTTCACATTGTTCATGGGGTTCTCAAGGCAAGAATGCTGAAGTGGTTTGCCATTCTTGTCCAGTGGACCGTGATTTGTCAGACCTTTCCACCATGACCCGTCCATCTTGGGTGACCCTACATGGCATGACTGATAGTTTCATTGAGTTAGAGAAGGCTGTGGCCCGTGTGATCATTTTGGTTAGTTTTCTGTGACTGTGGTTTTCATTCTGTCTGCCCTCTGATGGATGAGTATAAGAGGCCTGTGTAAGCTTCCTGATGGGAGGAACTGGCTGTGGGGAAAACTGGGTCTTGCTCTGGTGGGCAAGGCCATGCTCAATAAATCTTGAATCCAATTTTCTGCTGATGGATGGGTCTGTGCTCCTTCCCTGTAGTTTGGCCTGAGGCAGCCCAATCTTAGACTCTATGGTTCAGTTCAGTTCAGTCACTCAGTCGTGTCCAACTCTTTGTGACCCCATGAATCGCAGCACGCCAGGCCTCCCTGTCCATCACAAACTCCCGGAGTTTACTCAAACTCATGCCCATCCAGTCAGTGATGCCATCCAGCCATCTCATCCTCTGTCATCCCCTTCTCCTCCTGCCCCCAATCCCTCCTACCATCAGGGTCTTTCCAGTGAGTCAACTCTTTGCATGAGGTGGTCAAAGTATTGGAGCTTCAGCTTCAGCATCAGTCAGTCCTTCCAATGAACACACAGNCTCTTTCAGAATTTCCCACAGTTTATTGTGATCCACACAGTTGAAGGCTTTGGTGTAGTCAATAAAGCAGAAATAATGTTTTTCTGGAACTCTGTTGCTTTTTCGATGATCCAGCGGATATTGGCAATTTGATCTCTGGTTCCTCTGCCTTTTCTAAAACCAGCTTGAACATCTGGAAGTTCTCGGTTCACGTATTGCTGAAGCCTGGCTTGGAGAATTTTGAGCATTACTTTACTAGCGTGAGATGAGTGCAATTGTGCAGTAGTTTGAGCATTCTTTGGAATTGCCTTTCTTTGGGACTGGAATGAAAACTGACCTTTTCCAGTCCTGTGGCCACTGCTGAGTTTTCCAAATTTGCTGGCATATTGAGTGCAGCACTTTCACAGCATCATCTTTCAGGATTTGAAATAGCTCAACTGGAATTCCATCACAGCCACTAACTTTGTTCGTAGTGATGCTTTCTAAGGCTCACTTGACTTCACATTCCAGGATGTCTGGCTCTAGGTGAGTGATCACACCATTGTAATTATTTGACTCTATGGCAGGGCTATTGATTTCCTTTTTTCCTTACCCACTACTATTCTCTCTACCTCTTTTTGACCCGAGGGTGTCAGAGTATGGCTGTTTGGAAAAATGAAGTGACAGAAAGTCAGTCCTCTGTCTTCTAAGCCATAAACCCTTCCGCAGGCTCTGATACATAAACCTTGTTTATGTAGTTTCTTGTCTTCAAGTTTAGAGCATGAGGGTTTGGTGCATAGTCTGCTTACTGATCTGTAGCCATCTTGCAAAGTTACATGGGAAAATGTGTGTGTGTATGCTAGTGTGCATTGTCATGGTAAGAGTTTCCCTCCCTCATCACACTCTGTGAGGTTAAAAAAGATTAAGAATGGGTGAGAGCCAGTGTCCTGATACTTGATAGGATGTAGGCCTCCTGATTTTTAGACTATTCCTTGGTGTTAGTCTTTTCTCCCCTGGTCTCTTTTTAATCTTATTAAGATTGTACTCCAAACATACTAATTAAGGAAGACCTGGTATTAAGAAGCAGAAATCATTATGGGAACAATTTTGGAGAAAAAATATTTCCATCTTTTCACTTAAAGGCTCAGTTCAGTTCACTCGCTCAGTCGTGTCCAACTCTTTGCAACCCCATGGACTGCAGCTTGCCAGGCTTCCCTGTCCGTCACCAACTCCCCGAGTTTGCTCAAACTCATGTCCTTTGAGTCAGTGATGCCATCCAGCCATCTCATCCTCTGTTGTCCCCTTCTCCTCCTGCCTTCAATCTTTCCCAGCATCAGGGTCTTTTCCAGTGAGTTGGCTCTTCCCATCAGGTGGCCAAAGTATTGGAGTTTCAGCTTCAGCATCAGTCCTTGCAATGAATATTCAGGACTGATTTCCTTTAGGATGGACTGGTTGGATTTCCTTGCAGTCCAAGGGACTCTCAAGAATTTTCTCCAATACCACAGTTCAAAAGCATCAATCTTTGGCACTCAGCTTTCCTTATGGTCCAACTCTCACATCCATACATGACTATTGGGAAAACCATAGCTTTGACTAGATGGACCTTGTTGGCAAAGTAATGTCTCTGCTTTTTAATATGCTCTCTAGGTTGGTCATAGCTTTTCTTCCAAGGAGCAGTAGTTGATGGGGTAGGTCTACCAACTGCTGCATAGGTTTAGTTAGATATTACTGGATAGATCAATTTCCTTTTTATTTTGAATTCCATCCAAATACATTTTTTTCTAGTTCTGTTGAGATATAATTGACATACATCATTGTATATGATTAAGTTGTATAACATAATGGTTTGATTTAGAAACTCAGGAAGTGATTATCATAGTAAGTTTCAGTTCAGTTCAGTTGTTCAGTTGTGTCCAACTCTTTGCGACCACATAAACTGCAGCACGCCAGGCCTCCCTGTCCATCACCAATTCCCGGAGGCTACCCAAAATCATGTCCATTGAGTCAGTGATGCCATCCAGCCATCTCATCCTTTGTCGTATCCTTCTCCTGTCCTCAATCTTTCCCAGCATCAGGGTAGTGAACATCTGTCGTCTCATATAGATATAAAATTAAAGGAATGCAAAATCTTTTTTCCCTTGTTATGAGAACTCTTAATAGCTTTCATATGTAACATATAGCAGTGCTCGTTACGATTATAATATTGTGTATTACATCCCTAGTATTTATTGGTGTTAGCATTGGAAGTTAGTACCTTTTGCCTACCTTCGTCCACTTGTTCCCTCCCTCCGCACCCACTTCTGGTAACTACAGATCCAGTCTACTTTTTCTGTGTGTTTATTTGTCTTGCAGTGTAAGTGACCTGCCAAAGTATTATCATTAGTTCCTGGTACACAACATACTAATTTGAAATATCTGTAAACATTTCAAAATGACCGCTATGACAAATCTAGTTAATATCTGTCACCATACAACAGTATTATATTATTATTGACTATATTCCCCACACTGTACATTTCACCCCCATGACTCATTTGTTTTGTAATTGAAAGTTTGTACCTTTTAATCTCCATCACTTATTTATCTCCCTGACATCCGCTCCCCAAGTTAATGCCTTTATAAGTGTTATCGGCTTTAACTTAGTTACTAGTAAGTGAGGAGTAAGAAATAAGCCTTTTTTCTTGATTTAACTCCCTTTTTCTATATATATGGTTGCTGAGAAAGTATTTAAGTTGTATAGAACTTTTCTTTTCATCTCAGACCATCCCTACTGTAACTGGAGAACTCCTAGCCTAACCTCCTTCTTGGGTTACTTGGCAGTTATCCTTGGCCATAAGGAAGTAAACCAGTGTGAAACTGGAGAAATTACTAACAGACAGTGCTGAGCATAGAAGCTTCAAAAGCTGGTTTCAGTTTCTTGTCGGGAGGGAAGATACTTCCAGGGTACCTTTTCTCCTCCTAGTCTGTTCCTGAACTTGCTTCTTTTGCTATCACAGTTCAGTGATCTTAGCTTGAAAATTTATGAAACAGATTTGAAAAGTGACTTGGATGCTAAGAAATTGATTTCTTTCCTCAGAGGAAGCAGAGATGACTTGAGAGGTCAATTGGCTTAGATATTAGAGAGAGTCTGAAATTGTATTGTTTCTTATGTGTTAAATTCCATTTCTCCCCCCCCCCCCCCCCCCACCCCGCAGACATTCGTGACACTGTGAAGTATAAAGAAGTCATGAAACAGTATCCTTTTCCACGTCTACTTTGTTGTTGGCTCATCCCTGGTTAGTTACTGTCTGTGTATTGTGTAGCTTTGAAAAAATATCTGTGCCTTTCCTTGTGAATTATACTAGCAAAAGCATTTAATAGCTTTCAAGTGACTTTATAAAGAGGAGGATGATGAATGTGAGGAGAGGCATTGTAGGTGATTAGACATCCTATTTCAGCTTGTGAGTTCCATTTTCTGCCTTTGTCCCAAACTGCAGGATGTTGTGATTAGCACACAGGATGTTGTGATTAGCACGGAGGATGAGAGGCTAGCTGGTGGTGTGCCTGGGTCCACAAGGTAGTATTTATTGCCTTGGTGGATAAAGCTATTGGTCACCATCTCTTTAGACTGGGAAACTCAAAGGTTAGTAAGATCAACTCTAAGTTTTGGGTTGGTCAGCTCTTAGTACATTGCCCATAAAATGTGTACTTTCCCTTTAGGTCCTGAGTAGGAAGACTGACTCCAATCCTCAGGTGACTTGATGAGTGAGAATCAGAGCAAGGAGTGGTACATAGATGATTGTCATGGCTAATGCTCTCAGGCTGTGAATGCCTGAAATATCTGTCCATTCCATTTGGCCCCATTTTATGTGGCTGTTTTTAAACAATAAATGAATGAGGTAGACATAAATAATGAATGTTTCCCTATGAGGTTAAGATTGTGTGGTACATTGTAGTCAATGGAACACTAATGTTATGCTGGGTTTTTGTGTGTGTGTGTGAGGGATTGTCAAGATAATAAACTTTATCATCTAAATTGATCTATAAGCAATTTAAATCCTTAACTTAATGTCTAGGTATGGACTTGGACCTAATGGTGGCATAGTGACCTCACTCAATCTCTTTGCTACCAGATTTGATCAGGTATATCTGTCTCTATTTACATAGACATGGCTGTGTTAAAACTTGTAACTCTTAAATGCCTTGGCTTGATCACATCAGGAAAGAAGGGCAATCTATCTGGATGTCCATATAGAACATAAGGAGGCATTTTGGTAGACACAGAAGTAGGCAATGTGAGGATGATCAACATGGCGAGAGACTTCACACTGAATGTTTGTGGCAGCCAACACAGCAGACACCTAAGAGACTTGAGTTCTCTTGCTCTCTCTCTCTTTTTTTTTTGGCCATGTGTCTTGCAGGATCTTAATTCCCCAACCAGGGGTTGAATCCTGGGTCTTTGGCATTGAAAACACGAGAGTCCTAACCACTGGACTGCCATGGAATCCCCCCGGGTTCTATTCTTGATCTGTTGTTGGCATGCAGTTTTACCCCGAGGGTGGGTTGGAGGGTTGGGGAGTGGGAAGGTCTGCCAGGCAGAGAATGGAATGATTATGGGGCTTTTCACTTGCAGTAGATAGTTGTCATCTATGAGGTTTTCTCTGTCATATTCCACTTCCTTAAGAGTTTTGCATCACTATTTTTTTTTAACCCTGGTTTCACCCAATGAGTCAAGCTGTTAACATTTTACCAAAGCACCAAGAAAGAGACTTAGGAGCGACAGATCAAGTCTTCAGCTGCTCAGGCCCTTGCCCTGTGCTCCAGGGTGTTGTGCTGCTGCAGGTGTGGCTTTGCTTCTGTAGTTCCATGAGCATGTTAGCTGGTGTCCTCAGATGGAGAACATAGAGATTCAGTTTTGAATGGTGCCTGTGAGGTGGGCCACTCTGGACAGGGCCCTGCAATTTTTTTTGTTGAACCCGGATCCTGTTGTAATTGACATCTTTCCCTTTTAGGTGATGAAATTTATTGAGAAGGCTCAGAACATGTCTAAGTAAGTGATTTCAGTCTAATGCCTATTTATTACTCTGTAGTAGACGTGTTTCTAGGTGTTTTGAAAGATTTTGGGATACTATCAAGTTTTGAAAGAGTGAAGTTTGAGATGAAACCATGACAAGTGAAAAAATTGTGGGCAAGAAGACAAGTCATTGAGATGCTCCACATTGTGGAGCTCGGTTTAATAGAATCGCACCCCCAATCACTTTGGAATATGGTTCTGGCTTCTTAGGAGGTATCTTTAGAATTTGAGTCAACTCACTTGTTCAGTTGCCTTCTCTTACTTATTAGCATTAAAGGCTCTGAGATACCTTTCTAATCCTTATTTAAAGTAATATAATTCACATGATTCAGAGAGACTATTTCTTAATTTAAAAAGTATTAAAACATAAAATAGAGTAATATTCTTATTATCATTGTCTATGATTAACTGTTGTTAAATTTTTAATAGGTTTGCTTTTTTAAAAGAAAGGAAGATAATTTATTGTTTTTGTAAAAAGAGTATAGACATTACTGTGAATATTTCCTACCATGCATAGATTTAAAATAGGAAGCTATCATCCTTCTTATCATTAGAAATAACAATCATTATTATCATTATTGCTACTATGAGGATATAGTAGCAGTGATTTCTCATCCCAGGTGTTTCTATTTATATGTACATAGATAGAAGGATGGCTGGATAAGGTGTTTTTACAAAAAAAGGATCATATAGGAGTAGTTTTTTAATTTTTTTATTTTTATTTTATTTACTTTTTTTTAGTAGTTTTTTTAAAGTAACAGCTTTGTTACAGTATGAATTCACAGACCATAAAGTGCACTCTTTAAAAGTATACAGTTTAGTGGTTTTTGGTATATTCACAGAGTTGTGCATTGATCATAATCACCTGATTTCAGAACATTTTCATCTCCAAAAGAACCCCATTCTCATTAGCGTTCATTCTATTCCCTGTTCCTCCAAGCTCCTGGTGGCTGCAGGCACCATTTTATAACATACATGCATTGAGGGTTCCATTTTCTATACATACTTATCAGTACTTATTACTGTTTTCGATTAGAGCCATCTTAATGGGTATTAAGTGGTGTCACATTGTGTTATGATATATATTTCCTAAATGATTAATGATGTTGAGCACCTTTTAGTGTACTTCTTAGCTATTGGTATATATTTGGAGAAATGTCTATTTGAATTTTTTGCTTTTTTTTTTTTAAAAATAAGTTTCCAGTACACATTATAATTTAACATCTGTGTACACTACAGAGTGATCACCCCCAAAGGCCAGCTATCATCTCTCACCATACAGTTGATCCCTTTCACCTCTGTGACCCACCCACAACCCCTTTCCCATCTGGTAACCACTGATTTGTTCTCTGTATCTGTGAACTTGCTTTTGGTTGGTTTTCTTTTCTCTTTGTTTCATTCTCTCTCTTTTTTCCACCTATGAGTGAAATTGTACAATAGTTGTCTTTTTGCTTCTGATTTGTTTTACTTAGTGTCATCCATGTTGTCACAAATGGCAAGATTTCATTCTTTTTGTATGGCTAAATAGTTTTCTACTATGAGTATACCATGTCTTCTTTATCCATCCATCCATCGGTGAACAGTTAAGTTGCTTCTGGGTCTTGGGTGTAGTACATAGTGCTGCAATGAACGTATGGGTGTGTATATTTTTTCTAATTAGTGTTTTTATATTCTTTGGATAAATACCCAGAAGTGGAATCACTGAATCATATATGGTAGCTCTACCCTTCAGTTTTTGAGGAATCTTCCTACTGTTTTTCATAGGGGCTGTACCAGTTTATACTCCCACTAACAGTGTACGAGTGTTTCTTTTTCTGTACATCTGCTTCAACACTTGTTCTTTGTTATGTATTCGATAAGAGCCATTCTAACAAGTGTGAGGTGACATTTCACTGTGGTTTTGATTTGCATTTCCTTAGTAGTTAGTGATGTTGAACATCTTTTCATGTGCCTATTGACCATCTGTGTATCTTCTTTGGAGAAATGTCTACATATTAGATCCTTTCTCATTTATAAATCATGTTGTTTGTGAATTGTGTGTGTTCTTTATGTATTTTGGATACCAATCCCTAATCAGACGTGATTTGCAAACATTTTCTGCTGTTCAGTAGGTTGTCTTTGGGTTTTGTTTTAGCCATGCCCAGTGACTTGTGGGATCTTAGTTCCCCAGCCAGGTATTGAACCCTGGGCCACCACAGTGAAAGCGCCAAGTCCTAACCACTGGACCACCAGGGAATTCCCACCTTTTAGTTTCGATGATGTTTTCCTTTGCTGTGCAGAAGCTTTTTCATTTGATGTAGTCTCATCTTTTATTTTTGCTTTTGATTTCCTTGCTTTTGGTGTCTGATCCCCAAAAACTTCACAAAGACAGATGACATTGAGGCTACTGCCTCTGTTTTCTTTCAGGTGTTACATTCAAGTCTTTCATCCATTTTGAGTTCATTTTTGTGTGTGGAGTGGTCTGGTTTCATTCTCTTGCATATGACTGATTTTCCTAACACCATTTCTTGAAGAGACTTCCCTTTCTCCATTGTATGTTCTTGGCTCCTTTGTTGTCAGTTAATTGTCCATGTATGAGTGAATCTTTGTTCTTTTTCACAAACAGCTTTATTGAGTTATAGTTCATGTGCCATACACTTTACCCATTTTAATTGTGCAATTCTGTGGCTTTTATGGTAGTTATAGAATTGTACAGCCATCACCACAAGTTTAGAACATTGCATCCCCTCAAGCGGAGACCCTCTTCTTTAGTTACCACCTTCTTCTTTTTCTCTTTCTCCTTTCCCTCCATTTTCCTCCAACCCCACTGCTAAGTAAACAGGTTTCCCAAGAGATTTACATACTGGTTTTGGTTATCTCTCATTTTTAATGCAGTGTGTTTCTAAAACTGCCAGTTTCCTCTGTGACTGCAGCACTGATGTATTGCTGCTCCTGCCAATGAACCTGAATACTGGACCCTGACCAAAGCCTGGGGGAATGTGGTCTTCACTTTAATGGCAATGGGAAGACGTGAGACTTGGCATGGGAGGTTATTTCTTGTCTTAAATGCCCAGATGTTAATGTTTTGTGGTCTGGAATATCTTTCAGAGTGCACAAATAAAAACTTCTTTTATGATCTTTTTTGACACAGGTATGTCTTAATTGACACACCTGGACAGATTGAGGTATTCACATGGTCAGCTTCTGGGACAATTATCACTGAGGCCCTGGTAAGTATTCTGGGACTTGTTACTGAGGGTTAAGTAGAGAGCCAGACAAGAAAAACTTCATCTTTCTGCCTGGGAACTTATGTGGGATAGAGTCATAGAGCTCTGCACACCCTCCTAAAGTGGTTCTTCCTCTCCACAGAGGGTAGGAGAAGAGTTTGGGGACAGGTCAAGGACCTTTTGACTAAAGCTGTGATTATTCTGTGGCTTTAGGCATCCTCGTTTCCAACGATTGTCATTTATGTAATGGACACATCTCGAAGTACCAACCCAGTGACCTTCATGTCCAATATGCTCTATGCCTGCAGGTAATGCATTATTGTTGAGCATAGTATTGTGTCAAGAAGTGAAGTCTCCACTTGTTCTTTTCCTTCATTTTTGAGTCCTGAGTGCTTCCCTCTCAGTTTGTGCTGCCCACACCCTCTTTAGTGGCTCTGGGTTGGTGAGGGAAGAAAAGCGCATATGCCTTGGCATCAGCCCCTGGTCATCTTTCCCCTTTGCTTATTACAGAATAGGTGATGAATGAAAATGCACCTTCTGGTAAATGCATTGCCCCAGTTGAATGAAATCCAATTCTGAATAGAATAGAGGCTCTGGTCTAAATGCTTTTTCTTTTTTTTTTGTGCTAGGAAAAATGAGATTATAACATGAGGAGAGACTGAATTAAAGATTCATCTGTGACTCTGCATGCACATATTTTCTCAAGTGTGGTGCTATTAGGAGAGGAAGGGCATCTCCTACTAGGCTATTAGTGTGTTAGACCTAGGAGCAAGGTGGGCCATTATTAACACTGAGTTTAATTTTAGGCATTTGCAAAAAGCAAGCACTCCAGTTTGTCTCTTCTAATGTGACCAGGGATGTTCTTTCCTGTTAAACACAAGAAATCCTGGTCCAAATAGAAATCTGATGTTTGATAGCATGATTTTGTCTTCATAGTAACTGTTTATTAAACAGTTAATTTGGTGAAAACACACACACACACACACATATAAACATACCCAGGATCAGTACCAAAGCATTATTACTCCAAGAATAGGAGAGTGTGTATGTGTGTTATTTGCTTAGTGGTAGTGGTTTACTGCTTGGGATGGGAACACACGTGAGTGCTGTGTGAAAATGGATACCTGTATTTAGAGTCTGAACCCCTCTCCCTTTTAATTACTCAGTTCCATTGGATTAATAACGCAAGCAGGAGCTTAAGTGCTTTTACTAATAATGCCTTCATATTTGATTTTCAGCATCTTATACAAAACCAAGCTGCCTTTTATTGTGGTCATGAATAAAGTAAGTGGAGTCTTCTTCCTGTCTTGCCTGAATATTTCTTTTCATCAGAACCTTGTGTTAGAAGTTTGGTTAGGTGAGAAGGATGATTTCAGATGCTAGAGAGCAGATTTAAGCTAACTGAAAGCAAAGTTGTGAGCACTTCTCAGAAATGGACTCAATTAAATTGAATGAATATATGTCACTGATTCTTCTCCAAGGTTAATTTAGGCTAAATAGAGTAGCTCCTGGTCCACAGCATATGGGTTATCTCTCAAGATCAGGACTGTGTAAATGGTGGAGGGCCTGCCAGTCTATGGAGAGTGGCAATTAAAACAAAACCAAAACTTCTCTGTGGTTGGTTGTTGGCCAGAATGCAAGAGACTGTGTACTTGACTTTGGAGCCTGGAAAATGCTGGCCTCCACTGTGGCCATGGTCACTTGGCAGTGGATAGTGAAGGGTCTGTTTTAACCTGGAATATACAGATCTTCATTTAATTATTTATACTGCACAGCAGTCTTGGCTCTTTGTGGCTTGTTTCAGTGGAGGAGGAAATGGGGGAAGCAGAGAAGGAAAATATATGAATGATTGCTCTTTGTTGTTACCACTTAATTAAAAGAAATTGGGAGGAGGAACTTCCCTGATGGTCCAGTGGTTAAGACTCCACACTTCCACTGCAGGGGTCATGGGTTCAATCCCTGGTCAGGGAACTAAGACACAGGAACATGCTGTGGAATGTGGCCAAAAGTTTTAAAATTTTTTAAATTAAAAATAAGTAAATAAAAATTTTAATTAAAAAATTAGTTTTAAAAAATAAAAATTCCCATTGTTTGGGGTCTGACCTCATCTCTGGTTGCTGATAACTGTCTTCTCTCTGGTACAGACTGACATCATTGACCACAGCTTTGCTGTGGAATGGATGCAGGATTTTGAGGCTTTCCAAGATGCCTTGAATCAAGAGACTACATACGTCAGTAACCTGACTCGTTCAATGAGCCTGGTGTTAGATGAGTTTTACAGCTCACTCAGGGTAAACTTTCTCTCTTGCTTATGCTGTCCATCTCTCCAGTTAATCTATTAATCCAAAGGGCTGGCTTTGAACATATCTTTGGAGAGGAAGTTCATTACTTTATGAAAAGTAATTTATAAGGCATTGCTTATTAAAAACTGGAGATTTAAAAGATAAATATGATAGAGACCCTACTTTCAGAGAGTTTATGGTCTAGTTAGGAAAGAAGGCTAAACACAGAGTTGAAATACAATGTAATGTAACTTATATTGTGATATATTAGGAAAGATTAAAAGTTGGCCTGATAGTGGTTAGGTGGTAGATCACTTTTGAAATGAGGGATTTTGGAGGATATAGCACATATAGGTGTGCTTTGAAGGAAGGGTAAGATTTGTATAAGGAAAAGAGGGTGTGGGTAGCAAGGAGTATGTTCACTGTCCAAGCAAAAACATTGAGATACTAATTTTTATAGAGAACAGACTGTGGTTTGATGTGATAGGGAACAGATGAAAAGAACTGCTGCTTGTTTGGTCCTCATTTTCTTTTTTCACTTCTCTACTTTCCATGGACTTATTACCATGACTTTTAAACTTAAAAAATTAAAAAATTTTTATTTCCATGACTTTTGAGTAAGCATGCTGTTCTGTATTGTTTTAGCATCATTCTTTGCCAGGGACTTCTTAACTTCCAAACTTCTTCTATGAAGATTTTATGAAATTTGAACCAAATAATGTACACTGTTTAAAAATATGCAGTTGTTTCCTCAGTGGCATTAATGATGCTTTTGGCAGGTGGTGGGTGTGTCTGCTGTTCTGGGTACAGGATTAGAAGAACTCTTCGTGCAAGTTTCCAGTGCCACAGAAGAATATGAAAGGTGAGGATAAAAGAACATTTTATTGATGGCATTCTTAGTTACTCACAATTCTGATATGACAGCAGTTTTTTCAGACAAAATGTTTCAGTTTTCATGTTTGTATTATATTTTCCATGTAGATGTGTACCGGGTGTCATCACATTTAGGGTTAACAAGTACCCATTAGTTTAAAAAAAAACAAAAAAAAACCCCACAATAATATAAAATCTTCACTTTATTGAATGATGAAGAACAGGAGTCATCAGGTATTGTAAAAGTCAGATATTAAATATTTTTGGCTTTGTGGACTGTAATAACTATCATTGTAGTGCAAAAGCACCTATAGACAATTCCTAAACAATTGGGTGTGGCTGTGTTCCAATAAGACTTTATTTATAAAAATAGACAGTGGGCTGGATTTGGCCTGTTTGCCACATTTGTTGACCCCCGATTAAGAACATAGACTTTGGAGTCAGATAGACATGAGTTAGACTTCTTTTTCCTTCGTTTAATAAGTGAGTAACTGTAGCATTTATTCTTAAGGTTGGTCATTGTGAGGATTATTTGAGATTATTTGAGATGATAGACCTAAAGCACCTAGCATAATTGCCTACACAATGAAAGCATGTTTCTTTATAAATGATTGTTATAACTGTTGTTGTGGTTAATACTGGAGTTCCATTTATCTAAAGGAAAGTGGAGTCAGAGCACCTATACACTTCCCTTAGGTCTGATAACTGGCTGCTTTCTAGCAAGCTTCATACTTAGTACGATCCTAGTAGCCACATTAATATTTTCAGACATTATTTTTTGTTCATCAGACAAGGGTTGTGGGTTTTTTTTTTTTTTTGCGAGTGTTATCAAAGCCTCAGGATAGACTCTTTTCTGTATCCTTTCATTGTTGCCCAGATGAATGACATAATTTATATACTGGGCTTCCTGAGTAGGCCTAGCTTCTTTTACTCATCATTTAAACATCTTTTATTCATGTTCATCCAAGTGTATGATGAACTCATCAGTCATGGTCTCTCCAGAGTTGGATCTTCCCAGCTCAGCAGTCAGTCTTTTGTCTCTGCTGGTTTCAGGGTGGGGGGCATGCACCTTGCTTTTAATTCCTTAAGGATAGAGTCTTAGTGACTTAAGATTTGTTACATCTGATGTTTGGTGACATAAGATCTTTTGTTATCATCAAAATACTAGGAAAATAGAGGTAACATGATAAATTATTAATCAAAGGGATTTAGAGTGTTTCTCTTTCCAGAGAGTATCGTCCTGAATATGAACGTCTGAAGAAATCACTGGTAAGATAAGAGGCTGTTTGTGTTTTAGGGCTACTAAAAAACAGTCTCAAACTATGTCCTAATCCTTCTATCCTAAGTGATTTTGTTTTGGTTTATCCTTTAGATACTTGTAACGGCTTTCCTTGTAGCTCAGCTGGTAAGGAATCCGCCTACAAGAATCCGCAGGAGACTTGGGTTCGATCTCTGGGTTGGGAAGATCCCCTGGAGAAGGGAAAGGCTACCCACTCCAGTGTTGTGGCCTGGAGAATTCCATGGACTGTATAGTCCATGGGGTTGCAAAGAATCAGACGCGACTGAGCGACTTTCACTTTCACTTAGATACTTGTGAAGGATACATGTATCTTTTAGATATAATGTATCCTTTAGATACTTGTTAATTTGATCTGTAAATTTGTATGTATGCTGTCTGGATGCAGAAAGACCTTTTTTTCTTCTCTAAATTTGAAGTAATAAAAATTAGGTTTATCCTGTTATATGTGCTGAGCCCTTCTAGTGCTACACCTCTACCCTGACTCCAAGGTCAATTTAAAGGCTGTTGTAGAATTTTGTTTAAGAACAGAGAGGTAGTTCATAACTCTTACCCCAAATGATCAAGTGTCCTGTCCCCATTGGCTCCATTGGACATCTTATCATTCAGCCTTCCTGCTATGTATACTTGAGGGTTCTTTTGAAGATTCTGTGTCCAGTTTCTGAAACCTCTCATACAGTCTGCAGAGCCCTTTGGAATGAATTTATGCTAATATGGGCCCACACTGCTTAGTGTTTCTGTCATCATTCATCCCTTATTTCCCTCATTGTTTAAGTAGCCTCTAGTATTTGTATAATTTGTCATTTCCATTAGAAGTCTGGCATCTAACTTGGGCCTTCTTTTTTAATATAATGACATATTTTTCTGTGTATAATAGGCCAGTGCACAGAGCCAGCAGCAGAAAGAACAACTGGAACGCCTCCAGAAAGATATGGGCTCTGTGGCCTTGGACACAGGAATTGCCGCAGGTACTGGAGGGTCTTCTGGTGTTAGGAACTAAAAGAAGGGTACAGTTATCTCCACTTAGTAGTTAGGTGTTTGGATTTAAGGGAGAGAAAGAGAAAAGGATAAAGTAAATGTGGTATTTCATATCTGTCAATCAATTTAGATAAATCCTAGATCCAACAAGTAATTGGCCACCCATGTTTCCCAACTGAGCTTTTTTAACCTTTTAGGCTCCTGAAGAGGGAGTGGTCGTGACATCCCATGGCCTTAGGTTACATGGCTTGATGTTAGGTTCTCCTAGAGACCATTCCCTAACAAGCTGAATCCTCTGCTCAGGACTCAAACCCACTTGATTAGACTTTCTCCTGATTATTGGAGCTCAGCCCTTACTTAGTTTCTCTGTGTAGGGAGCTTACTTCTATTAGTATATTCAGTTTTACATTTTTTCCTCCTATTTTTCTTTTAAAATTAATTAATTTAATTGGAGGATAATTACTTTATAATATTGTAGTGGTTTTTGCCATACATTAACACGAATCAGCCGTGGAACAGTGGGGAACATGTGTTCCCCATCCAGAACCCCCCTCCCACTTCCTTCCCCGTTCCATCCCCCAGGGTCATCCCAGTGCACCAGCCCTGAGCACCCTGTCTCATACATCGAACCTGGTCCAGTGATCCACTTCACATATGATAATATACATGTTTCAACCCTACTCTCTCAAATCATCCCATCCTCTTCTCCCAGAGTCCAAAAGACTGTTCTTTACTCCTGTGTCTCTTTTGCTGTCTCACATATAGGGTCATCATTACCATCTTTCTAAACTCCATATATATGCGTTAGTATACAGTGTTTGTGTTTTTCTTTCTGACTTACTTCACTCTGTATAGTAGGCTGCAGTTTCATCCACCTCATTAGAACTGATTCAAATGCATTCTTTTTAATGGCTGAGTAATATTCCATCATGTATATGTACCACAGCTTTGTTATCCATTCATGTGCTGATGTACATCTAGGTTGCTTCCATGTCCTGGCTATTGTAAACAGTGCTGCGATGAACATTGGAGTACACGTGTCTCTTTTAATTCTGGTTTCCTTGGTGTGTATACCCAGAAGTGGGATTGCTGGGTCATATGGCAGTTCTATTTCCAGTTTTTTAAGGAATCTCCATACTGTTCTCTGTAGTTGGCTGTACTAGTTTGCTTTCCCACCAACAGTGTAAGAGGGTTCCTATTTCTCCACACCCTCTCCAGCATTTATTGCTTGTAGACTTTTTGATAGCAGCCATCCTGACTGGCGTGAGATGGTACCTCACTGTGGTTTTGATTTGCATTTCTCTGATAATGAGTGATGTTGAGCATCTTTTCATGTGTTTGTTAGCCATCTGTATGTCTTCTTTGGAGAAATGTCTGTTTAGTTCTTTGGCCCATTTTTTGATTGGGTCGTTTATTTTTCTGGAATTGAGCTGCAGGAGCTGCTTGTATATTTTTGAGATTAATTCTTTATCAGTTGCTTCATTTGCTATTATTTTCTCCCATTTTGAAGGCTGTCTTTTTACCTTGCTTATAGTTTCCTTCGTTGTGCAAAAGCTTTTAAGTTTAATTAGGTCCCGTTTGTTTTTCTTTGCTTTTATTTCCATTACTCTGGGAGGTGGGTCATAGATTTATGTGTGATTTATGTGTGATTTATGTCAAAGAGTGTTTTGCCTATGTTTTCCTCTAGAAGTTTTATAGATTTATGGTCTTACGTTTAGATTTTTAATCCATTTTGAGTTTATTTTTGTGTATGGTGTTAGAAAGTGTTCTATTTTCATTCTGTTTCAAGTGGTTGACCAGTTTCCCCAGCACCACTTGTTAAAGAGATTGTCTTTTCTCCATTGTATATTCTTGCCTCCTTTGTCAAAGATAAGGTGTCCATAGGTGTTTGGATTTATCTCTGGGCTTTCTATTTTGTCCCATTGATCTCTATTTCTGACTTTGTGCCAGTACCATACTGTCTTGATGACTTTAGCTTTGTAGTATAGTCTGAAGTCAGGCAGGTTGATTCCTCCAGTTCCGTTCTTCTTTCTCAAGATTGCTTTGGCTATTCGAGGCTTTTTTAATTTCCATTACAAATTGTGAAATTATTTGTTCTAGTTCTATGAAAAATACCATTGGTAGCTTGATAGAGATTGCATTGAATCTATAGATTGCTTTGGGTAGTATACTCATTTTCACTATATTGATTCTTCCGATCTGTGAACATGGTATATTTCTCCATCTATTTGTGTCATCTTTGATTTCTTTCATCAGTGTTTTATAGTTTTCTATGTATAGGTCTTTTGTTTCTTTAGGTAGATTTATTCCTAAGTATTTTATTCCTTTTGTTGCAATGGTGATTGGAGTTGTTTCCTTAATTTCTCTGTTTTCTCATTGTTAATGTATAGGAATGCAAGGGATTTCTGTATGTTAATTTAATATCCTGCAACTTTACTATATTCATTGATTAGCTCTAGTAATCTTTTGGTGGAGTCTTTAGGGTTTTCTATGTAGAGGATCATGTCATCTGCAAACAGTGAGAGTTTTACTTCTTCTTTTCCAATCTGGATTCCTTTTATTTCTTTTTCCTCTCTGATTGCTGTGGCTAAAACTTCCAAAACTATGTTAAATAGTAGTGGTGAGAGTGGGCACCTTTGTCTTGTTCCTGACTTTAGGGGAAATGCTTTCAATTTTTCACCATTGAGGATAATGTTTGCTGTGGGTTTATCATTCATATATGGCTTTTATTATGCTGAGGTATGTTCCTTCTATGCCTGCTTTCTGGAGGGGTTTTATCATAAATTCTCCTTTTCTTGAAAAATACTCAGCTCCTCTGTCGTTTCACCTTCTGTTCTCTTCAGACCATCTCTGAACTTAAATTTCCATCAGGAAGTTTCCTGATCACTCCACACTTGTATGCTGGACTTACCAGCACACTGGGTCTACTCACATGTCTTTAGCCTTCATAGGAAAAACCATAGCTGCTTTCAAGCTGAGAGCTAGTAAAAACAAATGACATTACTACTAAGACAAACTTCTTGAGAGTTGAGTTTTTCCTCAACTTAAAAATGAGACCTCTTGGGTTACTGGCACTTTGTGAAATAAACTAGTGTAGAAATGTTTAATGGTATGAATAGTACATTTAAAAGAGAGAAGATCCTGCATTTTATCATGATCACTTTCATCCTGCCAATTTTTAATCATAGTTACTTACTGATTCAAAATTACCCTTTTGAAGAGGCCTGTGTTCCTGATATGCTGCTGATAGTATTTTACATGCAGGGAGCTCATCTCCTGTGCTGGACCCTTCTGATTTGATCCTGACTCGGGGAACCTTGGATGAAGAGGATGAGGAAGCAGACAGTGATACTGATGATATTGACCACAGAGGTGAGAGGTGGCTGAGGTGACTCATGATTAACAGAACAACTGCTTATCCTCTCATTGTTTGCCTGGGAGCTTTCTGTTATTGAGAGACTTTAACCATGCAGCCAGTAATAGCGGGGAGAGGAAATGGTAAAGGATATAGCACCAGGAAGGAGTTCCATACATTGAGAGTTCCTGGCCTTCCACAAGAATGGTTAGTACTGAGCTTGATTATGGCCTTTTCTTAGTCTTGTGTCTTCTCATCTTTAGGTCCTAACTCAATTTTGAGGAACCCAGGATTGTTTATTATAATTAAGAATACAGGAGGCCTTAGTGAACCTAAACTAATCAGAAGGGAATGTAACATTGAGGAGAGAATGGCTTTGGAAACCCTAAAGGGTTTTATATGGCATAGTTTTATGGACTGTGGACAGAATCTATTTCTTGAAACAACCCTTTTAGGTCCTTGCTGTGCTCAAGGGTAAACCTCTATTTCAGTGTGCTGGATGCTAACATGTAAATTGCCTCATTTAATAATATTTATTGAGGTATAATTCACAAACAATAAATCCCACCCCTTTAAAGTGTATAGTTCAGTTCATTTCAGTTCAGTCATTCAGTTGTGTCCAACTCTTTGCAACCCCATGGACTGCAGCACACCAGGCTTCCCTGTTCATCACTGCCGGAGCTTGCTCAAACTCATGTCCACTGAGTCAGTGATGCCATCCAACCATCTCATCCTCTGTTGTCCCCTTCTCCTCCTGCCTTCAGTCTTTCGCTGCATCAGGGTCTTTTCCAGTGAGTCCATTCTTCGTATCAGATGGCCAAAGTATTGGAGCTTCAGCTTCAGCATCTGTCCTTCCAATGAATATTCAGGGTTGATTTCCTTTAGCATTGACTGGTTGAAAAAAGAAAAAGGATTGACTGGTTGGATCTCCTTGCAGTCCAAGGGACTCTCAAGAGTCTTCTCTAACACCACAAGTATATAGTTAGATGAATTTTAATACATATAGTCTTGTAGTAATTACCATCATAAGCAAGAAACAGAACACTTCCATCACCCTAAAATTTTGCTCATGCCCATTTTTATTTAGTCCCTTCCCCTACACCAGTTCCTGGCAACCACTTATCTGATTTTTGTGCCTATGATTTTGCCTTTTCCAGAATGTCATGTAAGTGGAATCACATATTTAACTTGACTTTTTTCATAGTGTAATGCTTTTGTGATCCTTCCATGTTATTGCATGTGTAATATGTGTTTTTAAAATTGCTTAGTAATATTCCATTATGTGAATGTGCCTTTGTTTATCCATTCACAAGCCAGTTGACATTTGGGTTGTTGCCAGGTTTAAGCTGTGGTAAATAAATTGCTATAAAGATTGGTTAATAGGTTTTTATGTGGACAGTTTTCATTTCTCTCAGTTAAAAATATGTAGGAGTGGGACCTCATTTTAGTTACTTCATGAGGGAAGCATCTCCCCACCTATTGGTCAAAGAAATTGTACATTTTGGGCAACATGATAAATAGAACCTGCTTTTAGGAAATACTTATTGGGAGAAGTGAACATGTAGTGTCTTAGAAAGCATACAGTTGACTCTTGAACAACTCAGGGACTGGGGTACCTATTATCCTTGGTACAGTTTTTTTTTCCCCCTTGGTACAGTTTTAACAGTCCTCATATAACCAACTTAAGAGTTGGCCCTCTGATTCTGTGGTTCTGCATTTGTGGATTTCATCAACTGTGGATTATATAAAACTGTATGTTGTATTTACTACTGAAAAAAGTTAGTGTGTAAGGCGACTCACCCAGTTCAAGCCCATGCTGTTTAAGGTTACATGTACTATTTCTTATGGATGGGAGACAGTGGCTCTAATCCACCTGTCTAATGGGGAGAGTTTGAAAATAACTCAACTTCTTTTTTCCTTATAGTTACAGAGGAAAGCCGTGAAGAGCCAGCATTCCAGAACTTTATGCAAGAATCAATGGCACAGTACTGGAAGAAAAACACCAAATAGTTTCTAAAGTTCAAAATTTTAGAACTCTGTGTGAAGGACTATCTTTATCTCTGACTGGGGGCTACAATCTATAAAGGATGGTTTTGTTCAGAATAGCAGTTTGTCTTACTAGTGAAACTTTCTGACTCCGATGAAGCCAGGAATAGATTATTTGGACCTGATTACCATTGGCCTTCCCCTTGGATTTATGCAAGGACGCATATTCTGTTTTTGGACACTGATATCCCTTTGAGCCTAAAACCGTTAAGTTGTTATCATTTGAGCTCACATACTTTTGCTACTGATGGATGAAACAGAGAACTTAGTAGGCTGGATCTCTAGCCTCTACTTCCCAAGCATTTGCCTTTGAACTTGCACCATGAGTTCCCTTCCTTTTTAGCAGAAAGGGCGAGAGGAAACAGGAGTTTGTCCAGAATAACAGTGGAGTCTCCTTGGCAACCAGTCAATGTTGGTATGAAATGTGCCTCCCACTGGGGAGCTCATTATAGAGCATCAGGTTCACTGAAGAAAGTGGGCAACATGTAGTTATTAAGAATTCTACTTTAGATGCTGGCTTGGATAAAGAGTTTTTAATTTTCACTTTGTTGTAAGCCTGCTTGTCATCATTTTAAGTAAGAAAATCATCACAAATAGTCACTTCAGTTCAGAAGAGAGATTTTAAGCCACATGATGTTTATTAAAGTTCTGTGTACACACCACACCTAATAACGAGGTATGAAGCCAGGCCCTGTTTGTATTGTACTTTAATGAAGTGTGTCCTTCCTTAGTGATTTACTCAAAGGACATGGGTTTGGGTCAGGTGCATATTCCATGCATAATGGCCCTGTTAAGTGTTTGCTTCGCCTCCACATTCTTCACAGTATCTTAAAACATTATTTCTCTTAAGAAATTTTATTCCTGCCTAACCTGTATTTCAGTTCAGTGGTTCTCAAAGTGTGGTCTCTGGAACAGAAGCATCAGCACCATCTGGGAGGTTACCAGAAACGGGACATTCAAGACCAAAATCAGAAACTGGGGGTGGGGCGTGGGGCTTAGCAATCTGTTTTAAAAAGGCCTCCAGGGGATTCTGATGCATGCTAAGTTCAGAACAGTGCTCTAACTCAACAGCCTATGGCATAATTCCAGACCAGGTGAATCTCAGGTATCAATGCTCCTATGACCTGCTTTATCAGAGTACCCGAACCTTGGCCATCTAGTGCCTATTCTCCAATTTAAACCATCTAAAAATAAAAATATTTTGTTTTACATGAAGTATTAATTTCAATACTGTGTAACTAATGGGAACCACTGGTCTAAAAACTTGAACTTGTTCTTTTAAGAGGGAACCACTTGCACAGCAAACCTGTGCATACCTGTTTTTCTCCCTAGTGCCTTTGAATACTTTTTCATTAAAGAGGAAATCATCTGGCCTAAGCTATAAGCTCCATAATGGCAGAGACAGTCTTACTCATCTGTGTATTCTTTGCAAAGGACCCAGTATATAATGGGTACTCAATAAATGTTTGCTAAGTGAACCAACTAAATACTAAATGGCTACTTTCTGAAAACTGACCACCAGATGTGTACTTTCATCAGTAAATAAGGGGAAGTGAAGTGAAGGGAAAGTTGTTCAGTCCTGTCTGAGTCTTTGCAACCCCATGGACTACAGTCCATGGAGCTCTCCAGGTCAGAATACTGGAGTGGGTAGCCTTTCCCTTCTCCAGGGAATCCTCCCAACCCAGGGATTGAACCCAGGTCTCCTGCATTGCAGGCAGATTCTTTACCAGCTGAGCCACAAAGGAAGCAAATAAGGGGAAATGAAGCTAAACCTGGAACAGGAAAGGTTTAAACATGCCAAGGATGTCCAATTAGCAGACTTATAAATGCTTTGGCAACAGTTTAAATCATAACCTTATTTTGTTGCTGTTGCATTCATATTTATTCCCAGTACCTGAGACATTTAAGGCACTCAGTGATATAGGCCTTGATTTCTAGTCTACTAAGAGTGTTCTAAATTTCACAAGACTTGTATTCTGCACCCCCGAACCAAACTTCAGCAGTACTTAACTTGCACACATTTGCTAATTACTCCTGATTATTCCAGTGCTACATCAAGTACTTAATAAATAATGATTGACACTATCAGATGCCAAGTAGGGCAGATACTGCGATGGATGAGTAACAGCAGTCAAGTTGTTCAGGACATGATGTAAAGCAGAAAGGTGTATACTGTTAGCCTTTTAGAGGCTGCCCATCCAGTAGAAGCACAATGTGCAGATGTAGAATTCTGGTAAAGGAATGGACCACTGTCCTCTGATGGCCAAGCAGATGCAACAAATGAAATAGGCACAAGTCTGTCTATGGACAGGTCCTGTTTGCTTCATTCACAAAGTGAAAGTGTTAGTCCCTCAGTCATGTCTCAACTTTTTGCGACCCCATGGACTGTAGCCTGCCAGTCTCCTCTGTCCATGGGATTTTCCAGGCAAGAATATTGGAGCAGGTTGCCATTCCCTTCTCCAGGGGATCTTCCTGACCCAGTGATCGAATCCAGGTCTCCTGCATTGCAGGCAGACTGATGAGCCATCAGTTAGTTTCATCATTCAAAGAGGAGAAAATGAAAGGAGCAACTGAAAAATGTACATGCTGAAAATACTGGGTTGCCCTTGTTTGGGTTTTTGTATAGAATATGGAAAAGCCTGAATGAACTTTTTTGGCCAACCCAATGTTAAAAATCTGACTGGAAATAAAGAGGACTGGAATACCTGGACTAAGTCTAGAGACGGAAGAAGAAAAATATATGGTTGAGATAGGAGAGGGCTATTTGGATAAGCAAAAACACTGTTCATAGACTGCTCTGATTTCATAGGAGATTCTGTGGGTAGCAGAAACAGTTCGAAAAAAAGACTACTGATAGATAAGCTGTGCAATGTTGAGCTATTTCCATTGAATTCCCAATGACTTGAACCAAAAATGAAGCAAGTTAAAAGAAAAAAATTGACATCTGATACCAGCATATATGTGAGTCTGTTCAAGCACAGCTGTGAAGCTTAATAACATCTTCATCTTCATAATATCCCTGCAGTGTAGGCCAGACCCAATGTGATTCTTAGTTGTGCAAGAGAAACAGCTTGAGAGAAGCTAAGTCACTTGACACATGGTAAAGACAAGTCAGGGACACTGTTTTGGTCTCTGGATCACCATCCCAGTATGATATCTGTGAAAGGTGGCTTGGTTGTGGAAAACAACAAAAACTGGATGCAAAAGGTAAAAGTAAACTTATTTGGTTAAATCCAGCTCCACTGATATCAGGAAAACCCATTGTGTTTAAGAGTTCAATCACTATTTGTGGAAACAAATAAGAATTCACCAGAGTTTCTGTTAGGTCTTCTAAGTCTGGAGAGGTCTCCCTCTTTGCCTTTTATATTTTCCTCATCCTCTTTTTGCAGCGTTGGTTGAAAACAGGGGAGGAGCCCATGAGGCTGTCAGTGGAGTGGGAGCCATAGCTGCTGTCTGAGTCATCAGGGCTTTGGGGGATCCCAGCTTCACTCATGCCTGACATCGGCTCCTCAAACACATCGCTGCCCAGCACGCCATGCCCAGAGACGTTGCCTTCTTCACTTTCTTGAGGCTCCATTTTCACGTGGGCCAAGTTCCAAAAAGGGGAAGCATTTACCTCTGTACCTGGGGATGGAAAAGAACACAGAACTAACTAGCAGCAAGAAAGGCTGGAACAAAGCAGGTGGCATACATCACCCAGGGCTGGCTGATGGCCTTTGAACTCAGTTTTCATTCTGATTCTCTACTTGCCTAGAGAATATGGTGGTTATTCTATGCTCAAAAAGTTACCAACTTAAAATATCTTCTTTTCCACTTCCTCCCCTTCCTTTACCTCACCTCATCCATCTCCATTTCCCCTAAACCAGGGAAAGTAAAGCTATGCAGGTAGAAATAGTCACGGTTCAAAGGCAGGCACAACCATGGGTTCCTGGGCGGTGTTACATTTGCCTGTCCTTTTATTGGGGCTGTCTTGTTTTTCTGCCTTGTGTTTGGCTCCCTGGTTCTCTCTCACATTATGAAGTTAGTGATCACTACAAAACGGTGGCAGCAGTTCCCAGACTGCTGAAAAGAGACATGACCCCGATATCTGAAAGAATTTCTTTCTGGCTCTCCTGCCTCTGTGTCTTCTAGCAAAGCTGTTCTGTGGTTATTACGTCTTCCATAGTGAAAGGCTCTCTGCCCAGTACTTTGAAAATGTGCCCTAATTCTGTTTAGACCACACTGGAGGACTGGCTGTTTGCATCATTAGTTCACTGATGACATAATTTATATTTCTAAAGAACTGGGACTTCCCTAGAAGTCCAGTGGTTAAGACTTCCACTGCAGGGGGCTCAGGTTTGCTCCTGATCGGGGAACTAAAATCCCACATGCTGTGTGGTGCAGCCAATAAATAAATAAATATATTGTAAAGAACTAAGCCTCTAGAGTTATTTGCAGCCTTTTTGACTTAGGGATCATTGAGCCATCTGGTTCTGAAGGGAATCAGAGTCTATCTGGAAGAAGCAGCCAGCTGCCTATAATTGAGTTGCCCTATTTTAATCCTTTCAGGTTCAACTTGTTGGTACTACTGTGGCCAAGGAACCCCAACTATTCAAACATCCTTGAGCAATTAACATTATTCCACCTGTCTGGAAGTTGCCTTAATTAACCCAGCACAAACATTGGGAAAGACCAGAATACAGAGAACAGGAGGCCATCTGTCCACCTAGCTGGGTCGGCTGAATTAACTGTCATCAAGAGAGTAACAGCAAATTTGGAAAACTCAGCAGTAGCCACAAGACTGGAAAAGGTCAGTTTTCATCCCAATCCCAAAGAAAGGCAATGCCAAAGAATGTTCAAACTGCTGCACAATTGCACTTATCTTACATGCTAGCAAAGTAATGCTCAAAAATCTCCAAGCCAGGCTTCAACAGTACGTGAACCATGAACTTCCAGATGTTCAAGCTAGATTTAGAAAAGACAAAGGAACCAGAGATCAAACTGCCAACATTCATTGGATCACTGAAAAAACAAGAGAGTTCTAGAAAAACATCTACTTCTGCTTTATTGACTACACCAAAGCCTTTGACTGTGTGGATCACAACAAACTGTGGAAAATTCTTAGAGATGGGAATACCAGATTACCTGACCTGTCTCCTGAGAAATCTGTATGCCAGTCAGGAAGCAACAGTTAGAACTGAACATAGAACAACAGACTGGTTCCAAATTGGGAAAGGAGTATGTCAGGGTTGTATATTGTCACCCTGCTTATTTAACTTACATGCAGAGTATATCATGAGAAATGCTGGGCTGGAGGAAGCACAAGCTGGAATCAAGACTGCCAGGAGAAATATCAATTACCTCAAATACACAGATGACACCACCCTTATGGCAGAAAGCGAAGAAGAACTAAACAGCCTCTTGATGAAAGTGAAACACAGTGAAAAAGTTGGCTTAAAACTCAACATTCAGAAAACTAAGATCATGGCATCTGGTCCCATCACTTCATGGCAAATAGATGGGGAAACAGTGGAAATAGTGGCTGACTTTATTTTTTTGGGCCCCAAAATCACTGCAGATGGTGACTGCAGTCATGAAATTAAAAGACACTTGCTCCTTGGAAGGAAAGTTATGACCAACCTAGACAGCATATTAAAAAGCAGAGACATTACTTTGCTGACAAAGGTCCATCTAGTCAAAGCTATGGTTTTTCCAGTAGTCATGTATGGATGTGAGAGTTGGACTATAAAGAAAGCTGAGTGCTGAAGAATTGATGCTTTTGAACTGTGGTACTGGAGAAGGCTCTTGAGAGTCCCTTGGACTGCAAGGAGATCCAACCAGTCCATCCTAAAAGAAATCAGTCCTGAATATTCACTGGAAGGACTGATGCTGAAGCTGAAACTCCAATACTTTGGCCACCTGATGTGAAGAATGGACTCACTGGAAAAGACCCTGATGCTGCAAAAGATTGAAGGCAGGAGGAGAAGGGGCTGACAGAGGATGAGATGGTTGGATGGCCTCACTGACTCAATGGACGTGAGTCTAAGCAACCTCCGGGAGTTGGTGATACAGGGAAGCCTGGCGTGCTGCAGTCCATGAGGTGCAGAGAGTTGGACACAACTGAGTGACTAAACTGAAGAGAGTAACATTGCATCTACATCCTAACTAGGAATAATTTCAAAGAATATCTGTAAAGCTGTGCTAGTTCCCTCTTCACCAATTAGGAAGAGAATGTTGGTATCTCCAGATCAGTGAAGCTATATTTCTTTTTAGACTTTCCATTCCCCTGCCCATCCCTACTTTTGCTCTTCTATCTCCAGACTTTGAGTCTAAAATGCAAGAAGTACTGAGGCTGGCACATCTCTCAGAATCAAGATGGGTAGGTTGTTCTCTCTTACTTGAAGCCTGTGGTGAAGCCTCGACCTCCAGGTTAGATGGGAAGCGCTCGCTCTGAGCCCCGAGGACTCCCATGGGCAGCGACTGGTCTCCAGAAGCAAGGTCGGCCTCCAGTTCTTCACTGACAGGAAAGGTGATGTCGCTCACAGGTTCCTCCTTGATCTTGACAGGCTTCGTGTCCTCTGTGGCCTTCTCAGGATTGACGATCCTCTCATACTCTTCAGAGAGCTGCTTACTAATCTGTTGGCAACCAAGAGTCAATTTTCCAAAGGAATATTAAATTGGATAGTCAGCTTGTGGCATCCAATGGAAACAGAATATGAATACAAATAAAGCATCACTGCTAATGGGAGGAATTTGAGTTGAAGTTTATAAATGACAGGGACATGTAAAGAAAATTTGTTTGGCAGAGAACGTGTATGTGATTAATTAAAAGGTACATAAAGGTAAAATATTTAGATGTATTATATCAGAACTGGGACGAAAGGTGACATTTTTGGCTATAAAAACTAACATTTGACATAAATACAACGGGTGGCTAATGAGCACTGTAGGACATCTGGATCACTTAGCAAAGCTGATTGGGTGTTATCAATTCCTTATATTTCAGATTTGGGGAAACCAAAACAGTAAACAAAATGCTTAAGGCCACAAGGGAGGGAGAGATTAGATAGTTCTGGTTTTAACAAAAAACGGTGTCTCCCCCACCACACTCTACCTTTGAGGGCAGTGTCATCTCACTGTTTTGCTCCTGGTTCATAACACTTAATGCCATCTGAAATGATTCTGATCATTGTTTACCTGCTTTTGTCTCTCTCTCAACAAGAATGCAAGCTCAAGAAACTTGTCCTATTCAACTGCTGAATTCCACAATAGGCACTCCACAAATATGTGTTGAATAAAAGCAGGCTAGCCACATGCTATAATTTCACTGCCTGAAGAAGAACCCTGGGTCTGGTCAGGTCAGTGTGGGTCATAGCCGGGTCCAAGAGGAAAGCCAAGGTAAGCTCACTCTATTCCAGGACCCGCTCTCTGCACCCTAGGGCAAGTGTTAGGGATCCCGCCTGAACATCCCCAGATCACACATCCTTGTGCATCCCTCCTCAGGATCCTCTCACCTGCAGCATGTAACTGTGATAGTCCTTGATGCGGTGCTGCCAGAATTTCTGGAGGGAGAGCACGCTGCCGATGCCCACTTCATGGAACACCTGCTCCATCACGTCGGGGAAGGGAGTCTGCCCCAGCCGGGCTTCCTGATCCACAGCAAAGCGCAGCAGCTTGGTGAACTTCAGGCAGTACTCGTGTGCCACATCAGTCAGGGTCTCCAGGACGCTCTCATTAGCACACTCAAAGCCCGCGTGGGCCAGGATTGTGGCCACTGCCTGGTAGAGGAGCTGTCGACAGGAGTGCCAGCTGAGTTCAGTCACAGGCTCCCCTTTCCCCCTGAAAGTGGAGACATGATGAGTGTCATTGGTTCTCTTGCAAAGGGGTGACCTGTCCTGTCTTCCTAGGTGGTTTACAATCCTAATTAAACACCTGGCTCAGTTTTCCAGGAGAATTTTAGGCAGGTTACATAGCCTAGTTTTACCTTGCTGCCATTTCAGGGCATGTCTCAACAACCCACAGTCATATCCCTGAGTGGTTCCAATTACATAAAGCTTGCATAGGTTATATGTGTTTATAGTAAACAGTATAAAAGGGTATCTACTGAAAAGTAAGTTCCCATCTTCTTGTATCAACTGCTGATTTTGATCACTTTTAGGATTTGATTAATTTTAAGAGCATAGCTCAATGGTGCACATTTTCAGCATAGTATAGGTTCTTCACATGCTGGGCAATATATGGACCTCTAGAATTTAACTACAACAAACCGTTTGTAAAATAGGAAAGCAATTCAATTTTATAAAAGCAGTTTAAAACATATATTGCAAAAAAAAAAAACCATATATTGCTTACAAGTGACAGAGGATGAGATGGTTGGATGGCATTACCGACTCAATGGACATAAGTTTGAGCAAACTCCGGGAGATAGTGAAGGACAGGGAAGCATGGCTTACTGTAGCATGGGTCGCAAAGTCAGACATGACTGACAGACTGAATAACAATCGCTTACAAAGCATTTTTATCCTACTTTATGCTGTGAAATTGGTAGGGGTCCCTATTATTATTCCTATTTGGCAGGTGAAGAAATTGAAGTTCAGAGGGGGTGGTTTGCCAAATATAAAGTAACAGAGCTTCTGACTCTAGATCCTGTGTTCTTCACAATACTCTGTTTTCCACCTAATCATTGTGGCAAAAATCCTATCTTTCTAAAACAAAACAAAAAAACTTCAAAAGCTGTCTGATTTCCTAAAAGTAACTTTTAATGAGCTCCTAGTAATTTACCTGGTCTCCTGAAATTTCCTATCTTCTGCCTTCCCCTGACAAAGGAAGTAAATAAATAAAAATAAAATAGGGTACAGAAGATGACTCTTCCCTGTCCACACTTTGCATTTGTCACCCCGTGCTTGCTGTACAGAGTGCCTGAGGAACTATTCACCCATGCTGCTATGATCTGCTCATTAGCAACTACTGCAATTCACCTAATAACTGGAAAATAAGAAAAGCAACTGTCAAGTAATTTTTCATTTACTGTTTATATCATCATTTCCCATGGCCAGTCTCTCTGGATAAAAACCTAAAGACTTCAGATGTGCCTAATAAACAGAGCTAAATCAATTCTGTTTTACTTAATACGTGGACCCATTTCAAAGGAAAATAATTCTTCCTGCAGCCCCATAACTGATGCAAATTATTTTTGTTACAGTCTCTTAAATACATATAAAGTAAACTATGTGTAAAGCTCTGATGGTCACAGAATCTTCCTAATTAAAATTAGAAAACTGACACAAAACTACAAATTCTAAATAACAGCATCAATTTAATATGAGGGACAGTATTATTTTGTTAAAGCTAAGTTGCTCTCAAAATGTAAAGTTGGTACTGATTGCTACAGAGTAAGTGTTCTGAAGCTGGGCACATCTATACCAATATGTGCCAAGCATGTAATGATGCATTTCTCATCCCTTTTTCACTATTCCAATATCTTCAAAACTTCCAATTAGACAACGCACCATGACATCATCTCACCTTAATATGGCCCAACTGCAAACCTTACATAATAAGTCTATTTTTCTTCTTTTTTCATTAGTTTGGGACAATTAAAATAGTAGCAACTATCATCATCAACAAGCAGATGCAATAAGTGATGCACAACACAATTAGTTATGAAGCATTTTTACCAAACATTTAATCTGAATCTTATCTTGAGAAAATAATCAGCAAATCCAGTCTTATTTGGAACAGACAAATGACCTGAACTCTTAAAAAAGATTAATATCATGTATTATAAAAGGGGGAAGTTATTCTAGCTTAAAAGACACTAAAGAGGCAGAGAAAAACAAATACTGTATGATATCATTTACACATAGAATCTAAAACAAACTAGTGAACACAACAAAAAATAAGTAGACTCACAGATATTGAGAACACACTAGTGGTTAACAGTGAGGAGAAGGAAGGATGGGGCAAGATGGGGTAGATTAAAAGGTACAAACTACTATGTATAAAATAAATAAGCTACAAGGATATAGCACAGGAAATATACCCAATATTTTATAATAACTTTAAAAGGAGTATAATCTATAGAAATATTGAATTAGTGTTGTACACCTGAAACTAATATTGTAAATCAACTATACCTCAAAAAAAAAGACACTAAAGAGGTATAACAATGAAATGGAATACATGGTCTGTATTAGGTCCAAGACTAGGGAAAAACATACCTAATAAAAGATATTTCTGGGACAACTGGAAAAATCTGAATACAGATGTATTAAATGATAGTACTTAAGTTGTGTTCACTTTGATGTGATACTGGTTATTGGGATTATGTAGAAAATTTATTTTTAGGCTAAGGTGAAGAATTTAGGGGTGAAATACTGTGACATCTACAACTCTAAAAGATTTGGCAAAAAAAAACTGTATGTTTATATGTATACATAAATGTTTGTATATTTGTGAGTAAATGTGTGTATACACACTTATACATATGTGATAGAAAGTAAATGTAGTAAAATAATAACAATTGTTGCATTCAGGTGAAGGGTATTTGGGTTTTTGTCATTCTATTATTTAAACTTCTCTGTAGGTCTGACGAATTTCAAAATGAAAAGAAAAAAGTACTTATTTGGCATCAAATGCAAACCTTCATACTGAAATCCAGGAGTAGCACTAGCTTTTAAGGCAATCACTCAGCGGATCTGGAGCAGGCCTTCTCAATTGAAATTATGTATGAATCTCTGGAGATCTTGTTAAAATGCAAATTCTGACTCAGGAGGTCTGGGTGAGTCTGAGACTCTGCATTTCTAACAACCTCCCAGGTGATGTTGATGTTGCTGATCTCAGATCAGATTTTGAGCAGCAAGGATCAGGAACATTGTTATGATTTTGAGCAGCAAGGATCAGGAACATTGTTATACTATTATTTCTTTAATTGTGTTATCAAAATGAAAATACACCATTAAAAAATTCTTGTATAGAACTCGTGGATTCCTAATAGTAAGAGAATAAGTCCATAAACCTCATCTTGAGGACAATCAGCTAAACCCACAGTATGTCTTTTAATTAACAAGAAAAACTAGATTTGGAGGACTATGAGACCACGGCCTATTTTACAAACCAGTGTAGTACTTTGCTCCTGGTAAAGTGCTTGGCATATATTAGGGACTCAATAAATATTTGTTGCATCAGAAAATAAAAAAATACAGACTCTGGAATTAGAAGAACATGGTTCAACTCTTAGACTTTCCACTAATTACCTGAGCAACTCTGGCCCAGTCATTTACTCTCATCTTCAGTCTCCTCCTGGAAATGTGGTGACATGCTTAACAGGGCTGTTGGGAAGATTTTTTGAGAAAAGTAACATAGAGCAAAGCCTTGCCTTACCGATAAAAGTCACTCTCTGGGTCACTGTGCCGGACCTGGAATGGTGCATTGGGATTCTTACAATCTAAAGGAAGGAGATCATCAGGAAGAGGAGGTGACCCAGGGCAGGAAGGAAGAGGTTCACTCTCTTCAGTCTTTACACCTTCTGTCTGTTGCTGATTCTGGGCCTGTGCTGTGGCAATGAGGTTACGCAGACGTCGGTTGTGCTGGATCAGCTGAATGGTGTGGATGGTGAGGCTGCAGGGCTCTGAGGGGATGTCCAGCATAGTGGGGGGCTTGGGCTTGTTGGCTGAGGGTTGGTGCAGAGGCGGGTCATGGACTTCTACCAGTCGGAACTCCCGAGGGAGCAAGTCAAAAGAACTTCTGTTGGTCTGGCTTGATGAGATTGGTATCTCTCCCCAGTATCTCAACATTTTGGAATTACAAAGGAAGAGCTCCCAAGTTAAATGTGGATGGTATCCTAAAGGCAGTGTTTTAAAATCTCTAGCAACTGCAGGTTAAGGGCTTCTGTAGTGAAGAATACGAGGTCTAGCCAGGTATTGACATAAAAACTAGGCAGTTCAAGACCACTTAGAAAAAGTCAGTGTCAGCAACACTGTTGGACCAAGGACGTTCTTCCTGAAGAAATTAAGAGAAATATAACTGTTAATATCACAGTCATACACTGTGACAATTCCTACTGGACTGAACCACAAGGTAGAGTCTGGGTCTTTAGTAGACTAATAGCTGCAAGAGTATATAAGGCTATAGTGTCCATATTTTCCAACTCACCCCACTAACTTATTACCAATCCTGAATGATTTGCAAGGCAAGACACTTAGATGAGACCTGGAATATTTCTCAGAGTATCTTGACACATCTCTCCTAGATCTGCAGGAGAAAATGGAGTAGAGTTAAAGATAGGAAAAGGTTCTTCTTCTTCTTTTTCTTCTTTTGCCATGCCATGCAGCCTGTGGGATATTAGTGCCAAGCCCTAACCACTGGACTGCCAGGGCACTCCTGAGGTGGTTATCAATCTGTGAATGCTTCCCAGGTGGACTAGTGATAAAGAACCTGCCTGCCAATGCAGGAGTAAGAGACATGGGCTCAATTCCTGGGTCAGGAAGATCCCCTGGAGAAGGAAATGGCAACCCACTCCAGTATTCTTGCCTGGAGAGTCCCATGGACAGAAGAGCCTGAGGGACTACCATCCAAAGGGTCGCAAAGAGTCAGACACCACTGAAGTGACTTAGCATGCATATATGCCAAGCATGGGAACCTCTAACTAACCCTGGTGGGAAAATTCATGAACCACTATCCTAAACAGTCTTATGCATTCAACTTCTGACACTCATAGGGGAGAATCTCAGATATCTGCTCTCTCTTAAATAATATCCCTTCCTTTAGTCTTTCCTTGTATCAAATCTACTCCCTACAGTGATGCTGTGCTGTGCTTAAATGCTCAGTCGTGTCCAATTCTTTGTGACCCCATGGACTGCAGCCTGCCAGGCTCCTCTGTCCTTGGGATTCTCCAGGCAAGAATACTGGAGTGGGTTGCCATGCCCTCCTCCACCGGCTCTTCCCAACCCAGGGATCGAACCCAGATCTCCCGCATTGCAGGCAAATTCTTTACCAACTGAGTCACCAGGGAAGCCCAAGAATACTGGAGTACCCTATCCCCTTGGCCAGGGGATCTTCCCAACCTAGGAATTGAACCCTTGTCTCCTGCACTGCAGACAGATTCTTTACCACAGCTGAGCTACCAGGGAAGTCTCTATAGTGAGGCTAGACTTAATATTTTAGACTTAGACCTAATGACTTCCCATTGCCTACTGGAAAAACGTCAGTCAAAATTTTTTGATTTTTCCATTTAACACCAGTTACAGTCCAGCTTCAACTCACCTTTCCAGATTCATTGCCCATATGTCTCTTCAAATTCAATAAATATTTATCAAATGCCAAGTGTCATGTGAGGAGATAAAGACTAATTCAAGGTTCTTACCCTGAGGTGAGGGAGAAAAACATGAAAAGAATGTTTCAACATTAAAGTGTGTGGTCAGTGCTGTTCTAGAGACACAGACCAAGTTCAGCGAGAAAACACAAAGGAGGAACTTCCTCAAGAAAGTGGCCACCTTAGTTTCAACAGTATCAGAATTCTCTGGTTGCAAATGCCATACATTTCCGCAGCTTAATGACGTGGTCTCTGCAGGCAATGCCTTGCTACCCGCCACATCCCTGGCAAACTTGTGTTCATCCTTAAGTATGATTTAAGTCACCACCTTCTATCACCTCCCCAACACATCTCCCATTGTTAAAACGTCTCACAGCACTTCGTATGTCTCCATCACAGCATTTATCCCTGTATTTAAACTAGTACTTGTTTCAATTTTATTCTTCCATCTGTCTCTCACAGCTGTGATCTTGAAGTCTAAGATTTGAGTGCCTACTATACATGCCAGGCTTTGCCTCTACTGTTAATTCAATTCTTCCAACCTTTCTATAAGTAGATATCATTTTTTTTAAAAAAGTAGATACTATTATTACCCCACACTTCAGACACGGAAGCTGAGACCTTCTGTCTTGCCTAATATCAGAAACAGCTGAGAGGGAAGATGGAGATGGTCAGGCTCCAGGGTCTGCACTCTTAACAACTACACTATGCTGCCTCAATTGGTTTTGAAAGAATAAAAGAACGAACGAATACATGAATGAACCAAGTGACAACAAAAATCGCCCTCTCCCCTAAATTGACCCAAAGGAGCACGAAGGACAGGCATCAAGCACAAGCAGTGCCCACATCCCTACCAGGGCTCCTCTCTCACCATCAGCAGACTCGGGCGCCAGTCAGTGTCCTGGGGTCGTTTAATGCTGGGGCAGCCCAGACACAGGGAGATCTGGACCCGGACAGAGGCAAGGAGGCTCCACTATAGACTGCCACTTCGCAGGTATTGGACTTGGCGGCTCATCGGCTCCAAGAGGCCTGAGATAAGGTTCGTATCAGGTCCGGAAGGCTGGTGTGTTGACCGGCGGTTCAAGGCTGCCGGAAGCGCTTCTTCTCAATCAGGTTCTGCTGCAGGAAGTCATTACGACCTGGTTGCAACCTCTAAAGATGTCCCCATTCTGACAGTACCCGGACCGCCTTTTTCTGTTTTCCTCTTACTACAACTTCCAGGGATAACTCGCTTCTTTATAAAGCTCTGGGTCGTAAAGGATCAACTCCACTATCGCTGCTAGAGAAGCGGCTGGGGGGCTGGAGAGAGAGAGAGAGAGAGAGAGACGTGGAGAGGAATGTAGAGACCCGAGGAGGGTGAGGTTTCCCAGGGACAGATTTTGAGGCTGCTCCCGATTGAGGATGGCTGATAGTCCCTCTCAGTCCGAGCCGCTGGCTTCGCCGGAACTCAATGACGACTTCAAGAAGCCAGCCCTGCCGGTGCCCTCGGCGGCGCAGAGTAAGGCCCCGGCCAACAATCCTCCAAACCCGGAGGAGGTGAAGGAAAGGCCCACGGCGCTGCCGGACTCTGATTCCGGGGAGCCTGATGTCCCGCCGGCCCTGCCGGACAGCGGGGAGACTAGCGTTCCAGCGGAGGAGCAGCCTCGGCCCCACACGGCGGCTCCTTCCCCTGGCGGCCCGGCCCGGGCGCCCCCTTACCGAGAGCCGCCGTGGGGCGGCCCCACCACGGCCCCCTACAGCCTCGAGACACTAAAAGGAGGCACCATCCTGGGCACCCGGAACTTGAAAGGACTGAGTTGCTGCCTTTTCGGGAGGCTGCCTAGCTGTGACGTGTGCCTGGAGCATCCTTCGGTGTCTCGCTACCACGCAGTGCTGCAGCACAGGGTGTCCGGCCTCGATGCAGAAAGCGACGGCCACGGGCCTGGCTTCTATCTCTACGATTTGGGAAGCACCCACGGCACTTTCCTTAACAAAACCCGCATCCCACCCCGCACCTATTGTCGGGTCCACGTCGGACATGTTCTTCGGTTTGGAGGCAGCACCCGGCTCTTTCTTCTTCAGGTAAGTAGAAAACCCTAGAATTGAAATCTCTAGAATTGAAAAAAACCCTACAACTGAAATCACCCGGCTGCGTTCCTGAGCTTCTTGTTTTTCCTGAGAAAGGAGATTGTCCTTTATGAAAGTGCGGGAATCTGGGTCCTCATCTCCAGACGTCTGGACGCATTGCCTTGTTTCTGAAAGTGACTTTAGCCATCCTAAACTCTAAAAGAATTCTTTCGCTTGATTCATCAGGGACCAGAGGAGGATCGAGAGGCAGAATCCGAGTTGACAGTAACGCAACTGAAGGAATTGCGCAAGCAGCAACAAATGATGTTGGAAAAGAAGATGCTGGGAGAAGACTCAGATGAAGAAGTGGAAATGGATACCGCTGAAAGAAAGAGAAATACTAATAGTCAGGACGATGAAATGGGCTGCACCTGGGGAATGGGTAAGGCATTAAAACTGCTGCCTGAGGTTAATAAATTCGTTTCTGTTGGTACAGTTAATTTTTAAAAATCATGCAGCTTTCGTGACCCTTTGAGAAAGATAGGGCAAATACAGTTTGCACATAGGTTACCAAAACTTAGATTTATTAACTTTTCTGATGCCAAAAAACTGAATTGTGGATCCAGTTGATTTATCTTCTTGTGTTTTACAATGCACTCCCTTGTTCAAAAGTCTTAGCGTATGGAGAAGGAAATGGCAACCCACTCCAATGTTCTTGCCTGGAGAACCCCAGGAACGGGGGAGCCTGGTGGGCTGCCGTCTATGGGGTCGCACAGAGTCCGACACGAATGAAGTAACTTAGCAGCAGCAGAAGCAGCAGCAGCAGCAGCTTTTGTTCTATTGTGTACAGAAAACAGTAGTGGCATCATTGAATATGTTTTTTTCAGAACCATATGTCTGTAACATTAATACTTCCTTTTAAGACAAATATAAATTCAAAAGAGATTTTATTTAGAGAAACTGTTCTAATTAAAATTGTTTTCCTTCACACTAAGTTAATATTTAGATTCATAATTGTTGAGAGAAAAGAATTCACTTTAAAATAATGCCAACCTATATAATGCTGTAATAAATTATTTTATACTTTAAAAAAAGTCTTAGCATATAGTTTAACAATTAAAATTTATTTCATTAAGTACTGACTATCGCTAGAGGGAGTGAAACTACAATTAAATAAAATGGAATGTTATCTAATATAGGAGTTCTGTCAAATTTTTTGTACTTTGTGTAAACACCCTGAATTGTGAAATATCTAATCAGAGGGATAAATTGAATTTTCCGTAACACCAGACATTTTGGCGGATGGGTGTTCAGGAGTGGAGTCTGAAAAGCTGGATGACCTTAACTGTGTTGTGGGGAAGACAGATAAATCTTATGAAATTACTTGTGGTAAGTGCCAAACAAAAGCTGGAAACCACTAGTATGCTGGAGTGAGGGTTCAGAGAAAGGAGCAGCCCCTGAGTACCTAGACCTGCACTATCCAGTATGGTCATCATCAGCCACACTTACGGGGTGGCTAGTCCAAACTCACATGTGCCGTAAAGGTAAAATACACACTGGGTTTCAAAGACTTAGTGTGAAAAAAGAATGTAAAATATTCATAATAATTTTATTTTGATTACATGGTAATTTCACCTGTTTATCTTACATTTTTAATACGGCTACTAGAAAATGTAAGATTGCATATGGCTTTCATTATAATGCCTGTTGGGCAGCACTGACAGAACTTTGGGACAGTGTATAAGTTTATAAACAGAAGGGTTTTAAGCTGGAACTTGAAGGAAAGGAAAAGAAGCCCTTAGGAAACAGCATTGGGATGGCGTCCAGGGCAGGGATTGATGATTTTTAAGGAAGTACTGAGTAGATCAGTCTGTTGGTGGACATGATAAGTATTAGGAAATTATATTGAAGACAAAGTATAAGACATGGCTGTGAGAGAATGAGAATGCGGGACTGAGGAGTTTAGATTTTTCTTTTTTTACATAGAGAATGTGGTAGGCGGTCTTGCTTTTAAAATACATATAGTAATGGAGAAAAAAGTAAGGTGCCATGAAAACAAGTTTTAACTTGTCATACAATGTAGAAACCTGAAGATGTTCAGACTGATGGTTTTGTGCTTGTTCTTCCCCACCCCCACCTTTCTTTTCATCGCTGGTAACTGTATCTTTGTGCAGCCTAAAAGGATAGTGAGTGCCATTCAAATAGTCTCTTATGTCTGATTGGCATTGCTTTCTTTCCTGTATCCTGTAGGAGAAGATGCTGTCGAGGATGAGGCTGAAGAGAACCCCATTGTCTTAGAGTTTCAACAGGAAAGAGAGGCTTTTTATATAAAGGATCCAAAAAAGGCTCTCCAAGGTTTTTTTGACCGAGAAGGTATGTATACAGATTCTGACCCAGTTGGTAAAAATGTATCCACAAGAGGGTGCTTTTCTAGATCTTCAAGTACTTAGAAATGCTTTATTTTATCTAATGTCCTCCTTGTTCAGTTCTTGCCTGTGTGGTCAGTTGCTCCAGGTTTGTTTTGGAAATTGTAAAAATTCTGTTAGTCTTTTTTTACATCTTGGAAAAAGGAAGTACTTTTTTCCAACTCACCTCCTCCTTCTGAGAAGATGCAGGATAGGGGTGGTTGGGAGACTGACCCATTTGTTACAATTTCTTTGTTTCTGATTCCCCTGATCTTTTGTCATTCTTAACATGGATTTCCACTTTATGTGATTTAAAGAATGTTTCCATTAAAAAAGTAATTAAAACTGGAATAAAGCCTTTGAGATAATAATTACAAAAAGAACATTTCTGCAGAGAATTGTTTCAGTGGATATGCTTTTAGAGAACATTTATATGTATGTGTGTGTATGAATATAAATATATACATATGAACTGTTTGCATTCACTTAATAGTTACACTTCTAAAAACTAAGCAACTGTGACAAATTAACATCAAGTCTACAACTTATAAGTGTGAGAGCTTCTATTTAGTGGACAAACCTGTGTGTAGAGACTTGATTGTTTTGAGTTTGTAGTTCTCTGTCTCAAGCTCGTCCTAATTTTATTATCAGATAATAATTCCTAGGAATAAGAAGTGAAATGCTTTGAAATTTAGTGTTCAATGTGGTTTGAGACTTTGTATTCTTATTCAACCTCTGCTCTCTTTCCCCTTTGTATCAACTAGTAATTTTCAGATGCTATTAAAATTGTTTTGCCTTTCTTCCTCCCACAGGAGAAGAATTAGAATATGAATTTGATGAACAGGGTCATAGCACTTGGCTCTGCAGGGTGAGGTATGTTCTTTTCTCAGTAACATCCATTTCTGGAAAGTGGCTAATTTCAAGTTTAATTTATGGTTACAGACAACAACCCAAAGGGCAATTTTAGTCTTTTTGAGACTATTCATGAATTTGGGGATTGATAGTTTAGCAACACATTGGGGTTATAGAGGGATGGGTAAAAGGTGTAAGGAAAAAAATTGAAATCCAGCCTTGGCAAGATAGAACAAAATGAACTGAGATTAAAAAGCTATCTCAAAAACATGACTGTTATCATAAAATATTAATGTTTTTCATGAGACTTGGAGCTTAGTTCTGTGCTTAAATCCCTCCCATACCAATGCAGATTACCTGTGGATGATTCAACTGGAAAACAGCTAGTGGCAGAGGCCATTCACTCAGGAAAGAAAAAAGAAGCAATGATTCAGTGCTCCCTGGAAGCTTGTCGAATCCTCGATACTTTGGGATTGCTGCGGCAGGAGGCGGGTGAGTATGCGGGGACTCTTTTTCCCTTTTAAAAAAAAAAGATGGACAGAAGGAAAATTTAACACATAAAGTAATAAAACCTCTTTTTAGGGGAAAAATATAAATTGTACAGAATTCTATGAAATGAGAAGAAAAACATTCTCTATCTCTTTAACCAAAGTTAACCTTTGTTTTGGAGAAGGAAGTGGCAACCCACTCCAGTACTCTTGCCTGGAGAATTCCGTGGATGGAGGAGCCTGGTGGGCTGCTGTCTAGGGGGTTGCACAGAGTCGGACACGAGTGAAGCGACTTAGCAGCAGCAGCAGCAGCAGCAGCAATATTTATT